AGGAACTTGACTTCGCGCGCGTAGCGTAAAATTTCATTCATATTTTTTTCGCTAATAATCGTTTGCTAATCTTTTTATTTTTATTTCTTTCACACTATAAAATACGATGTTTCTTTTTTAGTCATTTAATAATTTATTTGCAATTTAGTAAAGAATTTTGAATAAAAAACACTTTATTCAACAAATGTCTAGTTTTAAAAAAGCGTGCTTCTGATAGAATACACCAGATTGTGCTTATTTAATGTGATTATTTTTTATTTTTTTTATTTTGTTTTTCAATAACTGATACAATTTCAATAATATACATGCGTATGCATAGATTTGGAATTATATATTTATCAATTTCTTGAATATATATTTCATGAATATTAATAAAAATACGTAGTCAGCATTTTTAATGATCTTAAAACTTCTTTACATCTTAATCTTAACGCCTTAACCTTAAAATAAATTTGTGAATTACCTATCTGCGCGTGTTTCGCAGAATTATTTACCTTTTAATTGAATTTTAATGCAAAATCTTATTTTTTATTCTACCATATACACAGAAGAGCCATTATATTTTGACCACCCTCAATCTATAACAATGGGCTCAGGTTTTCATGGCTTCTCGCCCAGAACAATGTTTTCATGGGACACATTAGGACCCATAATCCTCATACAGAACAATCCCTGAAGTCTGTAAGCTACTTGGACATAGTTGCAGACCAGGTTCACCCATTCATGGCAACAGTTTTTTCTGCGGGGGATGGTGTTTACCAACAGGATAATGCACCGTGTCATACGGGTCGAATCATCATGGACTGGTTCGAGGAACATTCCAGTGACTTTCAAGTCATGTCTTGGCCCCCAAATTCACCCGACCTTAATTCAATAGAGCATTTGTGGTCCTACTTGAAAAACCAAATTCGTGCTGCCACACTACCCCCTCGCAATGTGAGGGAATAGCAGGACCAGTAGGTGAGCGCTTGGTACCAGATACCTCAGACTACCTATCAGCACCTTGTGGAATCAAAGCCACGGCGGGTGCTAGCAGTTTTGAGGGTTAAGGGTGGTCCTACATGTTATTAGCAGGGTGGTCATAATGCATAATGTAATGGCTCTTCGGTGTATATTATTTTCCAATAATATACTAATCAACAGTTTTAGCTCATTAATTTATGTTTTCCTTTAAAATAAATTACTTTTTAAATTATTGCTAAGTTCTTATTGAAAGAAAACTTAGAATTGTTGTCAGCTATCTGAGAATTAAATTTAAAATATTCTACTGATCACACACAATATCATTCGATGCAGAACAGCTGACTATTTACTAAGAATACTATTGTTTACGAAAAATGAAGATAAATTATTAATTTTCTTTTTTTTTTATTGTTTCTTATTTATTCGAGTAATGAAAAGTAAATGCGTATGTGTGAGCAGCAAAAAAATACAACAGATTGTTTTTTTTTTTAAATGAACAAAAAACTATGGACATACAATTTTATTTCGACATTGAAAGTTATTCTTGTGCGCTAACTTAAAGTTACCCTTTTGTTTTAAAAAGTTGAAAATATTTGCTTAAAAAGTTGTTTATATGATTTCTTAACATATAAACAACTTATAAGCTTAACATATAAGCACAGTTCTAAAAAATATTGCTATATCAGGAAAATGTTCCATTTGACTTTTTTCTACTTAAATAACTTATAATCATTGTTTTAACACACGTTTTGAATAAATTATGAATACAAATTTCTCCTAATATTTCGTAATAAAAAAAACAAGAATATTAATGATTCATTTATAATTGTTTCATTGAACCAGAGTAGTTAATTGTTTTCGTAATAATCGGCCTTACAACTATTTAACTTAGATTCTTTGGACTAGGCGTCACTTCATGCATGTCTTTCGAGATTGAAATTTCAAAGATAAAATGTAAAAATTACAAGAATACGTAAGCTGGTTTCAACTAAAAAAAAAAAAGGACAGAATCGTTGGCAAAAGAAGTTATCTCATGAAAAGAGTGTCAGAATTAAAAAAGTATTGTAAAAACTGTAACAATTGTTACTCTTGTTTAATTAAGGGTATTATAAACCTAATTTTCCTTTAATCATATTTTTTTTAAAAACTAACGAAAGGAGTGTGTTAATAACATCAACTCTTTTTACCGCAAATTAAGTTTACTTAATATCATTTGCAAATCTTATGAAGTGCAAATTCTTGACATGCTCCTTAAAATAAAGTTTTATTTTAATCGTAGTTGAAAGAGTATGGATACGTAGTTAAAGGAGGTATGTGACATCCGGAAAAAAAAGTCGTGTGATAGAGATAGTTTTAAGCAGAACGAATTAGTTCTTTTGGTTGAAATGCTGACAATATCATTACAGCATCTTGGTTTACAAGTGCCATGAAAGAAGGTTCTGAACTTAAAATATGAATTTTAATATATTTTCCTATTTGCATACCTCCTTGATCTCCGCACCGTTTTAATATTCTGTAAAGCATAAAATGAAATAATGCTGAATAAAAAAAGAGATTTCAAATGAAATATTTTATTTTCCTTAATGCAGGATATCTGATACATTTTAGATGTTCAAAGTCATGACTTTTTATGTCTACTTCCAAGNCATTGTTTTTTTAAAGAACTAGCGAAAGGAGTGTGTAAATAACATCAACTCTTTTTACTGCAAACTAAGTTTGCTTAATATTATTTGCAAATCTTATGAAGTGCAAATCCTTGACTTGCTCCTTAAAATAAAGTTTTATTTTAATCGTAGTTGAAGGAGTACGGATACGTAGTTAAAGGAGGTATGTGACATCCGGGAAAAAAAAGTCGTGTGATATAATTTTAAACAGAACGAATCTTTTGGTTGAAATGCTGACAATATCATTACAGCATCTTGGTTTACAAGTGCCATGAAAGAAGGTTCTGAACTTAAAATATGAATTTTAATATATTTTCCTACTTGCATACCCCCTTGATCTCCGCACCGTTTTAATATTCTGTAAAGCATAAAATGAAATAATGTTGAATAAAAAAAGAGATTTCAAATGAAATATTTTATTTTCCTTAATGCAGGGTATCTGATACATTTTAAATTTTCAAATTCATGACTTTTCATGTCTAATTCCAAGAACTTTTCATGACTTAGTGAAGTTACTATTTTCTCCGACAAAATCAGAATAATAAATTTAAAAAGCATTATAATTAAATGATAGGTATAACCAAAACTGTTATACTCTGCTTCTTCGTATTTATTGATTTTAAATTTAAAAAACAGAGTAAAGAAAGAGTTGAAGCAATAAAATAGCTGAAAAAAATAATAGCTGAGCAAATATTTTTTTTCCTGCAGAATTATATTCTAAAGATACTTTTCTTGTTCATCAGAAATGAAAGAAATACTCCTGATTTTTCTGTTCTCATTTCGGAATTTAAAAAAAGTTGCCAATGACTGACTTGCTTCAGCTTGAATTTTAAATTGATAAAATAAAAAGATGAATAATAATTATTCTGAAATCACATAAGTTTAAACGATACTTCGCTCTAGAAATGATGTTTTTTCTTTCATTTTTCGAAAGAATAGCATAATTTTTAAAGAACATGATAAAAACATTTTATATTTTAATAAAATATGACTCAGAGTGGGGATTTTGTAACAAATTCAGATATTTGGAACACCGTGAAATTGGGGAGGGTTCCCATTTTAAAAATAAAATCTTTCGGAGACCTAAATCCATGACTTTACATGATTTTTTTAAAAAGAATAGTTAAATTCATGACAAATTGTGTTCAATAACGAAATTCATGACTTTCAAGGTGCGAGCTGCTGTGCTGCAAGGTGCTGTTAATATTTTGTCATGAGGCCTTGGCGGCGGACGACTTCGGTCATACGATTTGGCAAGCTGTTGACAAGATTGGTAGCAAATGACGACCGTTCTTTAACTCCTCCCAAGCTTCCAGGACTTTGCCCCACAATCGATCACATGATGGAGTGCTGGTGAGAATTACCTTTTTTTTTTTTTTAAACTCAGACCATACATTTTTAATAGGATTCAAGTCCGCAGAATTACTTGCCCATGCCATGGTTTCAAATGCCTGCTGGTTTAACCAGTTTTTAACGATCTTGCTACAATGTATCCCAGAGTTATCTTGCTGGAAAACAAAGCAGCCATCGTTAAAATGATTATCCAAGACATCTGAAATCATAATATGCTCAAGTAAATCACGATAACGAGCTGCATTCAGACGACCGTCGATCCGATGAAGAGCTCCAAGTCCTGATGAGGAAAGGCAGCCCCACACAGGTATCGAAACACGGCCACTTCGGCGTATATTCTGGAAATATAAGGGGTCATTACGCATTGCAGCAGGTCGCCAAACCCTTACACAACCAGAATAATCCGATTGAATGCAGCTTTCGTCCGTGAAAAGGACTCTACCCCAATCATGTATGGTCGGTCCAATTTATGTGTGCATTGGCAAATGCTACTCGTCTTCTTTTTTGCTCATCAGTGAGAAAAGACTTCTTCTTAGCTATTCTACTTGATAGGCCTGCGTCATGAAGCCTGTTTCTCACTGCCTGAGATGTCACCTAAAATATGAAGAAAAACAAGCTTTTAAAAAATTTAAAATATAAATAAGATAGCTTATTCTATCAGCAATTATTATACCATATATTGTTTTATTTATTATACAATAAGCAGTTTTCGGTTTCCCTTAATGTTTAAAAAGGTTATATGCTTTGTTTAAGGTGTCCCAAAATGAGACTGACAAATTTAGAGGAGTTGTAAGAGACATGGAGAGGAGAATGAAAGTTTACCATCTTGCATACGTCTTAAATCAAGTTGAGAAGGTAAAAATTTCAAAAACCATTTAGGTTTCGGGGACACTCTGGAAAACAAAGCTATTACAAGCTTGCTGACTACTTAAGCATTTATTTTGCTAATAGTTACAAAGGTTACTCGAAGTGCGCTCTATGGTGTTATTGCACAGTCTACAATGACGTAAAAATGATTTCGGGTGCTCTTGAAGATAAGTTTAATATGACTAACATCAACTGATCTCTACTGCTTGCATCTTATAGATTCAGAATCTGCAAACGTTTACCCTCTTAACATGTTTTGCAACCTCCATGTTTTGTGGTAAGTTTTCATCTGGTTGATGACGCTTTACCCATTCCTGATTCATTCGTCGAATTTTTGCAATACTAAGTCTATCAGCGGTGTCAAATTTTTTTTCGGTAACCTTTTTTAAAGGAGATTAAAAAAACAAAAACAATCTGTTTTCGTTGCCCAGAAAGCAACTCGAAAAATTCTTTTGGTTGCTTAGCAACTAAAAGCACTATGTTTTCCCGTATTGTCATTCATTCAGTTTCTTTATGGTTGTTATAAGTTATTTCTCCTTCTATGGAGAGGTAATTTGGCATATCTTTAAATCTTCGCCAGATATATAAATCCTTATTGTGACCCAATTTACAACCCATTTTTTTTCTCGAAATTTTGTAAAAAAAAATATATATAAATGTTTATTCAGAGAAAGTACGTTTTTGTGTCTGATTTCGTATCTTAATTAATAGTTAGCACTAATTAATTAGCATATTTAAGGTCACCCCCAGAAACCATTAAGATTGACACTTAGTTCGTGAAAATCCGATCATTAGAACGAAAGTTATTCAGGGTGATATCTTTTTTTTTTGCGGACTGTACCTCAGCTGTTAATGTTTTTAATCAAATAAATAACATTTTATTCATATATTTATATAAATCAAAAAAATTTATGAAGGTCAACTTTATGAATTATGAATAAGTTCATGAATATTTACGCATTCTACTGAACGTATACAAATTAAGAGTAAAAAACAATTTATGTAAATAAAACTTATTTAAATAATTATTTATTTTGCATGTTTTTGCAATGCATTTTCAACTTATACGGCCTAATCGGAGAGAAGTTTATAAAATTTTATTTATGAAAAATATTTTTTTCAGCAGAAAATAAATATTGATATACATATTTAAATAAAATATATTTAATAAATAGTCTTTTTTTTAAATTCATGTAGGAATTATTAAAATTCTGATTAGGAATAGATTGATGAAACTATATAATATTTTATTATTTAATGTATGAAATAAAATACAGAAATCCTTGCTTACAGTTGTTCATCAAGTTAAACATACAGTATTAAATGGGAAAATAAAGTAGTTTTTTACCCCCAATAACATTTTTTCCCTGTACATAGGGAGAGAAACTTCCATATCTCATTTAAACTTAGCATACAAAAATATTGAAACATTCAAGCTAGTATATATTTTATACCTCTTCGAAAACAATATTAATATAAAACTTATTATTTCATTGGTAATGATGAAATAAAAACTCAAAATTTTTTACATCCAAATTAACATATCGGATATTATTGTTATTCAGAAAGATATCATCACACATCGCAATTAAATATGGATCAAATAAGGAATTGTGTACTATTCAAATGAAGGAAAAGTTTCGTGTGATAAACTTTAAATTACATAAAACTTGTTTAGATGTTGCTTTTAAAACCACAAATACTGGGAATTGTGATTAGAAATGTGGATTTAAAGAATTTTAAACCGTAACCGCTCTCAAATAAACATTAAAAAAATAATAATTTTACTATGTTCAACTAAGAGAAAAAAAATTTTTTTTTCATAGTAATAACCAGATTTGTTAATAGCGATAGGTTGAAATTTATATTTCATTAGGTACTTGAAATTAATTAGAAACATTATAAACAAGTGAGAAAAATATAAAAACTTCCGAAATATTTCTCAAAAGAATAAGTGACATTAGATAAAGAATTGATGTTAACTTTCAGAACTGGCAATGCATACAATTACTGTACTATTCTAAAGGGTAATATAATCAAAGGTAGTACAGAAAGTACTTACTGAGAACAGAATATCAGAACCGTGCATGTTTATAGGAACCACTAATTCCTGCAACATAGGAACAGATCACTTTGTTTATCAGGAATTTATTTTCTTCAAGATCTATTTGAAATTTACTTTTTATGGAATGCTGTTCTTTCCCTATTCTTGATCTCTACATGATTATCAGATTTTTCTTTTATGGTCACAGTTACTAAATGGCCTGCATCAACGATTTTCTCCGCTTCTTTAATAATACGAGATTCGATTCTGTTAATATCAACAAAGGATAGAATTTCTGCAAATCTTAATTTCAACTCCATTGTAGAACAAAACGGTAGAAATCTCCAAAACGGAACCAATCTCCAGAGCTACTACAGGACTGTTGTTCGTAGAAATCGTCTGCGTCTGATTAACATCGGCCCTCTAGTATTTTGTGATCGCGAATTGTTATTTCTTTTGATTTATTATTATTTATTTTACTTATTCATATTCCTTTTTTTTAATGTTATTTCTTTTATTTAGTAATTGATCAAGTTTTGTATTTTTTCCCATTTACGCATACATAAATTTAAATCTTAGCATTATTTTCTATTATCGTTTGAAGAACAATGGACTTACTCAAAACACCAAATTAATCTTAGAAAAGAAAAAGAAAAAAATGAAATTAAAATTTTTATCTCACGAAATGGTTGAAAAGTATCTAAAGAAAATAAAATGAAATACAAAATAAAACTGACGAAAATGAATTGAAATTAATATTTGAAAAGTAAAAAATTATTTTAAGAAGAGTTGGTAATTGATCGAATTTTGTATTTTTTCTCATTTATGCGTACAGAATTTCAAAGCTGAGTATTATTTTCTATTATCATTAAAAGAACAATAGAATTACTCAAAACACCAAATCAATCTTTAAAGAAAAAAAAAAGAAAAAAGAACATGAATTATTCTATTGCTTAGAGGTAAACCTAAACCTAACTTCTATTGTCTAATTCTTATCTCTCGTTAATGATTCAGTTTTGTTTTTTTACAATTATTATGAACAAACAAAATATTTTTTCCCTCTTCTCCGTGACAGTTATTAGCTGATAAACAATCAGAATGGGGGAAATGAGAAATTATGATAACGTAAAAGGGTACTTCCTGAGTGTTTTATAAAATATGTTAACTCTTTCGCAAAATTTCATTTTAAATATAAATTTGGTAAAAAAAAACTCATCTGAAAATGAAACCACTTTCTTTGTGCATAACTGCAGTCACAATATTAGGAGCAATGTAAGTATGAAAATTCTTTCTTTCATAACTGTGTAATAAATTATTAATTGAAATTTTAGACCATAATTATAAAAAAAAATAACGTCACAAGTGGTTTGATAAGTAGTACTATTAAATTTTCAAATTTTAACCCATTAATACCCGGTTTTATATTTTGCAGCAATTCAAATGGTAAAAATCAAGAAAAATTTTAAAACTTTGATAGAGAAGAATTGAAGAAGAATATTGCTTCTACTAATTCTCGCTTATAAAAATATATTTTTAAATTATGAGTTATATATCTAGATGCTGAATATGACTAACTTACTTCAATTTATTTGCTTTTCAATAAGTGGTAAATTACGGTTCTAGTCAGGAAGAACTTTAACACCACCAATAATATAATTAACGTGCGTTCATAAATCCTATATTTAATCTATATGCTGTGGTTATCAAAATTATATAAATTAAATTTTTAAGATCAAGAATTTAAATGAAAAGAATAAATTTTTTAAAGACTTAAAATCTAATAATAAAATTCTCCTGAATATATGAAAGAATTTGCATGCATGCAATATTCATCCTCTACATTACTGTCTTTATGTAAACCATAAATCACGAAAGTCTAGGCAGTTGAGAAACTTTTCTTAATCTTAAACCTAAATTTTAAAAGTTAAATATTTTTTCCTACTATGACAGATCAATAATTTGGAACTTGCACTTCAAGAAAAAGAAAACTACTATACCCACACATGCGACGTATGACATCAGCGCCGGCTGATCGTTTGTATGTAAAATGGCATGTTAAAGTTGAGCTAAGCTTCTCCGCATAAGTTAAAATGAAGTTAATTAAATATGAAGCTGTATCGTACATTGAATTTGTTGAAATATAATTCTTTCTAGTCTACGTCTTTTACTTACCTTAGATTTATTATTCGTTTGTGCATTTTATTGTAACCGTGATATATTCTCATTTGTGTATCTGTCAACTTCGATGCATAGTTAATTTGTTTATGCTCTACCTGGCTTCGTGCCTCTCTTTGTGTTGAATTAGAAATAAAAAGTGAATGAATTGAAATCTTTGTGAAAGAATATAGTATGTGTCACTTCACTTAAGAGAATTGATACTTGTCGGGCTTGACGTACTAGAAATAAAATGGACAGCAGAACAGTTTCTAACGTAAACATATGAAAAGTTTCAACAACCAATCAGGATCAAGATTAAGTGTGTTCACGAATAATTAAAATTACGATACACCTCGGTATAGGGACAATTATATTAATTTATCAAACAGGAAATTTCACAGAAATTTTTGCATATGATAGAACATCGCTTTTCAAGATATAATTGTGCTTTTTTCATGAGAAAGAAGCAATAAATAAGGTAATCATAGGAGTCGCCCTTTGAACGACCTTTGAGAAAATTTTTCTGAATGGGTGTATCATTTATGTATTAACGTATAAATATTAACTTTAAAAGCTTAACCCTAAAATATTTTAACAACCATAAGAATTCAATAATTGAAGCTTTTGCTTATCTATCAGATATATTGGTTGGATAATTATGCTTAAGTGTCGACAAAATCGTAAAAGTTTTCGGAAATTCTGTGGAAAGTGGTAAAATAATTATATATACTTAATACCTTAAGTATATTTAATTATATTACCACTTAGAGCAGTCTTAAACCAGCGGTATAAATTAATAGTTATGGATAATAAATTGTAGCCTTCAATCAAAAAAGCATATATCAAAGATAACAATTGGAAGATTTCAGACAATGTTTATTTTTTCAGGATTGTTAACACAGAGGCGCTCTCTCAGCCAGTTTGTGATGAATGTGATCCTCAGAGTTGTCCCGAAACATCCTGTGAATGTGGCACAGTTAAGGATGGTTGCAACTGCTGTGATTTATGTAGTTTGGTAAATAGTATTTATATGATTATGTTGGGTGTGTTTATAATTTGGAAGCATGAACTTTAAAAACTTCAACTTTTTAAACCATTTTGTTGCGATTCATTGGTAAACTCTACGAATGCAAGATAGACGAATAGACTTAAGTTCCCTTTACAACAAATTTGAAAGTATTATTCTACCTTTTAGATATGTGATATGTTTAAGCAAAAGTTTTTTTGAGTAATATATAAAAATAATAATGATACATCACGCACCGTTTTTGTAACAGAAATGGCGTCTCTAGTCTTGATATTTCTCGGACATCTCATTTCCTAATGCTTCTATATATGGCTCTCATTAAATAACGGCTATTTTACACTTTGACAAATATTTTTTTCAATACTAAATATTATTTTCTTAACAAAATTTTTATTTTTTTGGGGAATTCCTATTGGAAGTCCCGTCGGAATTTGATCAATAACTGATGTTACTTTGAAAGCAGATATCATACCATAAAAATATAAAGAGTAACAAAATACTTGCGTATATATTTCTTAATTTCTAAAGATTAATCAGAAACATTAAATTGCAAATTACATTTAGAATGAAATCAATTAAAGTTTTCAATTATTATTCCCAATTACAATATATTTTTACATTTGCGATTCTGTATTTTGCATTCAGATGCCTCAGGATCTCATTTAATTTCAGTCCACACAGTATAAATTTCTTCAACTGTCAAGTTTAGCTGCCCAGCTTCATTTTCTGCACATATATCTGCAGAAAAGAAAATTAGCTTTCATAATTTTCTTTTAGTCCAATTTAGAAAGGAAGGCAAATCATGCATAAACGTTCGATAATAAATGTAGCAAAGCCAAAAACAAGTCAACACTATTCTTGAATAAAATATTGATTACATGAATATAAAACTCGTCGGTACTTTAAAAACTCAAGAGAAGATCAACACATTATAATATTTTAATTGAAGTAATAATATTAACTTTTAAGTATTATTAATATTTTATGTAATAAAATATATAATAAGTATTAATATTTTGTTTCTTTACTAATTGAAAAGGTAAATGATTGAATAAAAAATATGAAAGACTTATTTGCAAGATTGATCGTAATAGAAAGCTCTGAGAATCGAAGAACAATGATAAATCGTTAAATGGCGTCATCTAACGATGCATCAACAATTAAATATTTCCATCTGTGATTGTCAGCTTCAAATAAATCGTGTGTGACCATCTAGTATCGGAAAATAGTATTATAGAGGTCGTAAATCCATAATGGATATTTTGTTCTGTTTTAATATATGGAAGTATTATTAGTTTGAATTATAAGTCCCGCAGTTGCATAAAGGGTAGATGCTCAAGTGAAAGCTAAATTTACAAATTTTTCAGTATCTTTGAGAAAACTTAACTTTTCCTTTTTTGAAGATCATACCCCGTATATTTTGAGAGTCACAAATTCAAATTTATCGAAAAAAGTATGTTTTTAAAGAAAACACGTTTTTTGTGTCCTATTTCGTAACCTATAAATTTTACTTACACTATCTAATTATAGCATAAGGTGTTGCCGGCGGACAATTAAACTGAGTTCTGTTACGTGATAATCTGATCATTACAAATCAAAAATTATACGTTCTTTTTCATTTTTGTACTGTTCCTTTCAAAGTTGTAACAAACGCCAATTTTCTTTTAAACTTAATAAGCTTTCCCTCTTTCCAGTGTGAAGGTGATTCTTGCAGAATATTTGCTGGCGATGCATGTGCTCAAGGCTTACACTGTGGACATCCCCCTGGTACAAGTTTTGCTGACAGATATAATAATCCAGGAACATGTGTTCTCAACGATTCTTAAACAGAATTTTTTATTCATTCACTTCTAAAGATTAATTGTTTATCTTTTGAAATAAAGAAGTAAATATTTCAGAGTAAATTTTATTTCATTTTTTTTTTAATTTTATAACCGTCCTTGAGCAGCCGATAAAAATTTTTGGGTTTACGACTAATATTGTTCAACTATGTAGCCTTGTAATTTTGAACCCAATCCAGAAGACAAGGGAATTCCTGGATCCAATATTAAAAGAAATTAGCTTTTGTGGAGGACTTTTTTTGATGAAACTAACCCACATTTGCCTTACATCACGAAAACCTCCCATAGTTAGCCAGACTGCAAGGGGACTCTAACCCATGATCCATCTACCACAAAGGATATTTTACGTCAGCAACAAGGGAACTCCTGGACCAAGTTTTGGGGGAAATTCGCCTACGTGGAGGACTTTTTTGATGGAATTAATCCGCATTTGCGTTACGTGGAGAAAACACGTAGATCTACCACGGTTAACCTGATGGCAATTGGACTCTAACCCATGATCCGTCTACCACTGAGGATATTTTAAGTCAGCACTGTGATCGGTGCAAGCCTGATGCGGAATTCATATCGATCAGCCATCACTGGGATTCGAACCCGGTTCACGTCATTGGATGACGTACGCTCTATCTCCTGAGCCATCACGACTCGTTCAGAATAAATTATAACCATCATTGAACAGTCGACCCAATTTTTGGGTTTATGACTACTAATGTTCATCTATGTAGCCTTGTAATTTCGAACCCAATCTAGGAGACAAGGAAACACCTGAATAAAGTGTTGGCAGAAATTTGCCTTCTTTGTGAGGAAACTAACCCGCATTTGCGTTACATGATGAGGAAGACCACGAAAACCTCCTACGGTTAACCTGACGTCAAGAGGACTCTAACTCGTGATCCGTCTACCAATGAGGATATTTCACGTCAGCACTGTGGTCGGTGTAGACTGGATGCGGAATTCGTATCGACCAGCTATTTCTGGGATTCGAACCCGGGTCACCCTAATGGAAGGCGAGAAGAATAAATTCTTCTGTCTTTATTTCCTATTACTCAAATTGTTAATTAAAAGGTCACTTCCCGAAAGATATGGCTAAATACGCCGAAAGTGAAATAAACATTAGAAGGATCCGATCAAAATTTTTCCAAACTAAACAATTGGGACCAAATGTTTCAGAATGAGGCTATTCCCCATATTTTGATGGAGTAAACCCTGGCACTCATTGTGCTGTCTGTCCACTGAGTTTGAATTGCTGATAGCGATGTTTTTCAAAAAGTAAATTTTGATAATTTGCTACTATACTTGAAGCAAAATTGCAAGGTTCTACTGAAGCAAATAAAGTGACTTCAGTGTTGGCTTAAAAATTACAAGGATACGAAAGTCAAAGGTTTTGTTTAAAGCTCATATGTATCTTGGTAAAATATCTGAAAAGACAAAGTAAAATGAAACTGAACTAAAATTAATTTTGGGAATTGAAATGAGCTGCAGATGGAGTAGGGCAGAAATAAGACGTGCAACCCGTTTTCTTCCCAGATGGTGATTTTTTTAATTAGAAAAATTGTTACTCGATCACACAAATTTTCTCTATTTGTTTTTTCTTTTCTTTTCTAATTTACACAAATAAAAATTCAAAGTTGAGTATTATTTTCTATTACCGTTAAAAGAACAATGAACTTATTCGAAAACACCAAATTCATCTTACAAAAAAAAGAACATGAATTATTCTATTGCTTAGAGCTAAAGTAAACTTCGATTTTCGTAATAATTTTTATCGCTCATTAATGATTCATTTTTGTTCTACCAAAAAAAATTTTGATTTTTTTTCCTCCCCTCCTAACGCCACGTGGAAGCTATTAGCTGATAAACAACCGGAACGTAGGAAGTGAGAAATTCTGATAACTTAAAGGCACTTCCTGAATACGTAATGAAATATGTTAACTCTTTTGTTAAATTACATTTTATATTAATTTAATATTAATTTCTTACAAAGCAAATCTCAAAATGAAACCTCCAACTTTGTACATCGTTGCAATCACAATATTGGTGACAATGTAAGTATAGAGTGAAAATCCCTTTTTTTTTAATAACTGAGTAATAAATTATTAGTATTAATTTATTATTAATTATTATTTTAGATCGTAATTATAAAAAAAAATTATCCTCACAATAGGTTTGATAATCATTACTGTTAAAATTTCAAATTTTAACCTAGTTTTATATATTGTAGTAATTAGAACAAAGCGGCAACAACCGGGAAAAAAATGTAAAAATTGATAGAAAAAATGAAGAAACGAATTCTTTTTGTGAATTCTCTTTTACCAAGATTTATTTGTAAATTAAAAGATATCTATCTAGATGTTAAATTTAACTAGATTATAATACTTAAAATTTAAAGTGAAATTTAAAGCTATATAATTTCTCACAGACTAAAACATTTGTATAACTGGTAATTTCAAAGAAAATCAAATCAATTAAGCAAAATCAAGCATGCATTCATAATTACTATATCTGATCTATTTATACGTCATGCTGCTCAAAGTTACCGAAATTAAATTTTAAAACAAAGAATTAAAATTAAATAAAAAAAAATCTTACCATTTTAGATCTAATAATAAAATCCCCAGCTAAATACGAAAAAATTTGTAAAGGCGCGTGTATATCACCGTGTAGTACAATGTCTTTATGAAAATCATAAATGCCTTTATAAAATTATAAGCCAATTATTTCGCTGCTGTTGAGATACTTTTCTTAATCTTAAAAGTTAAATCATAAATCAATTTACCTGTTATGACAGATCATTAATTCAAACATATGTATTTAAAATTCGTTAGTTAATCAAGCAAATACTGATGATTGCTGTAGAGCTTATATTTTAGGAAATTATTTATGCCTTGAATATTATTACGCTGCAACTTTAAAAAATCTTTTTCAACAACCGTACAAATTGACAGGTTCGAAAAACAGTGGTAGAATATTTACGTTACACTTTATTTGCCTAAACCATTTAGGCATGATATAATTTCTTTCAAATAACCAAAAATATTTTTACAAAAATATTTTTATACATTTAAAAAAATCTCATGCAATAAATTTAAACTCTACCTGCTAAGTTTTCATTTGTTTAGTTCTGCAATCATACTCGATAAATTTAAGTTAGAGATTTTAAATTTCAGGAGCATAAGCAGATTCATATTGCTATTCATTTCGAATAAAGATTATTAAATGCATGTCTAAAATCAATTCTTATATATTTATTATGCTAAAGCTAGCTAAAAATATTTCTAAAATATATGCTCCCAATTTATGTTAATAATTATTATACTAATTTGATGTTTTACTAAAACCTTGCTGTTTACCTTGCATTTACCTTAAATCCATAATAAAAAACATTATGCATAAACGTGAAAAACTAGTTTAAGCAAACGAACAAAAATATAAGAATAAAATTTAAAGCGAACTAGATTTTAATAAATGCGTTATTAAAAGAACATTGATGACGCTATTTTATTTTCTGCAGAAAACTTAACGTTTGACTTAATATTAATTTGAGAAATATGCTAGAACTGTTTTATGATTGATTTACATTTTGTGAACAAATTACTGAGAAACGATTTTGGGGGGAGGGGAGTTACGAAAAGACGTAACGGAAAGCGTTGTCAAGAAATCCAATCGTCTAGCTCAAAATTTCTCTTTACAATCTGTAGTTGTAAAGGTTTCTTTGCACACCTTCCGATTCGAACCAATCACAGTGCTGACATAAAATATCCTCAGTGGTATGCGGAAAATGGGTTAGAATACCCTGGCCGTCGGAATAACCATGGGAGGTTTTCGATGTTTTCCCCTCCTTATAACGCAAATGGTTAGTTCTATCAAAAAGTCTTCCACGAAAGCTAGTTTGTACCAATGCTTGATCCAGATGTTCTATTGTCTTCAGGATTGGAATTAAAAAGCCGTAAAATTATGAAATATACTTCTCCTGGCACTTGAATGCAAAGAAATAATTCTCAACTGCATAAAGTTTGCAAAAAAAACTGCTCTCTATAAGGTATTAATTAGGGTTGCTAAATGAATAAATTAATTATTAAAGAAAAGCTATTCTAAACATTTTAAATTTTTCCCCGGAGTATTTCTTGAGAATTACCTATATTTTCCTTTAAAATTATTCTTTGGTTAAGATATGGATCTTTTCTTGGTTGTTTTATGCAGTTTAAATACTACCCCAGACATTTTGATAATCCCATGTACAGTGAAGGAAAAAAAATCACTCTTAAATAAATTTTGTTTGAGTGATCAGATTTTCACGTATTGTGTGCTAAACTAAATGATTCCCGTAGGTTTGACCTCAAAAAATTGAACCATTAACTTAATGTTAAAATTACGAAATCCCTTTCCAAAAGTGTATTTTTTCGTGGAGGATTTAGATTTTTGATAATCAAAGTTTGGGGATATCATTAAGTTAATAGCTGAATAATATAGTCATAGCTTGAAAAATACAGTCATACTTTAGCCAGGAGAGCGGTTGAAATTTGAGCCCCGTATTTTACGTATTTCGCTAATAGATAAGAACTATGAATTAAAAAATTTCCTCACACATTTATAAAATTTGTTTATTCACACAATGATAATTTCTGATAAAATATTATTTATTTTATTCTAATTTATAATTTTTTAAATTTTTAATTAATAGTTGAAAACCTTTGAACTGTACAGTAATCTATTTTTTTGCGTCATCTAAAATTGTGGGGTCGTTCATATATTGCGTAAGCATAGTTTTGGTTATTTTGGACTCTCCTCCCTTTGTTTTCACCCCAAGAAAGTTACAACACACCACACCTTGCTTTTGCTTTAACTTTGGCAATAGTTATCTAATTTTAGGATAAATTCAAATAAAAAGTTTCTGTTTAACAAAGTTTATAATGAGTATAAAGTAACCGTTTTTGTTTAATAATGTTTCCGTTTCAATTCATTTTATAACATTTAGAGTGGAATTTTCTTTAGAAAACTTTTGCCTTCCTTTTGTGTCCAAAACTCCTGACGTCTGAAACCCTTCGAATAAATTTTTTCAATTTTTTTCTTTCCCTGAATTAAATTTTTATTGCACATTTGTTTTTTTTTTCGTAGCGTTTTTATTTAGCATCTTAAGATAATTTTGAAAATAAGGGGTTTGTCTCACGTGAGCATTGCTCATACCCTTCCTTCCCCCTTCTCAGCAAAAATAAGCAAATCACAAAACCTCCCACTGTTAGCTGCCTACGTAATATTAGAATATGCAATTTTAAATGAGTAAAAATAACATTTGAATGAAACTGGAATCGAACTCGAAGCAAAAAGCATGTCACATCTCTGTAGTAGGTAGTATCATTAGTAAGTAGTATCATAGTATCATTCTTCTTTTTTTAAGGTATGTTGTTTCTAGTGAATGTGTAACGTTCATTTAGTTTTAATTGCATGTTATAACGAAAATTTCAAGTAAATATTGTGCAGTTCTCAATGATATCATGATAGTTCGTCTTCTAAACTAAATTGTAACTCACTCAAAGTAACTGTGTTGAATCTGTTAGAAAAGAGAAAAATAAAGAAAAAAATATTTAAAATATCTTTAAAAAAATATTATTAATCCCTAAGAATTGAACACATGTTTATTAACAAAAATTTGTCGAATTAAAGAATATATTTACGCCATATTTNTTTAAGAGGTACAGTTTTTAGAGTGTAACGATAAAGATTCGATCAATAATAATATTGAATACTACGATTAATTTTTAGTATGAAATATTGTGAGTATTATTGGCAATGATAATTATATGAAATGCGATAAAATCACATTCATTATTGATAAGTACCGAATACTGTAATTTCACGAACATTATCAAGCCCGATACTTTTATCTATTATTTTTTTTACAACCGACGTTAAACAGCCGACTCAATACTAAGTTTACTATTAACAATATTCAACTTAGAGACACCGTAGTTTTGAATCCAGCTCAGAAAACAAGCGAACTCTTGGATCATTCATTAGGACAAACTAGACCTCGTGGAGAACTTTTTGATGTAAGCTACCCGCATTTACATAACACGGAGGAGAAAACCACGAGAACCTTTCATTGTTAGCTCGACGTCAATGGGATTCTAACTCATGACCTGTCTACCATTGAGGGTATTTTGCGTCAACACTGTAAGCGATACGAGGCAGGATCAGAATTCGTATCAAGCAGCCACCGTTGGAATTCGAACCACTGGCACCTAATTGGGAGGTGGATGATCTACTGGGTCATCGCTGTTCTGACCCCGATACTTTTTATTTTATTTTTATAACCGTCGTTGAACAGCCGACCCAAATTAATGGGTTTACGACTACTAATGTTCAACTCCGTAGCCTTGTAATTTTGAACCAATCCAGAAGACAAGGAAATTCCTGGATCAGTACCCCCAGAGGTATTGATTTGTTATGGGAACATGGAGGACTTTGAGACTCGACAGATTTAACGTGCATCAGTCATCATTTACTACACGGGGAGTCTTCGGCGGGCGAGGATCGAACCCTCGACCTCTTGGACTTGGGCCCAGCGCCCTACCGACCAGGCTATCCCGGCCTGACCCCGATACTTATTGAATACAGTATTATCATGACTGTTGATGATTTTGCTTGCTTGATAAATATCGATATATCCCGATAGTAAATTTTTCAAATCGCCTAGATTTAAAAATGTAAGGAAACAAACTATGAAAAAAAAGAAAGAAAGAAAAAGAAGGTTGCATCCGTTATGTGATTTCTGTATTAACTCCATAAAATAATCAGAAACTGCAGCAAATATTTGATTGCGTTTAATGAAAATTTATTTCGCGCGTTTATTTTTGACGTTTTAAGTGATCACTGGAATAATTATAACACCATAAATTACTATACACCTCATTATGAACGCCAATAATTAAATCATAACACCATTAAATTACGACACACCTCATTGTGGGCATAATTGTCTTAATTACGTATAATTTTGCTATTTTTTACGTATCATTTTTAGGATGGGATGTTCAAGATGTAAGCATTCTTTTTTCAAGAGAAGAAAGCAATAAATGAGATGAACATAGGAGCAAACTTGCACGGTCGTATAAAGAGAACTTTTTCTTAATGCCCGTAACATTGATGTTTTAGCGTCTAAATCTTAACTTTAAAAGCTAAATCTTAAATTATTTTATGAATCATGACAAATCAATAACTGAATCCTGTGCATATCAGATATATTCGTTAGGCAACTATGTTGAAGTTTCAGTAAATTCTTAATACCTTAAGTATATATAATTATATTAGTACTTCGAAAAAACTTTCCTAACCGCCGTATAAGTTTACTGCTATGAATAATAAGTTGTAGTCACATCAAAGATAAAAATAGAAGATTTTACTCATATTCTTAGGATTGTCAACATAAAGGCGTTCTCTCCGCCAGTTTGTGATGATTGTGATCCTGAGAGTTGTCCCGAAACATCCTGTGAATGTGGCACTACCAAGGATGGTTGCAACTGCTGTGATTCCTGTAGTTTGGTAAATAGTATTTAAATGGTTATGTTAAGGGGAGACGCTTCAAAGTGAAAACTTCAACTTTTTAATCCATTTTGTAGTGGTTCAGTGGAAAGCTCGACGAACGCAAGACAGGCAAACAGTATTTATTCACTGTATAACGTTTTTTCCACTTTTTCGATGATAAAATGTGATTAAATCAAAAGGTGCTTGATTAAGTATAATGATCCATCCCTTAAGCCGTGATGACTCAGGGGATAGAGCGTTCGCCTTCTAATGAGGCGAACCGAGTTCGAATCCCAGTCGATACGAATTCCGCATCCGGCTTGCACCGACCAAAGTGCTGACACAAAATGACTTCAGTGGTAGATGGATCATGGGTTAGAGTCCCCTTGCCATCAGGCTAACCGTGGAAACGCAAATGCGGGTTAGCTCCATCAGAAAGTTCTCCACGAAGGCAAATTTCTCCCACTACTCGATCCAGAAGTCCCCTTGTCTTCTGGATTGGGTTCAAAATTACAAGGCTGCGGAGTTGAACATTAGTAGTCGTAAACCCATAAAAGTGGATCGGCTGTTCAACGACGGATATAAAATGATTCATCCCGTATCATTTTTATAAGGGAAAAGTCGTCTCTAACTTCAAGTGAATTCCCAGATGTCTCGTTTCGTTATGCACCTGAAGCCTCGAAAGTTCAGGAAGGTAGATGAAGCTTTTAATACCAAAAAAGTCGCCAAGATCACCGAGATGGTCGCCAAATTGGAGATCATCACACTGTTCTTTCCTTTTGCCTGTAGGTTGTTATTGTGAGATCTTCAAATGCGTAAAATCACTAAATTAAACCACAATAGATTTCTCTGGAAAAATTGTGCGTGGTAAACAAATAATAATGAGAGATTCGTTATTTTTATCGAAAAATATACAATAGATACATATTTTAATCTAAAAGACAATTTTCATGCTCTCCATTAAAATCGTAAAATAAAAATGTATTTTCCAATGTACCTTAATTATTGATATCTTGTGGTTGCAAAGGGTAGAAAAAATAAATTTCATTATTTTTATTATGCATAGTTGCATCAATCACTTAAATTTTTCTTCATGGAATCCACTCTAAAAGAATTTCAAGACAGAACTTACATTTTGACTAAGTAACGCGATCCAGCGTTGCTCAACAGAATTTTCAGAAATTTATTTCCCCATAACAGCAAAAAACATCTGTTCATCAGAATGGCCCATACATTATATCAATGACTTGTTTTTTCTAAAAATTTTTGTTTCTTCATTTTTTTAGTTTATTTTTCACAGCAAACAAAACAAAAGCTACCTTGTATCTTTTCTTACACCATTTGCTAAATAATAAACCACTAATTTTTTATTGAAGCTATTCATATCTCTACTTATTTTTCCCTTCATCAGCATCAATTTTTAGCTCTATAAATTTTTTTCCTTCAATAATCACAACTTGAGCATTTTATTTCGACTTTCTCAGCATTTCTAAACATCAGGGGAAAAAAAACTCAATCAGATTCAGATTAAACTTGAGAAAATGTTGAAGTTCCGTCATTCATTATTATTTTGCTGTAATTACGAAAATTAATGTTTTGATTAAAAAGCAATAATTTTTTAAAACTGTTTTTACCCAAAAATATCTAATTTTTTTTAAGGAAAAAAGAATTTTTTTTAACGAATTCAAAAAACAAATTGGAGAGTGGGTGTAAATACCTTTCCGGAAATACTTTTTTAAAGCTCAAGTGAAAGCTAAATGTAAACATTTTTCAGTACCCTTGAGAAAAACTTAAGTACCATCTTTTGATATTTCCGAGATCACAAATTCAAATCCATCTAAAAAAAAACATGTTTTTTTTTTTTAGAGAAAGCACATTTAAAGTAAGGTTCATTAAATCAAAAGTTATTTATTTTTTAATCTTTTGCAATGTACATTTAAGCATGTGTATTGTACACTGATAATTACTTATGGTTCCAATTTTATACTTAATAAGCTGTTTTTCCTCCCTAAAGTGTGAAGGTGATTCTTGCAGAATATACGCTGGAGATGTATGTGCTAATGGCTTACACTGCGGACACCCCCCTGGTACAGATTTTGCTGACAGATACAATAACCCAGGAACATGTGTTCCTAACGTTTCTTAAAAGGTTTTTTTATTCATTTAAATACTTTAAAAGATTATCTGTTTATCACCTGAATAAAAGAAGTAAATTTGGCATGATTTTCTGCTATCATAATTTCTTATTACAGAAATTGTTAATTAAAGGCTTTCTTCCCAAGAGATATGGCTTCTGCATACTTATAAGCATGCAGAAAGTGAAATTAACATTAAAGGGACATACTTTTTGCACCACTTGAATAAAATATCGAGACCAAATTGTGGCTACTTCCCATATTTGTTGAAGGAATATCTAGTAGATTTATTTAGAAAAAGTACATTTTTGTGTCTGTTTTTGAAACTTAATATTAACAATACAAGTCACTCTTTTTAATTTGTCACTTAATTTGAGAATATTCGATCATAAGGAAAAAAGTAATTTAATGTGATGTCTTTTTTATTTTGCGCACTGCACCTTATCTTTCAGGTTCAAAGAATTTTTCAAAATACTTTTAAGAAATGAATTTAGACACGTCAAGGAATAAAAGAAAAATTGCGAATAAAAAAAGTTGCTGCATAAAAAAAGGGGGAGCTTTCCACCATTCCAACCTCAAAAAACTTTTTTAGTTTTATCAAAAATTAATAATGAAAGTTAAAACTTAATTAAATATTAAAAAATATTTTAACAACCTCCTTGTTTAGAATACAACTTGTTATTATTATTAAAAGTACTCTTTTTATTAAAATTAAATTCATCATTTTCATTTTAGAGTTTATTTGAGAGAAGTACAGAGCTAAAAAAATATATATATATGAATTACTTTCGTTCTAATGATCGGATTTTCACGTACTGAGTGTCAATCCTAATAGTTTTTGGAGGTGACCTCAAACAAATGTGCTAATTATTTAGCATCAACTATTAATTAAGTTACGAAATCGGACACGAAAACGTACTTTCTCAGAATATATATATTTACATATTTGGATTTTTGACCTTCAAAATATAGAGGGTTGACGCAATCTGGGAAATATGGTCCTCATAGTTTGGTCAGGACAGCTGTCCAAAGTTCGTTTCCCTTAATGTTAATCTCCCTTTCTACGTTTTCAAAACTAGTTAAACAATTTAAAAAAAAAATTGCACCCACTCATAAAAAACGTTTACTCAAAGATAATTTCATGCAAAAATAATTTTTAAAAATTATTAATTAATTTAATTGTGGATGAAAAAAATTTGAATTATGAGGTATGATATTTTTATACTGAAAAATCAAAAGTTCCAACTGTTTTTATCTAGTGGAAGCCGAGAAAAATTTATTATTTAAAAAAATAATTTGGCGTCAAGGAAGAAATATTTTATTGGGGCGATTAATATTTAAATGTGGTTAACCTTCCAGGAACTTGACTTAAGCACGAGTAGCGTAAAATTTCATTCATATTTTTTTTCCGCTAATAATCAATTGCTAATCATTTCTTTTTAATTATAAAATGAGATGCTTTTTTTCTCTCCAGTCGTCTAAAAATTTATTCGTAATTTACTAAAGAAATTTGAATAAAATATTTCATTGAATAAAAACATTTTATTTAACAAATGTCAAGGTTTATAAAAGTTTCGAATAGATTGTGATAATACATCAGCTTTTTTTAATTTTATATTTTAGTTCGTTTTTTCAATAATTAATACAATTTTTCAAAAATATACGTGCGTATACATAGATTTGGAATAATATATTTATCAATTTCTTCAATTTATGTTTTATAACTATTAATACGAATACGTAGTCAACATTTTTAAGCATCTTAAAATTTCTCAACATCTTATATATTGTCTTAAAATAAATTGTAATAATAAATCTTAAAATAAATTTTTTAATTACCTGCCCACGCGTGTTCTGCAGAACTATTTTACCAACTATTTAATTTAGTTTTAACACTTCTCAAAATCTTACTTACGCAACCACGTATATTATTTTTTCATTAATATACTAATAATTTTCTTCAGTTCTTTAATTTAGGTTTTCTTTTGAAGTAAAATTCGTTTTTAAATTATTGTCAAGCTTTTATTAAAAGAAAACTTAGAATTATTGCTACCAATCTAAGAATTAAATCTTGTAAATAAATTAAAAACATTCTGCTGTATAAAATTATTGGATGCTAAGCAGCTGACTATTTACTAAGCATACCAGTTTTTCGAAATATTAAGATAAATTATTGACTTTTTCCATTGTTTCTTATTTATTCGAGTAATGAAATGTAAATGCGTTTATGTGCACAGCAACTTGTTTTGCTATCTAATGAACAACAAATTATGGACATACAACTTTATTTTGACGAACAAACTTATCCCCATTACCCTTTTATAAAGGTAAATGTTGAAAAAATTTGCTCTATCAGGAAAATGCTCGATATGCCTTATTTTGTTAAACAGCAAATACTAAAAATAGAAAATTGTAAAAAAATTCCAAAACTATGCTATTTTCAGAATTATCAACTTAAGAATTTCCTTAATACTAAAATAAGATAGATTAAGAGATTTTTGGATAAATTATCTTATATCTGTCATTAATATGTTCAGCAAATAATTTTAATATTCCTTTTTCAGAAATTATAAATCGTCCTTTTATTTCGCCGTAAAAAGACAAGAATGTTAAAGTTCAATTGAAACATGACACCGATTGAGTTAACCCCAGAATTGAAACCTGTTTGGACGTAACATTAAATTGCTTGAAACCGCTATAAACAATTAAATTAATTCTTTTATTTTGTTAAGAGCAGGAAATCTGAAGAAAAGTAGTGAAAAGCCCTGCTTACCTTCATGCTTACTATTCATCCATTTAATCATTTGAGTAATTGAAATATGTCCTAAGTATACACTAAAACATATCTAGAATAGATTTTTGATTGATGAATAAAAAATATATTTTCCAAAAATTTCGAATAGAGCGGAGGCGTTAACTTGTGAAATAATTTGCTTAATTTGTAATTACTAAACTTAGATTCCAGGGGAGACGGGTCATTCCATTGTCTCATTCTACTTTTGAAATTTCATTTTAACTGCATACAGAATTGTTTAACATCCTAATAAATGTTCTGCAGAGCAGCAGTCAAAAAATAAATAAATAAATATATATTGCTTTGAATTTTTCAGAAAGTTTTGGACAAATTATATATTGTTATGTTTTCAATCTAGTCAGAGTCATAAGCATTATCTTACGTAAAACTAATTTTAATAAGGTTTTAACATGCATACATGTTAATTGTATTTTACATGCCTTGGTGTATTTTTTATGCCTATTTTCACTTTGGGAAAAACTTTTGCTCCAACCTCATATTACTCATTAGATCAATAAACAAACAACACTGAACTCTGCAAAAACCAAAACTGCAATTTCTTAAAAAAGGAAACTATACAACATTTTATGATAACGTATTACTTAATAAGGTGAAACATCTGACCGTGTAAAAACAATAGTAAAAGAAAAATCATTTATTACTAATATAATTAATACAATTGCAATGCAAAGTTAAAAAGTATAAAATAAACACTGACATTAAATAAAACACAATAATAAATGACTCGATAAAAGTTCATCATAATAAATTAACTAAGATTTCCCAAGTAATAATTTTATTAAAAAGTGTAAATAAAATCATAACAAGTAATATAAATAAACAAAATGACTAGAACAAAAAATATAGGTGTATAAAGAATATAAATCACATTTTCATCATGCTGATTGGCATCAACGTCTTTATGCATGATACATTATCAGAGTAAAATGTAACACTTATACTATTTTTTAACAATGAATACAAATAAGCAGTGTTTGCAAACAAGACTCTACAAAATTGGAAAAAAAAATTGCAAAACATTTCTAGCTCAAAATAAACATTTTATGAGCATGCAAAAAAAAAAAAGTGAACAACAAAATAAGAAAAACATTTAAATTTCAATGTAGACAACAATAATTTCACAGTTTTTATTTTTACATATGAAAAAGAGATGAATAGGAGTCACATTAAAAGGGAGCTAAACATTGTAAAGGAGCCATGTGCCAATAAGAAAATTGCACAGGAGGAAAAAAAGGCTGCAAGTTACTATACTCTGTTTAGCAAGAAGCGATAGTGGAAATATTCTAAAGTTTTGCGGTTTTTTGCAAAACATAGTCCATTTCTATAACTACCCCATTGAGTGCGCAATTCTTTTCCTTTTAACTTTAAGTCAGATAAGATCCAATTGTCATAACCCGGCACAAATCAGCCAAAAGTATTGCCAAGTGTCTGGTTTGTTTTTACTACCAGTTGTCGTTAAACAGAGTACAAAAGACACAACCTAAGCACTTAACTCCTTTACACTGCTCCTCAAATCAAAGGTATGCCTCAATTGTTATCGCTTACATCTTTTCCAATGTCATCTCCTCAAGCTCTAATTTAAACTTCAGTTTACGAAAATGTCTTACATAGTTAGAAATTTAACAATTTTAATAATTAAAAATTCTCAAATAAGTTAACATAATGAAGTATTTAAAATCTATTTGCGATAATAATTTATCTTTGGACCTCAAACTAATGGAAATATAATTTTCTTGGCATAAATGCAGATACTTGCGCATATTTACATAGAACAAAAACACTTAAGAGGACGCCATACCGCGGAAGAAAATTATCATTGCAAATTCTCTTTATCCTTCATTACTAATTTAAAATTTGGAAGAAAGAAAAAGTAAGTTCAGGCACGCCTACAATAAGTCATGAAGTTGCTGAAAAAAATAGTTCAAAATATTAAAATGCAAACAAATTATTGGAAGTGAACTTCACCATTGCGTTAATCTAAGTTATCTTCTCAAAATTTATTTTCATTTACATATTTCAAAATTTTCTCTTATTCTTATTCGTATTTGAAACTTCAAGGCTTACTCTAGGTTTGTCGGAACTCACTTTAAGTTTTAAATTAGTAGAAGGAAAAAGAGAATTTGCGAGGAAAATTTTCTTCTACAGTATGGCGTCCTCTTAAATGATTGAAAATCATATGAAATAAAATTAATTACTCATGTTAAAATCCCAAAAAGTTCTAATGTAACATCACAAATTTAAATTACAAATACATGCCATTCACAAGGTAATCTGCATCATGTGCTAAAGCTCGTCCTTTTTTTGACATCCTTTTGCGTATTGTTTTTACTCTGCAAACAAGGAAAACAAAGAGAAGGAATGTTATGGTTAAGCCCACAACTAAAGCAAGAATTGCACTGTTAGCTTCTTGACTATGTATTCTACTAGACTGATACAGCTCTGTCACAGACATTTTAAAATCCAAAACAGTCCGTTGCACAGATTTCGGTGGACTTGTTGGTTTGACAATAATCAAGGAATCTTTAGCAAGCTCCTTTCCTAAACATAAAATTTATATTTTACTAAGTCATAAAAAATTTAATTTGAACGAATACTAGAAATAAGATTTAATCACTTTTATTTAGTATCAATTTGATATTGCAAATGCTATTAATCTAACTTTAAAGCATTTTTTTAGTTTATTAAATGATTTGCTTGATTGAGAAAGCAAGAGAAAGGTACTTTACTCATTTGTGTTTCATTTTCCACTTTGTGTTATAAATTATTTTAAGCAGTTTTGTATTTAGATCAGACTATTGTCTCTTGTGCTGAAAAAGATTCAAAAGCAACATCTCCGATACAAAAATTCAAAAGATACCCCAAGCTGAACATTTTAGAGGAGAGACACCAGACAACGTATAGCATCCAGAGCGCAAAGCTAACAATCCATTCTCACAAAACCTTGTTCACAAGTAGAGTGCAAAAAAAAGAAAGAAAAGAGCACTTTGAATAACTTTTGATCTAATGATCGAATCTTTATTTCCATGCAAAATTTGAGCAAAATTGGTCAGATAACTCTCCAGAAATTTAATTTTAAAAAAGCCATTTTTAAAAAAATCTGATTATCAGAAACTATGTTACCCATTTTACTCAAATTTCATATCCTGCCATGTAAAATTACATTCTCTAACACAATGTAAAAAATTGTATATCCTCTAAAAAAATTTCAACTATTATTATATGTAAATATTAACATAATAATTATTTATAAAAAGTTATTTTTTGCACATAATTGTCTATGGATAATCAAATTTTATAATTTCATGAAATTTTTTTTTATTTCACTTAAAATTTTTTAGATCTGAAGTTTGATTTCCTAACTTAAAATATCGTATAATTTAAACTTAAAATATACACAAATTAATTATTTGAGGTCCCCCTCTCAAACCTTTATTTTATTTTATAACCGTCTTTGAACAGCCGACCCAATTTCATGGGTTTACGACTACTAATGTTCAACTCCGTTGCCGTTCTAAAATTAATTGCGATNGGTATTGATTTGTTGTGGGAACATGGAGGACTTTGAGACTCAACAGAATTAACGTGCATCAGTCACCATTTACTACACGGGGAGTCTTCGGCCGGCGAGGATCGAACCCACGACCTCTTGGATATGGGCCCAGCGCCCTACCGACCAGGCTATCCCGGCCCTCTCAAACCTTTAAGGATAATAGTGTCCTAGAATATGAAGAACCGATAACCGATATTTAGATCAGATTTAATTCAGGGATGTCTGATTTTTATTTTGCGCACAGTTCATGATGAATTTATACATGGGGCATTCCGTAACAACTTTGATGAGAAAATTTTTGCTGAACTTCTTGCTGCCGAAGCTTAAAAAAATTATATGTAAGAATAAACAGTGTTTCTAGTTGGATTCTCAAGCTGCTTTTCAGATTTCGACAAATAATAAAATTTCGTCCTCTTCTAACGTCATTTCTTGGTAACAGGCTAGTAGCGCTCTTATTGTAAATGGTATAAGAATTGCTAGCCATTTGACCACAAACATTGTCTCGAGTCTTGGTCGTGGGGGAGCAGATACACTAGCTAAATCAGCTCTGTGCTTGCCACAGCTACACTCTCCTCTTCCTATAAGAAATTATAAAGCTCTAATCAAGACGAAATTTAAAAAGTCAAGAAAACTTCATTGTAGTCACATAGCTGCTGGTAAAAGTTGGGAGTGTCTTCTACAAAATTAAAACAGAATTCTCCCTAATTTACCGAGCAGGAATGGAATAGCCTGCTTTAAAATTTTGATAGGTCATAACTACCCCCAGCAGCACCCTTTGGCAGAATTTTTTCAGGCATTCTGTGACAAAACTCTCTAGCCCTCATATCCTTCTGCAAATTAGTTTCAATAATAACAAAGATGTATGTTACAGATCTAAATTAACAAAAAATGCTGAGTTTACAAAAAAAAAAACATATCATTATTATCATTCAATATGTAATATTTTTTTTAAATTCGAATATTATGGGTGATATTATCGCATTTTGTTGGGGAGAAAACCGCGCCAATTCTTTCCAATATCGTAATTAACAAAAAACAAGTTGACGACGAAGTCACTCGAATTGAACTCTTCAAAAGGGGTTACTCAAGTTTGTGTTTCGTTTCAAGATTTGATTGTTGTAATAAATAAAATCGGATTTTAAAAACTATATAGAGGTCAAAAGCAATAATTGCCAAAAAATTATATAAGCGTTGCCGTAAAAAGTAAATACTAGAATGCATGATTCGAATTCCCCATATCATCTGAAATTTATCGGGATAATTAAAAACCACATGAAAATTAATAACTGCAGTAAATATAATCGAACCACTCTATGGATTTATGATGCTATCGGCGTAAATCGAACTCCACAGCAAGTGATTATTTAAATGCGCAATTCAAATTTTATGTATAAATTTCTGCAGAAATGAAAACCAAAATTTTTTCTGCAAGAACTCTGTAACGTTCTGCAACAATGTCACCGTGTCGCCACGATTCTGCCACAGGGCCGCAGCTTCTCAATAAAATTGACATCGCGGCCCCAGCTTCATGCCCTCTGTGTGGGGATGCCTTCATGAATAGACATCTCTTTGCGTGCTGATAATTGAAAGATATTGCCACTATAGAGTAATATTACTTTAATTATATACTTCTGTCTCTAGTTTTTTGTGCTTATATTAGACAGCAAGGTATGCCATGGCTGATTGGCTTAGGCTGGGCGAGGATAAAAAAATAAAACCTTGTTTTTGTTACAAAAGCCAAAGGACAATTTAGCTGAACTGACTTTATGAAATGAACAGGAAATAGAAAAAATTTGGAAGCTGAAATGGGGGAGCCTAAATGGAACACATTGAAGGTATTTGGACTACATAAAAGAAGGGTTGAAAAAAGATTCAAATTATAAATAAACCCTAAAATCAATGGGCATTGAAGTCCGTCTTTAGAAAGACTCAAGTTTTTAAAATTCCACAAAAGTATATGGGGTAAAAATATGCCAAAAATGTATACCAGTTCTGTTTAAAACTGTCAAAAACCTGTTTTCTTTAAAACTAAGCTAAACAAAACTTTCAAAACTTGTAACTACTAACAAACTCTAAGTCAAGAATTACTGCTATTTTGTCAAGTTAAAAACTTTTATTCAGTTGAAAAAGCACATTAAACAAAACTTAATTACAAACAAAATTACATGTTCAGTAGTCGGGGTCACAGTGCCGAAGCATACGACAGCAAGTGACTAATTTTGTCATTCTTCAGTAATGTAATAGTAATCAATCTTGACATTCTTCAGCAATGTAATATGCTAAGCAAAATGATACTTGGAAATGTTGAAAATTTTGTTTAGTATCCTAATATTTTACTTCAAATAGTATGTTTTGATATAATCATGTTGGAAAAATGCAAGAATCTGTTCTTAAATATTTCTTAACAACTTTTTTTTCTAATTTTATTCCCCAAAAATGAATTAATTTTAAATTATAAGCAGTCAAACTCAAATAAAAATACAGTTTTACCAAAACTATGGGTTTTTGACATAACAGTAAAAACCGTCATGTGTCAAAAACTTGCCAACCCTGATCAGAATATTATATATTTAGATTGAAAACATGCTAATTGTAATTTTTAAATAATAGTCTCTTTTTTAACATTTGAAACTAAACAATTCAATAATTAATATAGGTAATATTGCTTTAATCAGGATTTTTTAGTCACTTCAGAGTGAACCATCACCATACCTATTTTATAGCAATATTATATATATTACATACATATACACAGGGGTCAGTGCAGGGAAAATTTATTACCGTTTGGAGGTACCTTCATAAATTCAACTGTAGAAAAAACAGTAGTTTCACGAAATATTTCGAAAAAAACCAAGTTCTAAGATTCTCCCCTTCTTAAAATTTTGTTTTTGTAGCGCCATAAAAACCCCATAAAATCCCAGAGTTTATTTTAAAATGAAACAACGAGGTTTTCTCTCTATAAACTATACAGGAAGTCAAAATTTGAGCATCATGCTAAACATAATCTTTAACATTATTGTACATTTATTTTAACAGACCTTTATTTTTGTATGATTTTTTTTTCCTGTGAAAATTTTTTCTGTATGACCTATTCGAAAATGTTCTCATAATTAAAATAACTTTCAGTTCTATTATTGTTAAATGTAAGTAGAAAATTAACTATGGACAATGAGTTTTTTTTTTTTTACTTGGATTCAATTTCAAGCTCAAAATTTTACAAAAGCAAAATTATTTTTTAAATATTAGGGAAAAATATATAGAAATTTACCAGTCATAAATGATTTTTATTTGTAGCGAAAATTTTTGAAAATAATTTCTCATTTTACCATATTTTGGTGCTGATTTTTTAATGCAACTATTAATTTTCAAATTATGGCTAAATTTTCACAAAATAGGTATCTCTCAAAAAACCTAGATAGACCCCTAACACACGCACGCACGCACACACACATATCAGTTTATACAAAAAATTTTATAAACTGAATATGAAGCTGCAAATTACATAGAGCTCTGATCCCTGAATATAGGACAAACAGAAAAGACTTAAGAAAAACAGTTTAAAAGAAAAATAATAATTTTACAGCTTGAAAAATATTATTTTATAAAAAACATTAGTGAAAGCAGCAGTGATATGAAAAAAGCGAAAATTCAGTAGAGTAGCTTGATTTTTACGCAAGTAGTGATATAAATTACGGAAGAGTTAAGTAAAATAAAGTACTTATTAATAAAGAATTTACTTATTAAAAATACTTATTAATAAAGAATTTTTTTTTTCACAAAAATTGAAGAAATTAAAATAAACGATATAACTTATAAAAGAGAAAGGTAAAAAAGAGTGTTACATAAGTAACAATTTCATGAAATTTAATCAACTGCTATGGCATCACTTAAAGATATTTAAATCATTATTTTCATTTGAAATTATTTGTTATGTTTTAAAAAATATAAAAAAGGGAGAATAGCTGATCCGGTAAAAATTTTCCTCAGTGAAAAAAGTAATAAAGAAAAAGAAATTTATTAATGAAATTAAAAATTAATTCAAGAAGAAAAAGATACATTTTTCACAACTCACACAGTTATATAGGGAAAAGGTGCTTTTTAATAGTTAAAGCAAAATATATCAGTACAATAGTATGAAGAGCACAGGTTATGAAATATATTGTGAAGAGCACAGGTTATGAAAAATAGACATAAAGTGAAACACTCCAACGATAGCCATAGCAATGGGGCATGCGCTTGCCCAATATTTTGCCAAAATGCAAAATTTCCACAATTGATTGCAGAATTAAATAAAAATTTAATAGCTGAACAAAAATTATGATTATTACATCCACTATCCCAGTTACCACTTAGTTTGGATTATTCTAATGTGTTCATCAAAGATAAAAGAACCCTTTTAAAAAGAGAAAGAGACTTTAGATTATTGACTTACTAATGGCTTTCATTTAAAATTTGAATTTTAACACTCATAAGAAAAAAATGTTCTTTTAAAACACTGTTCTTTCTTTCATTTTTTAAAAAATTGTATTTCTCTTGAGGTAAGTGAAATATTTTAATCTTAAGATCACAAAAAAATTATTAAGAAATAATTATTACAGGAAAATTATTTAAATTGTATTAACTACATTAATGTCTACTAATGAAAAATTTTTTTCGAATGTGAACTGAAATAACTGTCTTTATTTCTCTTTCACATACTTTATTTAAACGATTCATATTTTTACATGTTTGGGAATTTTATGCATTTTGGTTTCAGTATAAATAATTGTGTACACATATTGACTTCAGTTTTAGTTGTTACTTTCATTTAAGTTAAGACATTTTTAGTAGTTCTTTTTTGTTAACAAAATTTGAAGTAAGATATAGTTCTGCTCAAAAAGTTAAATAAATATGCATTTAGATTAAATGTTTTAAATTATTGATTTTGCAAATGTGTCTTTAACGCTGTCATTTCTTTCGAATGAGTATTATAAATATAATAATTTAATGTGTATATTATCTTCATTAAATGAAAAAAAATTAGGATGTGATTAATATTTGCTTAATTATCTTGTTTCTGATTCATTATTTAATTCATCAATAAGAAATAAAAAATGTTCACTTTTTTTTTCAGACATTTATCATTGTAAAATAAAAATTTTATGGAAATCAAGAGGCAACCTATTAATATCAGCTTTAAAAAAAATAGAGAGAGAAAATTCTAAAAATAAATTCTTGTGCCGCCCCCAAAATTTTTCGTCACCTTACACCTATGACTCCAGTGCATTCATAAATTTTACTTTGGTGATATTCATACTATGTCAGAACACATTTTTATTGCCATAATATGAGATGAGAAAATGGTCAAATCATTTTTTGTATACTTAGCTTCTAATTCAATTTATAAAGTTTCAAAAAATATATTTTTTTTACAAAATTATTATTTCATCAATAAATTTTTTAAACTTGTCTATTATTATTGTTCCACCTTTATTATACTCTCTTTTGACTCTTTTTCAGCAATTTGATTAAGTTTCTGAAGTCTTTTTTGTTTCTTTTAATATTTTCAAAATAATAAATGAAAATTTACCTTTTTCACTTTCATGACTGTTTTTAGATTTCTCAGATTCGTGAGGCATAGATGATTCTCCCGAATGCTTGCTCTTATACTGATAAGAATGATCTAACAAAAATTTAAATGAAAAAATCAATATGCAAATAAATTTTAACATAGAAAATGCTAAAGTACTTAATTTTATTTAAATTGCACAATTTAATAAAAAAAATTTCTTTACCAATATGCATCTATTTAATCAGTGTGAGGACAATGATTAAAAGTAGTCTCTAATAGCATACTCAAATGATTAGTTTTTTAAAAATTTTTCTTTTAAATGAAAGGTGTGAGATGTAATAGTTAATAGTTTGGAGGGGGGTGTTAGTTGAAGGGGGGAAAACATACGATTGGTTAAAATTGGTGAGCTAATTCTTATTTCGGAGCAACTGTTTAAATTACTAACAGAATTGTTCTGCAACAAAAATTAGGTTGCTTAGTAATTTAATTTACAATTACTTCAGTCATATCAACTTTAAAAAGATTGATTTATTGTATTGATTGATTAAACACAACAGAAAAAAAAAGCACAACAGAACACTATTTGCTGTGTTTTATTCACATTTATGTAAATAATTTTTCACAATTGGACTGTCAAAAATTCTACATATAAAGAACTGTTAAAACTCAGTTTTAATTTATAAAATTAGGAGAATAATTTGTATGCTAAAATATATGAAACAAAAAAACAACAAAAGTTTAGTAGAAGTAGTACTATATTTACGCTGCATTAGAGCTGCGCAATGGCTATTGGCGATGGTCTGGGAAACCTCCCTGAGGATAATCCCAAGAAACAATTTTGCCCTGCTATAACAATTTTGATTCTTGCAAAGGGGCTCCACTGCTTTGGTAGCTAGTAGAACAGTTTAATGAGGACCAATACTGCCCACCCTTGGTCCTTTCACATGTTGTTCAAAGTGATCACCTTAACGCAGCCAGTGATGCTTGAATTCGCTGATCTACCGGGAATCGTGTTTTACGAGCAGTCCACTGTGGGACACAAAAAAAGAAGCATAAAATAAGCACTTTCTCTATTTAAGCTTTTAAAATAATGAGGGTGGATGAGGTTTTGTTTATATCATCAAAACAGCTGTATTCTGATAACGCTCTTTTATTACATATCTAACGTTGCTTTTGTCATATTAATCTTATACTAACCCATTTCCATTGGTATCTGATTAACTAAACTGGCTCTAATAAGATCATCACTATTGTAAACAGAATCTTCCATATTCCGAGTAGGGTAACTTTTAGGCTTCATCTCAGGGTAGAGTTGTTTTTGCAAAACATCGTCATATGTTAAATAAGGTTGCTGTCTTTCCAAAGCGACTCTATGTGGTTTGTAACCTTCATTCTCAGATGCCCTATTTTGCTGTGAAGTTTCCGGTGCAGGATCTGGAGGTTTGCTAAAAAATATATACAAAAATTAAAAAAGCAAATTAACATTTCATACTGTAAAAGGATTAAAACTAGTCCATTAAACATTTAATGAAAGTAAGAAATAGATAAATAGGGTGCCTACTAAAGCTCATAACAACTCTGAATGGTTAAATATATAGTAATAAAAGTGGTATCCATGTGCAGTTAACTTTATAGATAAGTAAAAACTAAAATGGATTTTTCTTTGTTCGATCACTACTTGATCGACTGTAATAGAAGTTTAGAACTTTCACCTTTTTTGTGAAACTAGTTTTTTCATACCCGCCAACATTGGAGAAATAAAATAACGGAGATTTTACTAGCAGTATTTCTTAGGCTACGAGCCAAGTTTTGATACATAATGCATAATGTAAGTCAAAAAAAAAAAAATAGTATTTATAATAAAATTAATAAAAAAGTATAATAAAAAATATATAAAATATACTAGTATAATAAAGAAGTATTTTTGCCATTAGCAGGTATTTAATCAGCAAAAAAAAATTTTTTTAAAAAATTTCTTCAACAAATATGGAGAAATTTGAGAATATACAGGTAAGCAGGAGATAGTCATAAAATACAGGAGACTTGGCAGGTATGTTTTTTGGTGACATGACGGTGACGTCATGAAGTACGGGTGTTCAGCCAGTCTTCCTAATTTGCTGTTGGTAGATCACATGTGGGACATACAGAGCCGGATTATACCTTTCGTAGGCCCTAAGCATAGCCGTTTTTGGGCCCTCCCCTCCTCCCCCCCTTTTCAAAATATAAGCTAAAATTTTCTTCCTTTTTTTTTTTAAACATTTTTATTAATATGGATTTTAATTTACAAATTTGTTTATCGAACTTTTGGCGTAGTTTGGAATTCGACAGCATAATACAAGATTTCGTTGAATCCAAAAATCGCAAAAAAGTAATATACAGTACAGAACCCGTTATCCGGAAATCAGAAAACCGGAAAACCAAAAAACCGGAACGAAATACGACAAATTTTCCCGCTATTTTTAAAATTTTTTTTTCCTCATAAGATTTTAGGATTTTTCGTTCTTTTTTTAAAGATTTTTACCTTACCATCATTTTGGTAATAATCATTAGTGTATTACTTCATCGTTTTTTCTTCTTTTTAAAATTATTTCCAATTTTTTTTTGTTGGGTTTAACAATAAAAAAACGGCTTTTTGCAGCGATTCAGAAAACCGGAAAAATCAGTTATCCGGAATATCGATGGTCCCGATCGTTCCGGATAATCGGTTCCCTACTGTATTAGATCATAAGATTCTGCAAAATAATTTAATACCGAAAAATATTATATTTTTATTTGTATCTTCATAATTTTGTGCAAAATACACTTGTTGTTTTTAAAGCTAAATTATTTTTGTCAACAAATTTTTTTCTCCCAAGTTTTTCGTAGGCCCTAGGCACGTGCCTAGTGTGCCTATAGGTTAATCCGGCCCTGGGGTCATAATATCATTCCTTATCTGTAGCACAAGAGTACTAAAGCCTGAGTTAAAGATTGTTATATTATATTCTTTCTTTTCTTTGTCTTACTGATATTCTGTTTGTCAGAATATAATGTTTATATTTTTTTAAGTTTAATACGTTTTAAAACAAATTACTTTTGAATAGACACTTTATGCCTACCTTAATTTAAGTTAGTATAACAGGGAAAAGCAATGTATATTTAGCTGAAATAGGCTATTCGGCTGTCAAAACTGGCCATGTGCAACAAATTAAAACTGCTTACAGCACCAACTTATGGAAAACCGCAGCATTAGTGTATTTGTCTTGAAAATTTTACAAAGTAAAGAGAAAAAGTGAAATAAAAAGTTGCAGAATGCATTAACTGCATTTGTTAGTTTAGAATTTTCTACATTAGGAAGGAATGAAATAAGGAAAAGAAAAAAAATCTAGATATCACAATACACCTTTATTTTTCAAACTTTTCTTCAGTTTTAGTAACCTGCTTTTTTATTTCCTTTCTATTTCTTCATCATAATTAGAAAATTTAGAAAAGACAAATCCACATTTTAGTTTTTTTTTTTAGCTTAGCATTATTTATTAAAGTAATGCTGACAAATAGTTTATTAATGCTAAATTAACGATGTTCTAAATCTCTACTAGACCATTTTTAGAATTATAGCAGCTGTTGTCGAAAGTTAAGCAGTGCTTATGGTCTTTAGTATCCTGTATAACTTTAAAAAATAATTTTCACTCATATAAGTGTAGTGAATGAGAATTATTTGATCAACTATGATTTTGCTCATCCTAGTTTTAAGTACGGGAAAAAAAAGTACTGAAGAAAACTACGGAAGCCTTAATGGAACGGGTGAAAAATATGTAGTAAAACAAAATTAGCGTTTTATCACAAAGAACTTAGTAGAAATACTCGGTTTTAAAAATAATGATGTTAAGAAAATTAAAAAAACTATATAAGATCAAATCTAAAATACTTACTGCATTATATGATGTTTAATTTCGGGATATTGATCAGCAGTTCTTGCCAACTGTTGAGCATATATGCTATCTTTATCAGGATAGTTGCTTTGTTTATTCAGGTTATGAATTGCTGGTTGAGGATATTCTAATAAAAAAAAGATTTAATCTTATTTTAGGTTTCCAAAATATTATAAAATAATAGCAATATCTTAACTGTAAATTATTTTAAACTCGCCTTAAACTCAATTATTTATATATTATGTATCAATTATATTAACATAACATAATTTTGGAAAAAAATATTTTAAAAACATTACCAAACATATATGTAACCAATAATTTTGCGTGTTATTATATTACGCATACTTACTTAAACAGATCATCAGTGAGCTTTTTATTTTGGATATAGTTGAAAATATGTGTTGAAGAAAATGGACACAACTTGAAATTCTTATTTCAGTAAATAGACATAGCTCAAAATGTACATTTAAAAAAATGAACACAGTTCAAGGTGCATGGTTAGAAAATAGGCATAGATCATAAATCTTAGTACAGGATTGCCACAAGTCGATTTGATTTACAATAAAGATAATAAATTTACCTCAATACTCATAAGAATTTTGTCTTTTGAATACCACTTTATAATTTCAAGATCTAAATAAGAAGAATATTTATACAGATATATTACCTTAAAAAATGAAGTAGTCAAAAATTTATCAATATATGAACATTTACTTAATTTTGAGTCATCATTTTTAAAATTTATAAGACCTATTTGAAATATATAATAGGATTTTTTTTCTCCCTCAGCAAAGATTTAGAAAAATCCGTGTAACAGAAATTTCATATCTTAGAGATGCTTACATTTTATGATAGCGATCCTTTGTGCCTCAGAAAATTAAATATTAAAATAAAAAAAAAACACTTATTTGCTCTTAATTTATAACTTAATATGAGATAGTCAGAAAAATTATATTTGTAACACAATCAGATATTCCGACGGTATCAGGAGATATCAGATAACTGAAGACTGGAGCTTTGCTCTGTAATGATTACACTTAATACTTAAAAAAGTTAATGAGATTACTGGTTTATTCGTTAATTTTTTAAAAATTTACACTCAAAAAGAGCATTTTGCGCCGTACACATTTTTTTTATACAAGCATTTTGAGCCATGTCAAAAATAAAAACATCACTTACAAAATGCTGCACATCAACTTTCTAAAATTAATACTTTAAAATATTTATTTATAGAATAAATATTTTTTTATATTCACCATTGGTGCATATTGATTTAGTCATAAATGCAGAGAAAACTAAATACATGTTATTTTCAAGAAACAGAGTCCCAGAACCCTATCTTGAAATAGATTCTTAGAGATTTGAAAAAGAAAGGAGTTCCACCTACTTAGGATCAATTATTACTATTGATAACAGAGTGTCTCCTGAAATAAAAAAACTGGCACTATCTGGCTAATAGGGCTGTCTATGAACTGAGAAGATTTATTAAATCTATGTTTCTTTCAAGAAAAACAAAATTCTTAATTTACAAAACTCTTGCCAGGCTAGTCTTGACATATACTTTTGAAGCTTGGATAATGACAAAACGGAAGGATCATTGCCTTTTAGACCCACTGGAACAAGAAAGCGGGGAAGGCTGCGGTTGAGATGGGCTGATTTAGTAAAGTCTGATTTTCTTTTAATTAGTGAAAAGAATTGAAGATTAAAGATAAATCGGAAATTGGTATGGAGAAATCTTCCAAGGACGGCATTGGCCCACATTGGGCTGTCTGGCCAACTATGAAGATGTATATTGATTTTCCACTGTAAAATAATAATAATAATAAAATATTTAGAACATGCAACAAAGACACTAAGTGAATGCTAACATTCTCCAGATTTGACTTTTATGTGACAATTTTCATGGTTTTAGAAATCAAAGAGAAAATTCCCTTTATCATTATGAACTAGTACGTACCATCAACAGGAAAAGAAGTATCTTGGTTTGACCAATAAGGAATATCTTCTTGTCTGTAGTTGTTATAACCTTTAACAGTGTCATAATCAGGTGAGAGTTGATTAGATGCATACTGATCATCGATTCGCTGGTAATTATTCCCTTCATAAGGAGCATATTGTTGATCCATTGCAGCTGAGTGAGAAGGATATTGATCATAATCATTCGACCATCGATTTAGACTTTGAACATGAGGATCGTTCGCTGCTACAAACTGACTATGCTTGTGAACAAATGGTGATCCAAGTCCATCAGAATCTCCTAATTAAAAAAATTGGGACAGTCAATAATTGTTCCAATTGGAATATTACATAAATATGCTTGTGAAATTGAAGTATTTTGTTGAGAATGACGAAATTTTTTTTTTGTAAGTGTAAAATCCATCAATTATCTAAAATTTTTTTCCCAGTAGCATTATTTTATGATCAAATTTCAAAATTTTATAATTCTTACACAAATACTTCTTTAAACCAAAGTCAACTTAGACAATTTTTTTTCACACTTAATTTTTCTTTCTCTTCTTTTTTATAATCAATAATGTGTTCTGTGATATCCAATTTTCCCTAAGTGCAACTGGAATGATAAAATGAACTGTGCATGAGCAGTTGACTCAGTCAGTCAGTGATGTTTTAGTTTTGAAGTTAGTAAGGTTTGGAGATCTTTTTCTAAAGGGTTGTTGAAGAAAATGAATTCCTTTTTCATTTGTTATATTTTAAATAAATTATTTTTGTTTATAAGCAAGTCAAGCTTGTATTTATGATTGAAATACATTACAGCCTTATGATTCGCTGTCAAAGTATTCAAACTTTTCTTTTTTATATTCATCGAGTATTATATAAACAGGAATAACCAAATATGATTGCAATTTAAGAAAACTGGAAAGTGACAGAAATGTACAGTTTGTTGCATTTTGCTTAAGAAAACAGTTAATTCATTTTTAGCAGATCCCCATATTAGTACCTTATCGATTGATGAAACTGCAAAATGAAAAACAAAAAACTATAAACAATGTTTCCTTTTGATTGTCAGACCATTCAAAAAGAAATATTTATATGGGTCACCCATCAATTTTGTCTTTAGGAAAAAAAAAAAAAANAAAAAAAAAAAAAAAAAAAAAAAAAAAAAAAAAAAAAAAAAAAAAAAAAAGGAGAACCTTTTTTGTCGTTTAGTGAAATACCATTAGCACTAATTCAAAAATATTGCATCTCATATAGGAACTTTTAGTAGAACCATAGTTTATTGATAGAAATAGAAGATTAAGATGAACACTTCGATTATCCAAAAGAAATTTGGTTGAAATTACTTCCAATAATCCAGATTCTACTACACAAGGTATTAACATCAATATATTATCCTTATTTTTTTATGTTCCAGGAAATTATAAAGAGTTAATATTTCTTATATAATTTTTTTTTTAAAATGTATATAATTTATTTTTTTAATTTAAAATTTATGATTTTGAAGCTAAAAAAGGTAACAGGCTATAGTTAAATGTACATTCTTTGATACTTATAACTGCCTAAGAAATATTGCAATTAGTTACATAAAATGTATTCATTTTCCCACCTTAATACCCTAAAATTTTTTTTTTCTTTTGTAATATTTATCATAATTTCAATGTTTTTTTAAATACTTTTTTCCCTGATCAGAAGTATATGTTATAGTTTTCAGTTAGACATTTTAGAAAAAAAGAAAAAAAACAAAACACAGGTAGTTTCAAATAACATACTAAAAATAGCTTAAATAAACATCAAAAGTATAGTTACTATATCTTCGTTAATATATTTTGACGACATTACATGAGCAATTTATTTGTAAGACTTGTTAGCTATTATCTTAAAAAAACATGGAAAACATAACAAATTACATTACTAAATATGATAAGAAGGATTTTCATTTAGAAGCCAAATATTAAGCAAAGATAAATTAAAACAAGAATATGAGTGAATGTAAATACGAAAATTATAAGCACAAGATGCATGTCAAAACATTTTGAAGACATTACAAGAATAACCTGTTAACAGTTCCCAAGCAACATTTTTACCTTGTTCTCAGTTAAGTTCAAAATAGGCACAATATAAATCTTTTAAGAACATGCACTAAGGCAGGGATGGGGAAACTACGGCCCGCGGGCCAACTGTGGCCCGCCGGAAGATTTTATCCGGCCCGCGAACAGAATTTTAACTAGCTGATCAGTGGCGAATATATCTACTTTGTTTAAAGCTATTTTTGTTCCTTCTTTTTTAACAAAGTACTGATGACCTTTCCACTTTCTCTATTTTTGTTCTACAAAACATAAATTAATTAAAATAGTTAGCACAAACAGCTTTAACTGGTAAAATGTTGAAAGCAAAAGTTCTTTATAGAATAGCTGTAGATTAGCTCCAACTAGTATTTGTCTTTCTCGAGGAGCAGACATATGGAATCTAATATAGGTGAATTGTACTTCACATGAGGCTGACTACGCGTTTTAAGTTCCAACGAACGGATTTTTCTGTCGGCTCGAGCTCTAACATAATTTACTGCGTATGGAAAGGTTGCACACATACAACGTCATTGTAAATAACGGTGAAATTATTAAATGTATAAAATGGCTACTGCCTTTTTGAGTTATTTGTAAACATTTTTTATCCCAAAATGGCAACTAAAAATCGCAAAGTTGGTGTAGAGTGACATGCACTCGATGATGAATTGACTTTATTTTATTTCAGAAGTTTTTACTCGGCCCTCCAAACTTTTTTTTCTAGATTTTTGGCCCACGACCAAAAAAGTTTGCCCATCCCTGCACTAAGGGATCAATAATGGGACGAATAGATTTTTTTTAATATTGGTCCTAGAATACATAGGGCCTATATTGGCTGTATAAAGAATATAAAATACCTTGTGAATGTGATAATTCTATATAAGGCTGATATTGGTTGTTAAGTGGCTGTTAAATATTGGGTGAACCAAACAATTCTATACAGAGCCAATATCGGAAAAATAATGGCCCTTTGAACCCTTATTGAGCCAAGATATGTGAATATTGGTCCAATGAGGTCCAAAATTATTTTGCTGTAAGGGTTGCCTTGACTAAATATGGGAAATATGACAATAAACGATATTAAAAAATATTATAGTGATAATTTATTTCAAAAATTGGAATATTAAACAAGAATATGTTCATAAAACTATCAAAAAATTTAAATATTAAAAGTATACGCTCGATATGTAAGTCAAAATGTTTTGAAAACATTACAAAAATAACCAAAAAGCCTGTTAGCAGAATTTACAGAGAAAATCTGCAAAACTATCTTCATAAATGAAATTTACTTGCGATAGTCAGGCAGAAATCATTATTGTAAAAATTCAGCTTAATCTAACAAGCATGTAGCGAATTAGCAGTAAGGTGCTTAAAAATTACACATAAAAAATTTATGGTGTTTAATTTGAATTAAGTTGAATTTTGCACAATGGTACTAAAAAAATATAATGAATCCCCATACATTTAAGTCTGTAATCAAGTAACAGAAAAAAAAACTTCACTTTTCTTTGTGATCTCTCAATTCAGCTTTTTAATTTTTTTTGGAAAAAAGTTAAGAGATGCTTTAAAAACATAAGAACACACATAAGAAGGCGTACCCCCACTAAAGTGTTCCCGTACCCCTGGGGGTACGCGTACCACACTTTGGGAAACACTGCTCTAATCTATTATTAAAAAAAAAGAGAAATGGTTCAAATATAATAATAAAAAATTTAATATAAAAACCATTTGTCCTGTCTTCAGTGCGATGATAATAATCTTTTCTGGTAGCTTGATTTGAGGGAGGTTTATTGGGCCAGATATTTTTAGTTTCTAGAGCATGTCTGGAATTTTCTCTGTCATCTGGTGACTTTGAGTTCGAATGTACAGGAGGCATACGATTGATGTCAGGATTTTTTCGAATCCCAGAAGCTTGCGTGATTTTTGTTCTAAGATTTGAATTTGGATCCCTGTTTTGAGGCAAAGGGGGTTTCAACTCAAGCTGTCTGTTTGCAGGCGGTTTTTCTTTAATTTGTGGAGCAACTTTGTTTTCTGTAAGAAAGGAAATAGAAATATGCAACTGAGATAAACAGCAAGAGCAGCATTCCATCACGAAAAGTTTAAACATTATGAGTTATTATTTCCATTAAGAAAAACTAGATGTAAGTAAGTTTCAATGCACATTAAGAGATACGCATCAAATACATAATTAATTTGAAAAACACATGATTTGCAAATGTTAATTTAGTTCTAAAATGGAAAATTGACAAAAAGGTGCAGATAATTTTTCTCATGCATAATTAAAAAAAAAAAAAGAAAAAAACAATTCGAAAAGCATATTTCTTAAATTTTTTTTTTCTTTTTGTCAAATTTCAAATAAAAATAGATATTATCCATGGAAATTTATGCAGTATGGATTTTTTATCTTTAAGAATTTTAATGTTGCACTCAAGGCAGCATGAGGCCTCTCTAATCAGTTTTTATTTTTTACTGTATTAATGCATAGACTTTAAAAACATTACACAAATAAAAATAAATAGAGATAATCTTTAATTTAAACCAAATAGAAATAAAACAAAATAATTAGTTTGTCTAAGCAACCAATCAATAAGGCTGTTAAAAATATTGTAAATCACTGTTTGGCTTTTTTGTACAAGTCTTCTTTTCGGGTAACCTATATAATTTTAGTTCGAACATCTTTAAATGTCATTGAAATAACTATGAACAGTTTTACTCGTAGTAACACTAAAACTTGATAAAACTTAAGCTACAAAACAAACATAAATAAAGACTGCAATGTTACATTTTACTCAATTTATTTTTTGTGCAAATATATGTTGTGGTAAAATTACTTTACTTTCAAACAATTCTTCCAAAACTAGTTTTCAAGCAGACTTTTGAAGAATTAAAGAGTTTAAAAAGTTAATATATTGCTGTTATATTGAATCTCCATTTTGAAGTAACAAACATGGGTACCACTCAAAAAAATTTCAAGACTGAATTTATTTTTTGAATACCAAATAACACATTATAGCTTTGTTTACCAGAATTACAGAAATTTATGGCTTACTTTCCACAATAATGGCATGTATATTAAATCAATGATTTGACTAAAAAATTATTATTATTATTTTTTTTACATTTTATTAATTTATTTTTTGCAGCTAACAATATAAAAATAACAGCTAACTTTGTAAATCTTTTTACATCAATCAATGAATAATAAAACACTAATTTTTTCATGAAGCTATTCATATATCTTATTTTTTTGCTGCATTATTAATTATTTCTTGTCCTATCTCAAAATTTTTTTTTTTACAAAAATAACCTTAACTTTGGCCAGCATTTCAATCCCATTCTATCCCAAAACTAAAACTAATTTAGATACAACAATAGTACATATTTTGTTTAAGCAAGCTGAAGTTCAATCAATCCCATTTTTCAATTGCTGTGCAACATCATAACTTGATTATTTTGAAATTTATGAGGAATAACAATTTTCATTAAAATGTAATATTTTATTTTTAACAGAAAATACTTTCTTGAAAGTTTTTATAAAAAAAGGACATTTTAATTTAAAGAACAAATTGAAAATAAACATTTGATGAAATTTAGTCTCATGATTTTTCTCAAGACTGATTTCAGTCCCCAGGACTGAAGAGTGGCACCCATGTACAAAACATTTTAAATCGAAAACTTCCATAGTTTATGAATTGATTACATAACAATAAATTATATTAAAATTAGATAAATTTAGATCTAAAATAAAATTTAACACCAAAATTAAACTATCTGTAAAGAATAAATTAAAAAGAAAACCTTTTTCATGACATTTCAATTCAATACTTTCATCACTGCCATCAGGGCACTGTGGTATTCCATCACAGACATTGTAAATGGCAATACATTCACTGCTGTTCAGGCATTTAAATTGATAATGATGACACAAATTTGCTGTAATATATAATATTTTAGGTGAGATTATCAACTGTAAAATATAAAATTTTTATGCAAATACATTATTTTGAGAAACTTTCTATTTAATTTACTTTCTTAAACAACTTGGTGATAATTTGTAACTTAAACAATTCTTTTTATTTCAGACTAGCAGAATTAGTTCAGATTAGCAGAAATTATAGATAAAACAATGACAGAAAGCAAGGGATAAAAGAATAATTATGACTATTAAACCCACACTATTAGAGAAAAAAAATTTCTTTCTAAAATTTAAATGCACAAATTACTATAAAATCGTACAACAAATGTCTTGTATAGCAATTACTTGGATTTATTTTGCTGCAACATATTATTTAAAGACAAATTATTTGCTTTTAATATTAAATCAAGATATTCAATTTTACACAACTGTCTAATTTTTGACACAATGAAGTGACGCTTAAGTTTTATTATTACCTATAATAATTTCAAGTTATTAAGTTTTCTTATTACAAAATTAGAAATTTTTTCTTCCTTTTTTCACTTGATAGAGAAATTATTACTACATTATAAAGCTTGAACAAATGGCAAAACGAGAGATTTAGTACAAAATTACAATGTAATATATTTGTAATAATACACAGTTTTAATTAACAATTTAAAAATATGTTTAATATTGAATCATTTAGATATGAGATATTAATCAATCAATATATGTTTTGGTAATGTATTCAAAGTTGAAACTGTATTTAACGACTATTGAAAATACATTATTTAAATGCATCAACCTTTCATAATCCAATAATTTTCTCAACACTAATGCGCAAATAAGAATTAATAACTTCTTTTGAAATATGAAGATGACTTTAATTTTGTCTATTTTCTAACAGCAATAAATTCATGCTAAAAAATTCCAGAGCCACACAAAAAGCTGTTAATTTTCATTATTGATTTTAATAACGACAATTGTTATTGATTCACTTCAATTTAAAAAAACAATTAGTATAGTTGTTCAAGTTTGTTCTGAAAACAGTGAAATACGTAGTTTGAATCATATAATTGTACATTGTTTGTATTATATAAATTAAGAATTCTAGATATTTAAATTTTTAATCCTTTCAAGACTGTTTCCAATAAAAAGACAAATTACAACTTTAATAGATCAAATAAAGTGAAAATAACAATATTCTGCAAAAAAGAAATAAAACATTAACTATTTGGGCAATTAGGAGGATTGAACATGCGTCCCACTGGGGGGTTTTAGAACGAAATATATGCCACATCAGTGGACGTATATGTCCTGGTGGTCTTGAAAGGATAAATAGCCTTTTAAATAAATTTTTAAGAAGCCTCTCTTTAATCTAGACAATAATTTTGTTTGGTTTTTCTTCCTAGTCTAAGCTCCAGGACAACTGCCTACTGCTTCTCTAAATTTTGTTGGCATTAAGTCAACTAATTTATGATATTTCTTCGAAATATAAAACAGGACAAAGAAATTTCCCTTGTCAGAAAAAAAAAGCATTTTCTGTACAAATATGCATATTTACCTGGATTTGGTGCCATTTTTAAATTTTGAGGTGCTACAGATGATAATAACACGCTTTTTGGAGCAGCAGTTGTTGATGAACTAATCTCCTCACTGCGTAATTTAGCTAATTCCTGCTCGTGTTTCACTTGATTTCCCCATTGACTCAAGTCATAAGAATGCTGGGTAATTTTTAAAACAGAGCTGATGAAGAAAGAATGGGAAGTAAATTTGCATAGTGATTCTGAAGGGCCGCCACAGTTGAACATATAACAACTTTGGGCATCCTGAAAAACACTTGCATTAATTTAAGAATCAAAATATTAGATGGTAACAAGGTAATAAACAACATTAACAACAAGGTAATATCAGACATTAACATGAGGGGAAATAGTTTTAATAAATCTGTAGAAGTGTTGGCTTTTGCTGATGACATAGACATTATTGCTAGAACACCCATAGCACTAAGACAGGCTTTTATTTCTTTACAGAAAGCGGCTCTCAAGATGGGCTTGAGAATAAACGAGAGCAAAACTAAATATTTGCTCTGTACTTAAACTTCAATAACACCCATTTAGAATTTGAAGAATATAAATTTGAGGTTGCTGACAATTTCGTTTACTTGGGTTCTGTAACCAACTACAGGAACAATACCACAATGGAAATACAGGGTGAGCCAGTCAAACCTGCATTTTTGAAATGACAGTAAAAAATAAACGGATGGATATTTAAAAATTTTATTGTTACTATCTTAATCTACATTAAAAAGCATTTAAGAAACAACACTCTCTGTTTAAAAATAACTCCAGTAAGATGGTGTCCTTCCCGATCGAGACATTCTTGCAGGCGATTTCTGAAATTGCCCATCACATCACGGAGCATACGCTGAGGATCAATTATTTCACCAATTGCTTCAAAGTTTTTCACCCACAGTTTGATTGAATTAACAGACGGCACTGGCCTATTTCGATTAATTTGAAAATTCGTCCTGAAACGACGCTGAGCGGTTGCATAACTACCACTTCGGTAAAACGCTTTCACAGCGAAAAAACGTTGTTGTTTAGACCACTGCTCCATGCCGAATGAAATGCTTAGTTGTGGGGGACACAATGGTAACCTTGATAACTCTCTCCGCCCACTTTCACGGCTCTCCTGCCCTTTTCAAAAGTGCAGGTTTGATTGGCTCACCCTGTACAAAGAAGAATTACTATAGCCAATAACTGTTTTAATGGAATTCGAAAATACATAAAATCTAATGTAATTCATAGAAAAACAAAAGTTTTATTATATAAATCTCTTATAAGATCAATTTCAACATATGCTTGTGAAACCTGGACCATATCTCGAACGGATGAGGGTATGTTGAGTACCTTTGAGGGAAAGGTCTTGAAAAGTATTTTTGGAGGAATTAAAAAAAAATGGTGTGTGGCTCAGAAGATCAAATCTAGAGCTTTATCACTCATATAATGAACCTGCCATTATTACCTTTATTAAACGACAAAGATTAAAGTGGGCAGGATATGCTATCAGAACGGACGAAGACCGTACCACAAAAGAGTTTCCAATGCCAGACCAGTCGGCATACGAAAAAGAAGCAGGCAGAATTTGTCATAGAGAGATGGGCTGGAGAAAGCCCTTTTGGTCTTAAAAACTAAAAATTGGAAAACACTGGCAATAAAAAGGTTGGCCTGTTAAAAAACTTCTTGAGAAGGCCAAGGCCCACCCTGGGCGGTCGAGTCATTGACGATGATGATGAACAAGGTAATAATAATCATAGAAATAATTTTAATAGTCATTTCCTACTTATTTTAACATTGTCAGAGACAGGACTATGGCCGACAAAGATGTTCACACCGTTAAAGCGGGGGAAAATTATCCATGGTTAAAACTGGATAAAACCGTCAATAGACAATTCCAGTCAAGTTTGAAAAAAAAATCTTAATGCATTCAGAATCTCTTGAAACTACCAGAAAACATTTTATTGTATTCCTAAAAGTGCTATTTATTAAGTTATTTCTAAGCAAAAAACGCTTAAAAATGAAACGCTTTCATTTTCACCTGAAACGAGGAGTAACAAGATTATTCACGAACTGATGTCACATGTGCCCACCTGCCATTCATTTTTACAATCACTGTGCCAATATATTCTTGTTTTTGTTTGAATTTTCGCAAAAAGAGTCCAATTATTTTAGATGGCAAATTACTAAGTGAGAACCGTAGATATAGAGGGAATAGAGTCTTATTGTAGTCCCTGGTGGAAACAAAGATGTATAATAAATTGTGCCCTAATATAGCTTAATGAAAATGTGGGTTTAATATAACATATTTCTATAATATTGTTAAATTTTAATGGTAACAACTAATAATAGTTGTTAACAATAGAAATTAATAGTTGACCAAATTTTCAAGTCCTGAATATTTAAGATTTTTTATTTCAGTAAAAAAGGTGTTTGAATTAGTTACGCATGTCTTGTATTTCTTATTAAAATGATGCTCTATAAATACAAAAAAATTTGTTCTTTCATTTTTTTAAACCATATTAATGTTAACTTTAAAGTATATTTAAAATTCATTTCAAAGATTTAATTTCATGTTAATGATGGAAATGTTGAACCAATTTTTATATAGAATAGTTTTAAATTTTAAAATGAAGGAAAGCTGAACCTATTGGTATTTTTTATTAATTTTTTCTAGCGTGAATTCAAAGCGGGGAATTTTCTTTTTAAAGGAGAATTTTTAAAGTTAAACGAAAAAAATTAATATATTCCTGTACATTTTATGAACTTTATTTTAATTGCATTATTATGCAAAAGTTGGGGGCGACAGAAGCTTGCTTCATCGATCAATCCACAAAGATTTTTGCTTGATAGAAAAGTGCATGTCACAGGGTGGCATTTTTGAGTTTCCCTCTCGGGAGGAACATCGTCGAAATCAGATGTGCATTTCTATTATATCTAATCATTCATTGCCCCGTTAAATTTTACCTACTTGTGACTATTCATAATTTATATTATGCTTAAATTATATAAGTCTTAATTTTTCAATAATTGTCATGTGCATAAACCTTTTACTAATTTGTTAAAACTTAGCAACCAAGAAACTTTTTTTTATCAATTAATAAACATTAACTGTAATAATGTTACTTATTATTTTAGCCTGAATTAACTTTGCTAATTAATTTTATAGCATTAACCCTTTTTTTTTTAGGTTAAACATTTTAGTATTTTATTAAGTAGCTAAAATCAATCTTATCCTTTTCCTCATATGTTGTATCTTAAGTTTAAAACTATACCATCGTGATGTTAATTCTAAATAATAGATATAACTATAAAAGTTTTAGTGTATTGAATCAAAAATTAATTTATTAAAACCATTTTTTATATTAAAAATTCTTAGTTTAAAACCAGCTAACCATTGTCATCATGACTGAGAATCTTCTAAAGTGCATGCATGTGGAAGTATAAGCAGGGGTCTGTCCAGACATTTTGTGAAAGGTCCGTTTTTCGTGAAATTGTGAAAAAATTACTCACATTCTCTCAATCAGGGTTCGCTTTTGTGAATGTGTGCAAATAGGGTCCGTTATTGCAAAAAGAAATTTTTTTCAAAGAGTTTTTTAATTGTATAGGCATACAAGATTATGCTCAACACTGTAAAATTGTAATTAAAAAAATAAAATTTCAAAAAATAAACAACAATTGCTCCTTCTAAATTAGAGATGCAACATACAAATATTTGGTATTTAGCCTATACTGCTGAACGCAGAATACTAATTTCGGATGAATAATGGAAGAATCGTCTGCCGAAGACAAAACTTAATTCGTTTACATCCGTCTTTCTTGTTTTCTGCCCTGGAAAGGGTTTATTCGATTAACAAAATAATTATGAAGATAAACAAATTTGTGAAGGGTTCGTTTTTAAGATAAAATATTTTGTGAAGGGTCCGTTTTTAAGTTAAAATATTTTGTGAAGGGTCCGTTTTTATGAAAAGATATTTTGTGAAGGGTCCGTTAACGGACCCAAATTTCTTCTAAACAGACCCCTGATAAGTATAAAGGAATATACCCCCCCAAAAAGTCAACCAAAATTAGGTGGCATTTTTACAATGACCAATAAAAAGATACAGCGCTGAATGGCAAGGTTCTCATACTGTGATCTATGCCAATCTAATCTCTAAGTCTTGGCAACTTTTGAGAAGTGGCTCACAGGAAACTAAAAAAAAAAAAAACATCCCAGAAGAGAGCCAACTCGAAGGGCCGTTTCTGACAAAGTGCTACAGATTTGCTGTGACATGATCAGTCGTAGAATAACTGGCAGCTTCCGGGAAATGGCTTACGAGAAACTGAAAAACAAAAACCATAATAGAATGCAACAGACTTAGAATATAACTCATAGTGGCCCCTACATGTCAAGACTCTAAAGGCTTTAAAAAAAAAAAAAATTGCAACTTTTAAACCCATTTCGCCCCTTGATGATTGTAGTTGAAGTGGCAGATCACAATATGGAAATATTCCCCTCCGAGCAATGAAACTAAATCGGTCGCGTGCTTCAAGACAACCCTTTAATCGCTTCAGGACTGTGATCTTCTGATGCTCCAAGATTCTAGCGACCCAGGATTACAGGAACGGTACTTTCGTACTCCTACATATAAACTCGGAGCCTGCAGGCACGGAAAAGTTTCCTTCACGTTCCTCCAGTCCTGAAGGGATTTCAAATTCTAAAGCACAGTCAAAATTCGTCCATTGAAAAATCATTTAAGAGTGAAAAAAAAAATACCTTTTCCTCGTATACAGCTAAATTGCAATTGGGCGTTTCCAAACACCAAGTCAAACAATCGTGATTTGATGGAAGAACAGTTTCATTTATATACCTGGCACCTAAAACTCTGGATTCGCTGGTACGAATAATAGTATTTGGAGAAATATGAAATCGTGATTCTACATCAGAATCTAATTGTCGATTAAAACGAGGTACATTGTCTGTAGTACTTGAATATCCAACTGCATTAGTATTTGTTGCTGATTGATATTTTATATTTGCGATTGAACCAGGTTCATTATTCGCACTTTCATTACCAGCCTCAACAGAACATAAAACAAGTATTAAAATAAAGAAAAAAGGTAAAATATGATGTCGCATAACGCAATAAATTTATTCAGTCAATAAGGAGAAATATAATTATTGTAAGATAGTACACTTGAAAATAAATAATTATGTTTTGTTAAAACCAATGGACTCCGTTACTCTTCATGGAGAAGTTCCATACCGCCTATTTCTGTTTGGATGAGAGTTTCTTTTTAATAAATAAAGGCGAGTATTGTTCTTTTTCCAGAAACTTCTTAATTAAAGAAATAGCAGGTTAAAGTTTTGTAATTCTAATTCCTTAATAATTTAAAGGCTTATAAGCCATTTTTATATTGAGCAGAGAGATTCTTAATGCTGATTGGTCTGCAATGTAACCAATCATACACAATTGTTTTGATATATTTTTTCTCTGAAGTTTGAAAACTTTTATTGATTTGAAACGTGAAAATTGTTACATGGTTAATTTTATTCAAATTTTAGGATATGACATGTATCTTTGTGTTGATAGAAATTAAGAAGATATATCTATAATATATGTCTAAGTATTAATGTACGTCATTGTGAAAAAGAATACCGTAAGTCATTTTTGTTTATGCGTTACATATAATTCAGTGTTTTTCATTTTGGTTGGCTTCAATTATTTTGTGAATAAAATGAAATTATCAACTTGTTGATGCGTGTTATGAAAAGAAAATGTTGGTAATTTATAATAATTGCTTCGATAAGTATGTTTTATATATATAATAAAAGCTCCAAGACACAATTCTACACTGTAATCAAATGCATATTTTCTCTTCTCAAATTAAAATATTTAGTTTATTCTTTTCAAATTTTTTAGTTTTAGGCACTGATAACTATTTTTTTATGTTCAATGTATATGGTATTTTTTGCTTTAGCTACTGGTGAATGTGCTTACATTATTAGTATTAAGTAACAAAAACTATTTAAGTTGAAGTTTGTAGAGTGATATATAAAGAATAGATAGAAAGTGAAGAATAAGTTTTAAATTTCCATTTATTGTAATAGTTTTCAAATGAGATGTTTTTGGTTAGCTAAGTTACGTGCGAATCCTGACGACTTTTATTGGGGGACTTTTAGATCTACTTCTAAACAAAGTAGTCGTTGGGAATGTTTTTGTATCTTATTCTGTTGCAAGATAATCGTAAAGTCTTAACAATTTCTCAGCAGCGACCCACAAGAAACTAAAAAAAAAAAAAAAAATCATTAAAAGAGGAGACTAGCTCAAATGGTGTAATTGATAGCCACAACTGAGCAAACCTGTATGCGTTTTTTTCATCAATGTTTTTTTTTTTTACAATTCATTTGGCACATTTAGTTTCTATCCATTTGGCATGTCCACTTGCTTTATTTCTATTTAATATAATTGTTGATTGTAATTGGTGCGACAGGTAATGATATGGACATTTCCTTTAGTCATTACTCAAGCAAAGCCCAAATGAGGATAGATTGCACTCTGTGATACATGTGAATAAAAAGGTGATTTCACAGTATTTTGCACGTTGCATTTGTACAGTTTGATTATTCATAATTAAATAAAAATTCATTTATGTGAATAGATTTTTGTGTTATGAAAGCAAGGGAAATTTCTTTTTATTTTTACAAATGTATATTTAAGTATAGTATTTAATATGAATTTAAACATATTTAAAGGAAAAATTTGGAAGTGTTGAGAACATGAAAAATATTGCTTTCCTGATGTCTTTCTACATTCACTGAAATTTATGAAATAAAAAAAATCATTTCTTATGGTAAGATTTTGGTATATATTTGTGTCAAGGAAATGAGAAGATTTTTGGAAAAATTATACTAATTCATATAATAACATGTATGCTTTGAGCATGACATTGCGTATATGACAAAATTTTTTCTTTGTATTCTGCTTACGGTAACCTTCTTAGATCAGGGATTTGTTTAGAAGAAATTTGGGTCTGTTAACGGACCCTTGACAAAATTTGTCATTTAATTGGACCCTTCACGAAGTTATTTATCTTTACAGTGTTTTCATCATAGAAAAAAAATGGGTGAGAATTTCTCACCCTTTCTCAAACACAGGGTGAGATTTCAAAAAGTTAAGTGAGATTTCTAAAAAAACACAAAATCTCTTGAAAAAAAAAACATTTCTTTAATTATAATACATTTTTAACGTCTTCTACTTTTTAAAGCATTGAATATTTTTGATGCATCATCATAGAAGATTTTGCCTTTACAAGGTATTTGTCCATCTTGCATAAGTGCATAAAAATTTTGAACGTCTTACATGAAGAAACCTTACCTACGGTAAACGCGTGGTTGCGGACAAATGTGTTCTGAAAGGGATTCCGTGGTTGTGTTCTGTTGTTCGAAAAGGTTCTGAACAATACTGGTAAATAGGGAAGCCAGATAATGGGGAAGAAAAGTGAAACGGATTTTATTCTAAATGGCGTAATTCGAAGCTTTTTCCAAAATGCGAGAAATTCGCGAATTTTGTAATTGATTTATAGAATGCGCGAATTTCTCGCGGTAATCATTTTTTAATGCGAGAAAAGAAAAAATATGCGAGATTCTCGCGTTCTCGCGCTGTAGTGAAAACACTGCTTTATTATTGTTTTGTTAATGGAAAAAAACTCTGCCCGGGGGGGTGGAAAAAAAGAAAGAATGTAAACGAACTAAGCTTTGTCTTCAGCGGACGCTTCTTCCTTTATTCGCCCGAAAAGAATATTCTGCGTTCAGCAGTATAGGCTGAATACCAAGTATTTGTGTGTTGCATCTCTAATTTAGTAGCAGCAATTGCTAATTATTTTTGAAAATTTAAATTTTTTAATTATAATTTTACAGTGTTGAGCATAATCTTGTATCTATTTACAATTTAAAAACTTGAAACAGTTTTTTTGCAATAACAGGATCCTATTTGCACAAATTCACAAAGGCAGGATACCCTGGTTGAAAGAATGTGACTTAACTTTTATTTTATATTCACAAATTACGAGTAATTTTTTCACAATTTTACAAAAACGAACCTTTCACAAAATGTCTGGACAGACCCCTGCAGATGGTCATATATCATAAGTACATTACTGATTTCTTTTAATAGGTAAAATATTGATTAAATTGTGATTGCTTAATCATTTTCTTTTCAATAGTTCAAATATTTATATGACTTAGATTTCATTATAAATTCAAATATTCTGAATTATTTTTAGCTTAGTTTCCAGGAGACAGATGCATGAGGAATTACATTACAATTTATTAATGTTATTATTTATCTTAAAAGCAAGTTCTGAATTGCGTGGCGAAAGGCATACGTACAAATCAACTAAAAGTGTATTGATTTTTTTTTTTTTTTAAATATTAAAACTTGCTATCAGCTATGGGCCTGAAGTGGGGGTTTAAGTAAGGTGACCAGGGGCTCTCAAAGCTGTTGAGGAAAGGAAATGTCCACGAATTTCTCTGAAAACATATACTTTTTTTTTAATATGGAAAAGAACATCAAAACCTGAAATGTGCATGTTTTATAACAAGGTATCTTTGTCTTACAGCAAATATAATGACAATGAATATTAAAACACATTACTAATCTTAAAATAATTTAAGAAAAATTTAACACATTTTAAATTAACAAAATATTATATAATATTTCAAAAGTGCGTAGTAATGAAATAGAGTTTGATGAAGATAGTTCTGAACCTGATATTAGTTATCAATGGAAGAAAAAAAAATTCTGCATATAAAAGTTCATATTTTCCATTAATGAATGAGGTTGTAAAATTATTCAAAAATGCTCTATTCATTTGTTCTCATATCACGGTTTATAAATCTGGCCACCTTAGTTTAAGTGTTAGGTTTGTCTTGCTTGTGGAATATGTTTTAACCAGGCCACCAATATTATCAAACACTACTCTTATCTATTGGCCTTCTTCTCCAATTTTAGCTGTTCTTTAAGATTTTTATACTGAAGCTGATCTGGTAGCAGTTTAGAACACGGCAGAAAAAATGAAGAATTCCAAGGAAATTCATCAAAATTAGATATTTTAGGCGAAAAGAAACTTAAGTTCAACAGTGTCTTTGCTTACACACATTTTTATATTGCCAGTAAAAATCATTCAAGTTATCTTAAAAAAAAAATCTTTGACATCAACAAAGTATATAAAACAGCTCTCCAAGCTATGTTTTTGTTTATCAACAGCAACTATGCATGCTTATTAATTGCACCTTTCCCCTGAGCATTTCAAAGAATAACCTTTCCATTTATCATTAACGTTGAATTCTTCTTTGTCAGGGTAATTCATTATTATCAAAAAGTAAAAAAAGCTGAGATTTCATCCAAGTTATTGAGGAGCAACAAATAAAAAAAAAAAAAGGTGTCAATTGAATTTCACAATAATGTTTAATAGCAGTGAATAATACAATTATATTTAAATAAGTGATGCTTCACTCTAAAATTAATTACACAAAATTTTATTATGAAATTAACTCTATTGATATGGACCAAGCAAGATAATATTAAGTGCAAGGGTGCCGGCAGGGGAATGCAAGGGGTGCACTTGCACCCTCTGATTCTTTTTAAAGCAATTAAAGAGATACAGAAAAACACTTTTGTTATATAAATTTTTTTTATTAAAAATATTTTTATTCAAAAACAAATAATTAAGTAATTTTTGTTTTGGTACATAACAATTAAAAAATTTCTTAATCAAACAGGAATTGTAATACACTTGTTTGCTGTCCTTATCTGTTTATAACTTTTTCAATGAATTCTGAGTCATCTTCGATTCTTTTCTTATGCACACTGAATATGCACAAACTACTTAATCTCTCGTGAGACATTGTAGACCAATTCCATGTCTTCCGATTCCAAGCATGCACAAACACGTTAGTATACGAAACTACTGTTCGTAGTTATTTGTGTTTCAAAGTCAATAACTATGACAGCGACATCAATACAGTTTCTCGCTGCGAAATTTGCAAGTACAAAAAGCTCATTTTTTTTTCAAATATCTTGTTAACAACGAAGAAATGTATCTTGAAAAAAATTAACAGATGAAAGTATATGTAATAACAAAACAAAATGTACCTAATAACAGAATATTAAAAAAAATTTTTTTTTTGGGGGGGGGGTTAGTTTGTTAGAGGATTGCACCCCCTTTTATATTATTCTGCCGGCGCCCTTAATTAAGTGATTAATTTTACATAGGTTAAAAAATTTGGTTTATTCGTAGGAGTGCACAACCTGCAGCCCATGGGCCATATTTGGCCCGCGGATTGAACAGAATAAAAAAAAAATTTGAATTGCGCATTTGAGTCACTTTCTGATTGGGTCTATTTCCTCAGATTCTATCTTAAATCTACGTTGTTTTTCAACGGTTTGTGCTACAGAATTCTACATGGTTTTAAAAACTCAATATTGTTAATGCAATGTGCAAATTTTGAATTTTAGTAAACTCTTTCTCACTAGCTTTATTGTTGCCGATTTCATCATAAATTAAAGTGATGTTTAGATCATTTTTTTAGCGTTTAAAGCTAGCAATTTCTGCATGGCTTGGAGCATGGTTCTGGATGCTGCAAGTCCCACTGCTTTTATTACGATACAAGAACTCGTGAGTTATGAGTCACACAAATTATTTTCTTCGCAATTTGTAAATAATCATCATAATAAAAAGAATTAATTTTTGTATATGAAGAAATTTCATCATTTTTAAAAAGTAATCAAACCTTTGGTGAGGTAAAAAAATGGAATATTCTTGTTACATTATCTGTAATACAGTACAATATCCCGGGACTTCAACGAGTTCGATAATAGATCATCAAAGCTGATTCTTTTCAATAAGAAATAACATTTATACTTAATTCAGTATTGTTTAGTATTTAATCAACTTAAAAATATTCATTAGGTGGGTAAATAACTAAATAAACGGTAATCGGAAAAATACATCGAAAGTACATGGAGTAAAACATCATTTTTAAGCACCCTTCTTCTATAAGCTATGATGGAATTATTTCTTTTAAATTTATTTACAAAAAAAAAATTAGTAGGAGACATTGGAAGTACATTTGTAAACAAATAGGAAAAAAGCTCTTGTGACTGATGTCACAAATACAAACTATGTATGTAAAATTTTAAAACTTTTATTTTTGTTATTGTTACAAAATATTTAGAGAAATTCGCTAATTTATAGAGGATGTTATAATAAATTTTTTTTTTGTTAAGTTATCCTTTCTTTAATAGAATTGTCCAAAATATGTGAGAATTATTTTAATTATTATACCATAATATAATGAGTTGAAAAAAGGATCTCTTGTACTCTCTAGCAAAAATATTTTTCTATTAGAACTTTAACTGTATGGGTACTACTAAAACATTTTTTTATTATATCAGTCTAAATAAAAATTTAATTGATTGTAAAAAAAAATTTCTGCAACATTAAAAATTATGCTGAGATGGTTCTGAAAAAAAAAAAGGCTTTATCACATTTGAGTTCAGGATAACTACAGTCTTATCATCAATTATAAGTGAAGATATGCTAAAGTTTTCAAGCTATAACAAATTTAAAGGCGTAAATTGATTAGGTGCTTAATGCAGTGGTATCCCTAAGAATGAAAAAGGGTTGGGCAGGTTAGGTAAAATGTAGGGGTAGGTTAAAATTTATCAAAATGTGTAAGATTATATAATAATTACGTTTGACCCTCAATTTTTAAATGACCCTCTTATATTATTTGATGTGTATATTTCGCAGAGTGGTTCTCATTCATTATTAAAATAACAGGACAATTTCAGTGAATCATAAATAATTTATATTACAAATTTCTTTCATAAAAAGTAGATAAAAATTAATTGGTAAACAACTTGAAAGCTCTTTTTATATTTTAATCTGAAAATTATGAGAAAATAAATGTTTAATGGTAAAATTTTAAATCACTAAAAAATTCATTAATATACACTCCTCCACTTACAATTATTTATTATTATTTTCCATTTAAAAATCTTTGTATAGATATATTACATTTGCATGTTTTAAAAAAGTATATATTGTTTTAAATTTTTTAAAATTTATTATTTAGGATTAAGATGGTAAAATCAAAGATCCCATTACCAAGCAAAAGACCTGCTCAGTAAGTATTTCTTATTTGCATTGATTTAATGGTCATTTAAAAAGAGCATTAAAATATTAATTGAAAATTTTATATCGCAGGTCATCCATTCCTTTACCAACTAAATGTTTGGGAACGCAGTCTAAAAAGTTGCCACAGAATTCTAAAGAAGTTCTAGTCTCTAAAAAGGTATTGAATGCATGTTTAAAAGTTGGAAAATTTAAAAAAAAATTAAACCATTCATACTCAGCTGGCAATTTTTCCGTTTTAGTTGATTGATTTGTGTGAAAAATCAAGTGAAAGATTTACTAAAGGCATTTCGCTTTTTTTTCCCCGTTAAAAAAAATTTAAATACTCATTTAAAAGGATTTGATATTTCAAGAAAAAACTATCTTTACAAATTTTATAATAATATGTTTTCTAAAATATTACAATTAAATAAATGTGTAAGCAGTTGATAAAAAGTTTCTTTCTACTCATTGATTGAATTAAAATTAAAAATTGTTAGAAACTTTTAATAAGTATTGCAGTAATAAAATGTTTTCCTAAAAAAAAAAAAGAATACTTAAAAATTTCTTTAAGCTGCATTTTTGGAACCCTTCTTGAAAAAGGAAACAAAACATTAATGATATTAGATATTATAAAAAATATATTTTTGTACAAAATGTTTGTAAGCTGTTGATACATTAAAGTTTGTTCCCCAAAGCTTGTTAATATCTATCTATCTATATATATTCGGAGTGTTTAAGTAAGGGCCGTTTGAAAATAGAAACCAAACGAAAGAAAAATTTCAAACTCCAAATTTATTTTCAGATTTTACATACGTGTCTATTTTTAAACATAGTTACCAAGTTTGTTTATGCAGTTATCATACCTTATTGCTAGTAGATTTTGAATACCCTTTTCATTGAAAGTTGCCGTCTGCTCCGATAACCAAGTGGTTCTGTTTTCACATATTCGTCATCATTGTAGCAGCTACTGCCGAGAACTTTGAGATGGCAGAAGCGATGAAAATCGCTTGGCGTCTGAGCTCTAAGAGGGTAGTCTAAAACTTCTCAGCCAAAAGAGTCCAATGAAGTTCTGGGGCCCTATTACCAGCTTCACGGAATCTGATTCCGATCGAAATGAAGCTCTCGTGGCGTCATAAATCCGTGAATGTCAGTTAAGTCGTATTACGAGCTCTTGATTCCGCTCGGAACTAAATTCCGATGCGAAATTATTACGAATCCCATTCCGGCAGGTTTAAGAGTAAGCGAAATCTAGATTCCGATAAGAGTTTGTTTATTTCAGTGAACAAAATGGCGCTGTTTTCCGTCATACAGCCAGCTATTGGGGTATTCCAATATCCCGACAACAAAATTTAGAAGTTATTTTAGATTGGAAATTAGTTTTTTTTTAAATGGTGTTACTCATAAGCGAAATTCAGTAGTGGAAATGAATAATATCGGATTGTGGAAATTCATAACAAAGCTACATAAAAAAATATGTACAAAAAGCAATAGAATCTTAGCTAAAAGAAGGAATTACCAAAGTTAGCTATTAAAATTTCCTATATTGTTTGAAATATGCATGTGTGGGGATTTTACTAACGACTGTGTTATCCTTCAACTATCTTATGGTACTTTAAGATGGAGTTAACATGTCTTATATAGTAGTGATTTGGTATTTAATATTTATGGTGGTAATTACGCCAGATATGCCGGTAAGGCTTTCTTTATTTTAATCTGGATTGTTTTCTAGGTATTCCACAATCATTGTTTGCAGGCGAATATTAATTTTTGTACGTGAAGCCATTTGAAAATACTACGTTGTAATTTCATTCTACACTACTCTCTGTACTTCTAATAAACACAAACTTAGCTTTTAGAACACAAAATTGTTGAAAATGTATGAATTTTTAAGCTTTCAGTTCTAAGTTAATGCGATTTTAACTCACATAGAAGTAGAGAAGACAAACATATCGTTGCCAGATTAATAAATTAGAATTATAGTAATTTCCTAATTGGTCAAAGTTAGCTCCGCCTACAAACTTCAATTTCACAGGAATCGTGTGGAATGGAGATTTCGATTCCGGATTCCGATAAGCTCATGTTACGGCACAGTGGGTTTTACGAAATTGGCAATCCGATGAAAGCTAGTTTCCGATCGGAATCGTTTCCGAGAGGAATAAATTTCGACGAGTTGGTAATAGGGCCCCAGGTCTGAGCTGAGGTGTGAGACCTTGCATTGTCGTGGAGTAACAAAATTCCCTCTGTCTACATGCTGCGTCTTTTGTTTTGAATCGCTCTGGCTAGCTTTTGCAGGGTTTGGCTGTAGGCTACCAAATTTATGTAGACCGACAAAAGACCATGACTATCCCAAATCATGAACGCCACAATCTTCTGCTGGGACATAGTCTGTTTGGCTCTCTTACTGGAGAGTGTGTGTGTCTCCAAGCCCTGTAGCTTTGATTCTAGTGTAGCATGTGAATGCCATGTTTTGCCTCCTGTTACAATTCAACTCAATATGGCGGCACCTTCGTTACACTAATGTAAGTCAAAAAAACGTGGGCATAGTTTCTCAAATCTTAACTTTTCATAATCAATCTTATACAGCACTGACCTAGACACTTCAAGAAAGTCGTTTGAAAGAGTGCTTATGGTAAAGCATCTGTTCTCCAAAATTTTCTCTTCAATTGAAGCCACCATATTGAAAGTGATCACAGATAGGAGACTGGAGCAGAACTCAACATAAACGTTGTTGCGGCCAGCTTCGAAGTCTCTGACCCATTTAATCACTTTGCCTTTCGCTCATTGCAGTAGCTCCGTAAACGTCATGAATTTGCCAGTGATTGTCTGCAGCAGACAGTTTTCTTGCTGACAAAAAGCCTTTTATTGATTGTATCTCATACGGGGTGGGCGACGCGATAATCTTGAATGTTTTAAGGACGCAGAACAGACCGTACAGGTTATCTGCAGGGTTGCAACCGAGCACAGCTATTACCAAGGAATGTCGGGACCTGAGGCGGCTAGTGCTTGTTGCGGCGCGTGCTACCAGTCTTCACTTAAAAGACATGCCTTGTATGTATGTATGTATGTATATATATATATATATATATATAGAGAGAGAAAGAGCGTAATTGAATTAATTTTTTTAAAATTATCTAAAACTCAGAAATTTTAGTTAATTTAGCTCTAGAATTTTTTAGATTTTATTATTATTGCATTTATTATTTTACTGCTTATTATATTTTATTCTTTGAAATTTGCATAGAAAAATGTGTTTTTTTTTAATTTTTTTTATTTTTTAATCTAGCATTGGCTTCATGATAAAAGTTAGAATTTTTTAAAATACTTTATTGAATGATAATATGGTAATTGTAGCTAACTACATTTATTCTGAACATTCTCAAATTGAATCCTTACACTCAATTTCAGGACATAAGTTTACTTTTCTAACTTTAGAGCATACATTAAAATTCTATCAGTGTAGCTGTCAAATTTGCCAATTTTTTGTATGGACTAGAATTATTATTTTTTTATAGAGTAGCTTTTTACCCTAATGTCTTTGGTTGACAAAAAATTTTGTATTCATGTTTTTTTTTCCTGTAAAAACTATTTACATCTTTAGAAATTTATATTACTTTCATTTTATTCAATGTAAAGTTAGATGTAATTGTTAATTTAAAATCTTTCATATGTTTTTAGCCTGACTCTGTAAAACAAGTACAATCCATTTCTTCAAAAGTTAGAAAAGAAAAGGAAAATATTGTGCAAAGGTATCTTTTGCTTTGAAAATATTTAACTAACTAGCTAAATGTAAATAATATGTTTTTAATTTTCTGGAATGTTGTGTATTATAAATCTATAACTATTAGTTTTTGTGTTAATTTGTTATTAATATGCAAGGTTCGTAGTTGTCCTGATATTCCTGATTTTTATGTGTCTACAGAACATCCTATTTTCTATGAATTCAAATGTGGATTTTTAATAATTCATTTGTAGAATTGAAAGGTTTAGATTTTTAATCAAACATCTTTTTATTTTATTTAATAATCCTAATAAAAGTAATGAAATTTGATAGTTTTAATTTTGGACTGCCCACTAACTATGGTTATGTCCATGTCTTAGACAAATAGCCTTACTTGCAAAATTTGTCAAACATCTTATGAATAAAATAATGAAATCTTTTTCATTTTTAAATTTTTATGGGGATGATTTCAGAGGTGATGCGCTTATTTATTATTTTCAGCAAATGCAGTAACAAATCTTGTAGGATTGAGTTTTTGCAGTTTCACAATTTTCGCTTCGACTCATTCAACTGATACTACAAATAATAGTTTCCATTCAACTAAAATGGAATTGTATTACAGAATTATTTAAATGAGTGAAAGAATCGCCCATTAAATTATTTTTTTACAAGGGTGTTTAGTAGCATATTTACAGTGCCTTCATTTCAAGATTATTGAAACCCAATTTTAAAATTATTTGTTAAAGAAGTCTAGAACTATATTAAAAGTTTTGTTATCAGGGAATTGACCGTAATTGATATCAGTTATTATTTTTAATGTTATTTTTATTGTTATTTTAATTTTATTTATTTATTTTTTTAAAATTTTCCATGTCTTAAACTGTTAGTTGTTTAGTGTTTATTAATAAAATTGTGCTGAAACTTAATTGTGCTGTAACTTTAATCTTTCTTTTCTTAAGAAAGCAATCTTGAAATTAAGAGTAGTAGTTTAATTATTTTTTTGGGATAAAACTTGCTTTTCTTATACTTTTCTTACTTCTAGAAAAAGTTCAAAATTTTTTGGTTTGCTTTGTTTTTAAAAGTAGTCTGATATATGTCTACTGTTCTAATGTTATCAAATTTTGTTTTCTGAAAAATGTTGTCCCTATTTTTTCTTTGTCGCACTAGGAGGCCTGTAATATGCAAAAAAACAAAACATTTATGACTTTCTCTTGTTACTGCAAATCTTTTGGTGACCATTTTTATAACCAAAGTCTCAAATATGTCGATACATAATAATCATTTATAAATAAACAAACAATATAATTCAATAAAAATCTTTCATCTGAATTGAAGATTTCAATTAAATGATTCAAATTTGATATGTAAATTATACTTATATCATTATTTTGTATTCCTAAGATTATCGTAACTTACAAATCATCAAAATATTAATCTGGTTATATTTGCTAACTAACAAGTGCATGTGTAAAAAGAAATAAACATAAAAAAGTATTTTTCTCTCCTTCCTATTTTTAAAGCAATGTTTTATCTTTCTTCTATCTCCTACCCCAAAACAAATTTTATTAACATAGGTTAATTTATAATAATCCTATAAATAATTGCTGATGTTATGGGATACTGACACTGAATTAATAAATATCTTGAAAAGGGACAGAAGTACTTAATTTATCATTCAATTTTTTATGTAATGAAAAAACTGCTCTGAAAAATGTAAACTGGGGAAGAAATTTTTAATAATTTAATTCTGTAATTTTTTGCTTTAATAATTTTACTCAATGTATAAGTGTACAGGTTCGATCTGTCGAATAATTGTTTTGTGGATTATCCCATATATTCTCCAGGTGCATTATGTTGACCAGACATCTATTGCTTCCATATTTTTAAAATAGACTCATTATTCACCCTATGTAGAAATAATGAAAATGGCGCTGTTTTGAAAATAATACTCGTTTTTCAATCAATAGGAAAAACCAAGAAAATTAAAAAAAAAAAAAAAATTGAAACTTATTTCTTTGGAAATTATGTTTCAGAGTTCCNTTTTCCCCCCCCCCCCCGATTTTTCTTGAAATAATAATAATAAAAAAAAATCTTAATCTTTAATATTGACATTAAAATAATGTAAACATTTTGATATTTTGAAATTCAGAACCAAGTAGTTCAAAAGTTTAAAATTAAGAGTTTATAATTAAGTTTTGAAGACATAACAGGGGTCTGTCTAGGTTTTTCTGAGAGGTACCTATTTTGGGAAAATTTAGACATAATTTGTAAAAAATTAAAAATTATATTTAAAAATCAACACAAAAATAGGGTAAAAATATGGATTTACCATTTCTTAAGGGATACAAAAGTAAAATTTTAAGAAAGTATTTTGTGAAACTGCCGTTTTTCCTAAAGTTGAATTTATGAAGGTACCTCTAAACGGTATTAAATTCGACCTGGGCAGACACCTGCATACTAAACAATTATGTGATGTATAGTAGTATATAGTTTTATCATATTATTTCTAAAAACCGTACTTTTTTATGCATTAGGCAAGTAGTTGTGGGAGTAATTTAAAATGAAGCATAGAATGAGAAAAAGCATCTATGTATTTTTTAAAAGAATTTTTACATTCAAACTTTTAAAACGTCTTTGATGCATAGGTCATTAAGGCGTTGTATTAATAAGTTTAGTGTAGTTAATCTTAATCCCTTGAAAAATAAAATGATTATTACTAGTTACAATTAGTTTAAAAGCTACTCCTTGTAATGGTTAATTAAAATTTAATGATTAAATAAGTTATTCGTTGTAGCTCAGGGCACGAAATTTCGGTTTTAAATGTATTAACCGAACTGAAATTTTTGCTCACCAATATTTTCAAGAAAAATAGGAACAATTTTAAAACTGTTTACAAATGTAGTATAAAGGGTGTTATTGGTTACAAAATCTATAAAAAAAATATAGAAGAATTGACATATTTATTGCAAAAAAATACATCTTTTTTAAAATAAGGTTGCCATAAGGTTTCAATGATTCTAATGCATACCAGCCAAGTTTCCTGTTTCTTAATGCAGAGTCCTGTACTTTACGACTATCTCCTGTTTACCCGTATATTCTCAGTATTTGTTGAAGACATTTTTAAAAAAAACTTTGACGATAAAATATCCGCTAATGGCAAAAATAATTCTTATTCTTCAACAGATGGTGCTAATGCCAGTACTGCAGTATCTTGATAGTTTATAGTTTAAGTAAATATAAATAATGGTTTTAAAAAAATCTTCTTCAGACTAAGATCTATATATATATTTTTTACTTCACTAAATGTTAGTGCTTATATTATTTCCAATTTTGACTTATATGATTACACATGATGTATCAAAACTTTACTCGTAGCCCAAAAATTTCGCTAGTAAAATCTCTGTTATTTTATTTCTCCAATGTTGGCAGGCATGCTAATAATATCCATATATCATTAAAAGCTAGTGAAATGGGAAAATTATCAGAAATGTTTTCATATTCTTTACCCTTAATGTTTGCTAACACTTACCATTTGTCAGATTCAAAATATGTTTGAGGGTTTGAAATTTTAAGTAAATCATTCTAGGGAATTTTGTGCTCCACTGTCTTAAAGGTTTGCTGAAGTTGCATCCTGTTATTTTTCACAGATTTTGTCCATAATCGCTATTTTTTTGGGTGGGGGGTGGATGGTAGTTTGATTTGAAACACAACAAAACTTATTCGCCGGGTAGATATTCATTCGCTGCAGGCAAATAGAAATTGTAGGTTACAATTTTATTTTACTAAATCCAAATGTCTTATCATTTTTAAACAATCCTTTCAAATAAATTATAAAATAATTTTTAAATATTATTTAATATTTTTTTTCAGGTTGCCTTCTTCTAAGTCTTATGACTCTAAAAAAGTGTTAACGAAGGAGCCATCATTCAATGGTAAAAAAGTTGCTGTTGCGAAAAGCACATTAACTACAGAAAATAAGGTCATAAAACAGGCAAAGGTAATAATTTATCATTCATTAAATTTTTTTTGTGTGATCAAAGAAATGTATTGTTTTTTTTTTTTAATCAATAATAACTTGGATATGAAACTAATAGATATAGGTAATTTGGGCAATAACTTGGAAGAAATGGTTTTGACAAAGTTTTACGTTGAATTTTTAAAACTACATATTGCAAACGGATGGTGCTATCATCAATGAAACATCATCATACAGAGACCAATATTGAACCTTCCTGTAGAATTCAGCTTAAAATCCCTGTGTTAAGACACTACAGAATGATGTTTTACATTTTTTTTTCTAACTTCCTTATCGAACATGAATCTCCACAGATTCACCAGACTATCAAGAAAGCAATAGATGTTTTCTGGAAGGATAAGGGTCAATGATTCCGTTTACCAGCAATAACTTGTCAAATACGCAAAAAATCATAGTGAGGATTCGAAAAATTATATGTTCGAAAAGTTATGTTGTGTCCCCATAATTCTCTGCTTGGAAAAAAATTTAACATGGAAGCATATTCGTTTCGGCAAAATTTAATCCAAACTTTATATAAAAAATTTCATCTTTAAGCTGAGGGAGAAAATTAGAATAATTCTGCGTATCTAATTATATTGCCTCATTTTTTAATCCAAGTATTTGATCATTTCTGATTAAAACCTTGACTTTTCTTGATTTGAAATTCTGTGTTTTGTATATCAATAACATATTATGAATGCAAATATTAATAGATGGTAAAGAGGCTGACAATTAATATTTTAAATTAGGACCAACTTTTTAGTAGAAGGAGACCCAGAAATATGGGCCTAAGGACTCGTAATTTCTCAAATCAAGTGGTTTCTATATGATTTTTTAAGATTCTAGCATTTCTAAAAAAATCCATGCGCAAGAACTGGAGCTAAGCAGGTGAGTTGCCACCCATAGCAGATAATTTTAAAACACCTTCACATCTTAGGGTTAAGTCAGAATATGTTACAGGCAGTAATGTTTTTATGTTCATTTGAAAGTTCCATCTTGGTATTTAAAGAAGCATTAAAATTTGAAGTATTATAAGTGTTTATGTTTTTATCTTTTCAATTTTATGTATGCAACCTTGTAAAAAGTATACTTTTTTGAAAAAATTCATAAATAAGTTTTTTTTATCATGCATTTGAAGATTGTTATACAAATTTTACGCCAGATTGCCGTCTATTTCTTTTGCGAAATTGGTTTTTCAATGTTAATTTTATGTTTTTTCCTCCATATTCTCCTGATATGCAGTTTAGTCACTCTCATATTTGGCATTACATTGGGATGCTTAGTCACACCTGCCACTGTACCATAAATAAATTAAACTTTTTTTTTTGTTTAATTTCTATCATAAGACACAATTTATAATTCTAAAATTTAATATGTTAAACTAAACGACCATCCCTAAAATGGCAAGGATATCCAAAAAAAGTAATCCAATAATCTTATCTATTCTAATCAATTTGCTATTTTAGAATATATAGGACTCATGAATTTATAAAGAAAGAAAAAAACATGATATAAATTTTCTATAGTAAAATCTTATAAGAGAGAAATGAGGTCATTTACTTATTTACTATTTTACAAGATTACATCATATTTTTTATAAAAAATATTATTATTTAAAAGAAATTGAATTTATCTCTTTATTTAAGTCGGTTAACAATTCATTAATCGCAAAATTTTTAAAATACGTTTTGTTGCGTTTAAAGTTAGTGAAGCACTTTAAATTGAAATATTAGTTCTGTTCGGGTACTTGGTGCCAGAGCTGTGTTTTCCCTGGAGATCTGTATTTTTATTTTAGTTTACAAGAGGCTTGATACATTGCAACAACATTGTCTCCTAGTTAAGTTACTGTAAAAAGATAAAAGAGGTATACCTATTTTGTGAAAATTTAGACATAATTTGTGAAAATTAAAAATTATATTAAAAAATGACGTAAAAATATGGTTTTATCGTTTCGTACGTGACTCAAAAATAAAATTTTAAGAAAAAGTATTTTGTGACACTACCTTTTTTCCTCAAGTTGAATTTGTGAAGGTACTGCTAAACAGTAGTAAATTTGGCTTGGACAGACCCCTGTCCTGAATACTCACTCACAAAAACAAATTTACTTCAACTATAAATCAAATGTATATTTTCTGTGGGAGCTGAGGACTATGTTATTTTTCAGATGTTACTTTTTGTAGTTAAAATTTCAAATTAAAATCTGAAGCTCATTAATATATAAATGTACATAAAGGTTGTCGAGTCTTAGCAAAGTTGCAGCTTTAGCTTATCTGGAAGCAGAGCTAGATCATCGAAAATTTTTCGGGATCCTGGTACTGAATTTTTTTTAAAGTATTGATCATATTTTCATTTTCTGTACAAAATATAAAATTTTCAGATTGTCTTAGTACAAAATGGTTCCAATTAAAAATTTAAAAAGTAATGACATTTTGAAATAACTATCTAAAGACTTATATAACTTTAAGTGAAGCCTTTGCATATATTTATATAAAAATATTTTTTAATTAGATTTATATATCTTATTTGAAATAATAATTTTTTAAATTGTCATTTTTATTATAATTGAATTTGTAATATTGAAATCAATTTTCTAAAGTTTTGAGTTTAAGTTGAAGTTTTTCAAAACTGTTGCATCACGTGTGTTACCCACTTGGTTGTAAGATCACCTTTGTATGTCTTACTTCTTGTATTTAGTGTGTAAAACTTTTTTTTCCAGTTTTGTTTCTTAAAAGTCCTTAAAGGTACTTTTTAGTTGTCATCATAAAAAGTGCTTCATTTTTTTTCGCTTTTCTGAAGTGAGATTTTTTTCTTGCCTTGTCTATTGTTGCCATGAAGTACGAAAAAATCAGGATTTTTTGTATTGATCTGTTTAAAGTTTTCACAATTCATTTAACCACAATCCATTTCAGTGTTACGTCTGTATTGTACCAATGGATCATCATTCTACATGTTACTCAAAAGTTTGTATGCACTTGCACTAAGCTAGATTCGGAGGGAAGGATTTTTGCACCACTCACACTTGCAACTTTGCTGCTAAAGATATCTCCCTCTTCTAAAATCAAACGAAAAATCTCAAACTTTTGATGATTATGGGAACCAACTAAACATTGCAAAATTTTTCTCCCAGTGCCAAAAGAAATTTTATTGTTTGTTAATTTCTATGAGGTGACATCATCTGTATATAAATAACCAAACTTTATAAATAATGTCTTACAAACCTGTTAATGTGGAATTGAAACAAAAAAACTTAAAACTAGATCATATTTTTCTAGATTATAACACTGATGACATTCCTGTGCTCCTATTTATACTTCTGGTTTAAATTTCCATTTTTACTTCAGGTATAAATAGAACCTCAGGAACCATCAGGAATAAAAGAAAATTTATATCGTAGCTTGACTTGGGTATCATACATTAATTATTTTCATATGGATCCTGAACAGTTAACAATCAAAAAGCTCTTTAAAAAAAACTCAATGGTTTTCAGAGGGGAGGAAGGTTAGGGGGGAAAAATCAATATTTTTTAAACGCAAAATTTTAAATAGTATAAATTGAAGGGCAATTTAACACTTAGTAAAGTAGTAAGAAAACTTATGTGGTTCAGATTTGTCATTTCAAAATAATAATTTTTATCATTTGATTTAATAATAATTGAAATTAAAAGATCAATAAGCTCATTTAGGGACCTCGTAATAATTTACATCTGACTGAAATGTTTAGATTCAGTACTTATTGTATCTTAATTAAAATTGAGAATTAATTTAACTAATTTAATTTTAAAAAATTTAATTAATTTGTTAAAGAAATGCACAACCAAATTACAAATTTTAATTAAAATTTAATTTGAGGATGTTGGATGAATTGAAAATTATCTCTTTCTGATGCGTTCAATTTGTTACAATTCAATGTTACACAATGTTTGGTGATAGTTTTTTTCGACAGTTATTTATTTATTTTTCAGCCCTTTCACAAAGTTTTTCAATTTCTAATACTTTTAATTTGATGTTATTATGACGTTCGTCTTTAAGTTTTCACTTTATAGCACGTTCGATTTGTGATAAATCCATCATAACTTCACATTGTTGGATGATAATTTTTTCATCTGTCATTCACCAGTTTTTCAGCTTTTCCTAACTCTGATATTTTTGCAGCTTGCGAATTTCGAATTTGAGTTTTGATGTGATTGATTCACTCAGGATTGAGAGCCTCTCATGAAATCACATTGGTTCTCATTGTTTTTTCCGAGTATCCAATGTGGAACAATTTTGTGCAATCATTGTTTTAAAGTGAAATTTTGTGAAACAGCCATTTTTTAGAATTTGAATATTGGGAAAAGGCTGCAAAACCCCTGTTATAATTTATTGATACAGTACAGAACCCGTTATCCGGAAATTGGAAAACCAATAATCCGGAACGAAATTCGATACATTTTCCCGCCATTTTTTTAATATAAAATTTTTTTCCTCATAAGATTTTAGGATTTTTCCTTCTTTTTTGAAAGATTACCTTACCATCATTTTGGAAATAATCATTAGTGTATTATTTAATCGTTTTTTTTCTTTTTAAGATTATTTCCAAATATATTCTTTTTTAAGTTGGGTTTAACAATAAAAAAAATGGCTTTTTGAAGTGATTCAGAAAGCCGGAAAAATCAGTTATCCGGAATAGCGATGGTCCCGATCGTTCCGGATAATCGGTTCCCTACTGTACTTAAATTTTCGCATTTATTAATATTATCAAATTTGGAAGAAACTCAGATAAATTAGCAGGGTGCGTAGCGTTTGTAAAAAGTACTTAAAGGTGCTTTTTTGGGGATTTCGTTTTTAAAAGCTTTTAAAGGTGCTTTTTTCAGCAGGCGTTTTTAAAAAGTGCTTTTTTTTTCACGAATAATTTTTTTTTACCCTTCAGTGATATCTGATGGATCCCATGCATTTCACAAAAAATGGGGTGTTTGCTACGTAATCATTCACGCGGACTTCATGTCGTACCCACGTTATGACTTGCGCATGCGCGCACACTTGAAACCGAAACCCGAGTGCTCCAATTCGGATAGAGAATATCAGATCCTTATGAAATGTTTTTCTTTTTAATTTATTTTAATTTTATTCTTGTTTATTTTATTTTACTTCTAACACTTTTTTGACGTAGGGGGTAAGGGTACTTTTGTTCTGAGTTCAGAGTCAAGTTGAATTCACTCGGTGATGTGGGAAAGTACTGATTGTTTCGATTTACGTCCGTTTCTTTTTGGGGTTTTTTTTAACGCTAAAACTGTTTATGAAAAGTTTTTGTTTTTCAATAATATCATTGATTGAATATGAATTTTTTGAGTGCTTGAAAATTTTTGTAAAGTGCTTGAAAAGTTTTTAAAAAGTGCTTATTTTTGCTTCAAAGATTTGGCTGCGCACCCTGATTAGGTTTATTTTTTATTTAATTTGCATTACATATTAGTATTATTAGCAAGTTTATTTTTATTAATAATACTGAATTAATGATTTGTTTATTAAGTAAATTATTTTTTGTAATTTTATCTCTTAAGTATTTTTAAATATGTTTAGAAAAACAGCATTTTCTTTTAATTTACATAATGACTTTCTTCAGAAATTTCATTCTTGTTCCTTAGTGAGTTTCGTTTATTCATGTTTAGGGTGTTTTGCTTGTTCATAAAAATAGAATTAATTTTGTGCCAGTCAACTTAAATTTGATATTTGATGCTGTTTTTTTACAGACTAAAACTTTTAACACTTCTAAATTTTGTATTATTCACTGAAGATTCTTTTTTTTATTATTTATTTATTTAATTTAGCCTGTTCCTGTTAGACCAACCAAAATATTAGTTTCCAAACCAAGACCTGTGACTAAGGATGAAAATCAGCCAAAAAGGTATCTACCCACTTATTTTGTTATTTAATTTTGTGAAAATAATATTGAAGTTTCACAGTTGCCTAATAACTTATCTTTAAGAGAATTATATTTATCAGAGTGGATACAGAATAGGGAAAACAACGAATGTTATAAATCTGGAGAAATTGGGAAAATGTGTAATAGTTTAATCAGTGAAAAAATTAGAGTGAGTGCTACTTATAAGTGTGTTTTTGTTTCTAAATACATTGTGCTTGTAATAATTTTTTTTAAAAATTATTTATTTTTTAATTAATAAATTTTTAAATGATGGTTTTGTTATATATTTTTGCGAATAAGAGTAAGGTATAAATGAAAAATTAATCATAGAACTTTGGCACTGGTTGCAAATACAAGGAAATTTGATGAAAACTGGTTTGGAAAAGTCAGGGTATTATTTTTCCATTTGTTAGTGGCCACCCTGTTTACAATGAAAGGGCTTGATTTATTATTTATTCTATTTTCAAGTTTTATATCACATTTTGTTTATTTAGTTTACAAATGAAGGTGCAATCTTTTTTCTCATTATAGTATGTTAATTAATGACAGTCATGCACTGCAATTTGATTGTCAATTTTAAGAAGAAAAAAAAGATGCTCTTTTAAATTCGTATTACCGAAAAATATTTTTATAATACTTATTCCATATATTGAACCTGTCAAATTCAAGACTTCAGGCAACAACAAAAAACGCTTGCTTTGTATAGTCTATTTTTTTAAAGTGCATTTTTTTTTTATTATAAAACTTTTTACAAGAAAGATTTCAGACTGAGTTGAAAATTGAAATCTAATCTTAACTGTCTAATGTTCATATTTCTTATGAAATACGAGTATTTTATTTCTTGGTTTAATGAACTGTAATTATGATTTTTATTCCTTTATGCTTTAAATCGTGTGTTGAAGTGTATGTGTCCAAATTTTATGCTATGGGACTAAAGAGATGTATATCAAATTCTTTATAAAAATAGTCAATAAAATTTATATATAGTTTTCTAAATCTAGGAATTGACTGTGCTTCCTATATGTTCATCCTTTACTCTCCAAAATTCTGATATTTTACTACGCAGCAATAATTACCCCTGCATTTATTTCATTGAAAGTTTTCCTAGTTTTCTATTTTACCACTTTGCTATTCAAAATTAACATTTTTGTTTAATTATTTCTTTATCTTTAGATTTTCTTCTTATACGTCTCAGAATGGCAAACTTGGTGTGCGTTCAATGAATGAGCAAAAAACTAAATCAGTCATTCAATCAAAGGTAAATATTTCATATTTTTACAATGCTTATTGATAATTTTACACAATATTATATTTTTTATTGAAGTATTAAAAGAATTAAATTTCATACATCAGCATCACCTAGTAAAGTGTTTTCTCTGGAAAGTTTCAAGCAATTGGAAAACACAATGTAAGGGGATCGAAGAAATAAAATAGCAGAATTATTTTACAAGGAATTATCTGATTAAACAAATTTTATGATTCTTTGTAAAAATATTTCGATTCCCCCGGAAAGACCTTGACATATGGCGTATTACTCAAAGAGTAAAATTAGCACTAAGGGGTTCTTCGAACCATTGAGATTGAGATCATTTGATCGAAAGTAGTTTAGGGTGTTTCTTTCTTCTTTATTTTTGTATTGTACACATTTAGTTGCTTGACAGACATCAAGACAATAATCTTAATCTCTCACTATCTTGTGAAGCATTAATGGAATCGATTTCAGCTGTAGCTATGATTTAATGTGTTAGATAGAAAATATCGGTAATTATTATTTTTTTTTTTGTATAATTGTTCTAAATTTTATTCTACATTTTGACAAGCATTGGGCATTTTGTCTTGTTGTTGATGTTTGTTTGATGATAGTTTTTTCGACAGTTATTTATTTTTTTCCCAGCCTTTTTTGCATGGTTTTTCAATTTTTGGTACTTTTAATTTGATATTATGACGTTCAAATTTAAATTATCACTTTATAACACGTTCGATTTGTGATAAATCCTTCATAACTCATTGGCATTATAACTTCACGTTGGAGGATAATTTTTTCGTCTGTCGTTCACCATTTTTTCAGCTCTTCCTAACTCTGATATTCTTACAATTTGCGAATTTCGAATTTGAGTTTTGATGTGATTGATTCGCTCAGGATTGAGAGGCTCTCATAAAATCACATTGTTTCCGATTGTTTTTTCTGATTTTTCCAACATGAAACAATTTTGTACAATCATTGTTATAAAGTAACATTTCGGGAAACAGCCGTTTTTTAAAATTTGAATTTGGTGAAAGGGCATTTTTTAGAATTTGAATATTGGAAAAAGGCTGCAAAACAACGCCAATTTTCATCTGGTTTCACCTCTGTTACAATTTATTGATACTTAAATTTTCACATTTATTATTACTATCAAATTTGGAAGAAACTCAGATAAATTAGGCTTATTTTTTATTATAATACTGAATTAATGATTTGTTTATAAAGTGAAATTATTTTTTTTATAATATTACCTCTTAAGTATTTTTAAATATGTTTAGAAAAATAGCATTTTATTTTAATTTATATAATGACTTTCTTTGGAAATGTCATTCTTGTTCCTTATGGTGTTTCGTTTATTCATGTTTAGGGTGTTTTGTTTATTTTTATGTTTTACACACTGTGCGATAAAAATTATGTATTCCATTATTATGCTTGTTCATGAAAATAGAGGTATTTTTGTGCCAGTCAACTTAAATTTTATATTTGATGCTGTTTTTACAGACTAAAACTTTTAACATTTTTAAATTTTGTATTACCCACTGAGGGTTCTCTTTTTTAAAATTTATTTATTTAATTTAGCCTGTTCCTGTTAGACCATCCAAAATATTAGTTTCCAAACCAAGACCTGTGAATAAGAACAAAAATCAGCCAGAAAGGTATCTACCAACTTATTTTGTTATTTATTTTTGACAAAATAATATTAAAATTTCACAGCTGCCTCATAATTTATCTTTAAGAGAATTGTATTTATTAGAGTGGCTACAGAATAGGGAAAACAAAGAATTTTATAAAATCTGGAGAAATTGGGAAAATGTGTGACAGTTTAGTCAATGAAAATGAATTAATTAGAACGAATGCTACCCATAAGTGTGGTTTTGCTTCTAAAAATATTGTGCTTGTAATAATTGTTTGAAAAATTGCTTTTTTTTTAATGATATTTTTGTTATATATTTTTGCAAATAAGAGTAAGGTGTAAATAGAAAATTTATTATAGAACTTTGGCATTGGTTGCAAATGCAGAGAAACTTAGTAAAAAGTGGTCTGAAAAAGTTAGGGTATTCTTTTTCCTTATGTTACTGGCCACCCTGTTTACAACTAAAAGATTTGATTTGTAATTTATGCTGTTTTCAAGTTTTATACCACACTTTGTTAATTTAGTTTACAAATGAGAATGTAATCTTTTTTCTCATGATAGTGTGTTAATTAATTGCAGTCATACACTGCAATTTGATTGTCTAAAAGTTTTTTAAAGAAAAAAAAAGAGACTGTTATTTAAAGTCATATTTCCGAAAAACAGTTTTATTATGCTTATTGCATATATTAAACCTGTCGAATTCAAGACTTAATTCTATAGTTTCAGGCAAGAACAAAAAAAGAAAAAGGCTTACTTTGTATAGTCTATTTTTTTAAAGTGCATTTTTTTTATTATAAACTTTTTACAAGAAAGATTTCAGACTGAGTTGAAAATTGAAATCTAATCTTAACTGTCTAATGTTCATATTTCTTATGAAATATGAGTATTTTATTTATTGGTTTAATGAACTGTAGTTATGATTTTTATTCCTTTGTACTTTCAATCGTGTGTGGAAATGTATGTGTCGAAATTTTATGCTATGTGACTAAAAAGGTATATATCAAATTCTTTATGAAAATTGTAAATAAAATTTATATATAGTTTTCTAAATCTAGGAATTGGCCGCAAATTTTGCTTGCTATGTGTTTATCCTTTATTCTCTCCAAAATTCCGATATTTTTTATGCAGCAATAATTACCTCTGCATTTATTTCATTGAAAGTTTTCCTACTTTTCTCTTTTACTACTTTGCTATTCAGAAGTCCCGCAGTGGACTGATCGTTAAGACGCTGTTCCCAGCAGATCACCGAAGTCAAGCATCACTGGCTACGATCGGTGTGCAGGTGGGTGGCCACTTGGATCAGTCTGCATATGGACCACGGGTGTGCGGTATTGGTCCTCGTTAAACTGTGCTACCATAAAGTGCTCGACTTCGCGCGCAGGTCGTCGGGCTACCAAAGCGGGGGTGCCATCCCCTCTGTATAGGTTCAAAATTGTGGTGGCATGTCTTCGGATCATCCTCCGTGATGTTTCCCAGACCGTTGCCAATAGCCCATTGTGCAGCTCTAGTGCGACGTAAATTAACAAGAGCAACAGCTATTCAGAAGTAACATTTTTATTTTTAGGTTTTCTTCTTATACGTCTCAGAATGGCAACAGTGCAGTGCGTTCAATGAATGAGCAAAGAACAAGAACTAAATCAGTCATTCAATCAAAGGTAAATCTTTCATATCTTTACAATGCATATCTATAATTTTACATGGTATTACATTCTTAATTATTGAAGTATTAAAAAAAGTTCAATTGCATGCTTCAGCATCACCTAATAAAGCTTTTTCTCTTAAAATTTTTAAGTAATTGGAAAACACATTGTAAGGGGATCGAAGAAATAAAATTCCAGAATTATTTTGCATGGAATTACCTGACTAAACAAATTTTATGATTGTTTGTAAAAATATTTAGATTCCCCCAGAAAACGGCCGACATACGGCCGATTATGCAAAGAGTGAAATTGGCACTAAGGGATTCTTCGAACCATTGAGATTGAGTTCTTGTACAGATATTCTGATCATTTGTTCGAAAGTAGTTTAGGCTGTTTCTTTTCTTTATTTTTGTATTGTACACAATTATTCGCTTGACAGACATCAAGACAATAATCTTACTCTCTCAATATCTTGTGCAGCATTTATGGAATCAATTTCAGCTGCCGCTATGTTTTGTTGTGTTAGATAGCAAATATTGGTATTTTTTTTTTTTTTTTATAAATGTTCTAAATTTAATTCTATATTTTGACAAACATTGGGCATTTTGACTTCTGTCACAACATTTTTCACACCTTGTGAAAAAAGAGAAAACTTAACAATCATTTAGTAATTTTTAAAGCAAGAAATGATTCTTATCTTTTAAAAATAGCTTTTGAATGAAGTTTCAAAATTCTGGTACAGTAGAATCTCGATAATTCGAGGTGAATGGGACTGACCCTACCTCTAACTTTCGAATCATCGAAAACTTAAAATTTAAAAAATATTTGAATATAGGGAAACAAAGCAATTTTTAAATTTCAGTATTTAATTGAAAAATATATGATATTTAAAGAAATTATGCTTGCATTAGATGATGAAGGTACATTTACTGCATTACACTAAGTTACAATATTCATTATGTTACTGCATCAGGTTAATTGTACTTTAAAATAATTGTCTAATGTTTTTTGTTTAACGCACTGTTCTCATGTTTCAGTGTTTAATACACAAATTTGAACTACCGAGACTCTACTGTATTAATTTTTCTTATGACACTGAATTTAATTAAAAATGTATTGAGTTCTGTAAAATGGGTTTCTGATCAAATATATTTTTTCCTCAAAGAAAAAAAGAAAAACACTTTTCATGCTTGTTTATTGAGTTCTGAATAACTTTTCCTAATTAAGAACATTATTTTCATATCACTTCTGTATTTGTTTGTCAGTGACTTAATTCTTGCTTTTTTTTTAAGCAATCAAAACGAAAAATCACAATATATCCTAAGTTTTATTATTATTTTTTGTTTTAACGCCTGTATTAACACTAGAAAGACGGAAAATCAGTATATACCTATATTGCCGAAAAGCAGTCAAAATGACTAGATTGTAAATGCGTCAATAAACTTGTTTAAAATTAATTTTTAACATTTTTTATATTATTTACATTTCTGTAACAAGTTATTAGTAAATATTAACAATAAAAAAAAATTATATGTTGTTCAAAAAGTCACAAAACTCTAAGAAATTGAGTCATTGTATACATCATTGTTTTTCTAATTGAAATTAAAAGCAGTCAAAGTGACTTCCTTAGGCAATCTAGTGTTAATGTTTATTTAGTTTTGTTCTGTTGAATACTTATTCCTTTTAATATTTTACTGTTGATTTGCAATTAAAGAGTACTCTATCATTATGATATTCAAATTCTAATGAATTAATTATTAAGTTTTTTACATTTGTATTACTTAAAATCATGTTTAAAGATTACAATTTTATTTTAGGTTGTTAATGAAGCAAAAAATTCAAACACAATCTCCACCAATAGCATGAAAGAAAATATGAACAGAAAGTATGTACTAATTTTCTATTAAGAATTTTGTCAGAATTTATTATAATAAATTATTATTTGTTCTAGTATGCAGGGAGTGAGCATAAAAATGTGAACTACATTATTCTTAAGAAAATAAATGATACAGTAGAGAACCATTTATCCGGTATCCAGATAACCGGGAAACCAGAAAACCGGAAAAAATTTTGATCGCTTTTAACCATTTTAAACTAGAACGATTATGAAAAAAAGCGGAAATGAACTGATCCTTGAAGTTGAGTAGAGGAAAATGTAAGGAAGGGGAGAATTTTTTCCCCCGTTTACTCAGAGAAACGTCATTTCCTCCGTGACCTTGAAGGCAGGGAAGGGAGGAATGTTTTATTTTCTCCTTTAGGCCGTCAATTAAGCTCAAGGATGTGGCATGCTGATTTCGTTTTCTGTTTAATTTACGAGGGGGTGGGGAAAATGCATTGTATGCATATCAGTGAACAGAAGATGAAAGAGAAAAATATATTTATCTATTTGACATCGATTAATAAAAATAAAATCTTTTTCTTCTGAATAAATTCAAGTGCAGTATCATTTGAAAGTTTTTATTGATGTGGAATCACATCGGCTGTAATTAAATATCGTATTTTTATCAACAAAAAAAAATAAATAAAGGGAGAATTGTTTTTTAATTTAAACATAGGATTATTTTATGAAGCAGATTTCAGTTTTGTTTTTCTGATTCCACTACGTTTGATTTTTTTTTTCTTTTCACGATAAATTTCGCACTCAAAATAAGTTTTCCTTTTATTTTATCGTTTCCCCCGTATAATTAAGTATGAAATATATTGTGTTATTTGACCATTGGTTTTGTTTATATTAGTTAATTTAGGAATTATAATTATTTTTAAAAAATAAATACGAGAATTTTGTATTTTTTAATCTTGTTTTTCTTGTCTAAACTTGCAAATTTTTTTATTCTTTTAAATGTTATTTTTCTACCATTTTTTTTTCTTTTTAAAGTTAGGAGTACCTTTCTTTTTTCTCTTACTTTATGCATTACACTTTTTCCTCGTAATTCGGGCTCGATAAAACACAGATTAACGACACTTTTTGGTCGATCCAGAAAACCGGGAAATTCAGGCATCCGGGATAGCGATGGTCCCGAGCATCCCGGATAATTGGTTCTCTACTGTATATACTTTTATATGTTATTTAAATGTTGCTATTGGACACTTGGTTTGCTTAGATTAAGTGAATGATATTTTTTATGTTATGCATAAGTACAACTATTGCACAAAATTGATGTGAGAATATATATTTCTAGAATATTTATTTCATAAAATCTATTATGAATATAATTTATTAATAAATATAAATATAATTCACTATACACGAACAAATTTCTTCTTTTGAATATAATTTTAATTATAACAGATATAACATATTTAGCTTACAATCTGTATCATAAGAGGTTGCTTTCGTAAAATTGTCTGATTTTTTTTATTTTTAAAAAAGATGTAATTCTTTATTATTTTAACTTTTTTTCTCTTTATTTTTGTTAAGTAATATCTATTTAGTTGTGTTTTTTTATTGGAAGTTCATATAATTTTTCTTTTCTAAATTTCAATAATAAGCTTTGAAATTTAGAATAATTTGGCTATTCAGGTCTTTAAAATGAAAAAAATATTTTTTGCATTACATGACTATGCAGAAATTGTCAATTGTCATTATGTGAGTAGCAGATAAACGTTTCGTTAGTTGAAATCCATTGCTTTCTTTGTGTCATATGTCTTGTAGTTTTTTTACTAGTTTAATTTATTTTACAAGGCTCTCCTTTCTGCTAAAGGAAGCATGTTTTGTTAATTGTGCAAGATAAATAAAATATTGTTATGCCAATGGAATCAGGAAAAAGACTTGCAAGTCATGCAATTGTATATCAATGAAATAAGCTAACAGCATGGTAAAATTTTAAACTAATTGGTGTTGAAATAGGAACTATAAAAAAATTATTTAACTATCTTTTAAAAATTTCGTGTATACATTTTTCATAAAGTCACATATGATTTCAGAGAAAAAAGTAAATGGTAATTATTATAGCACAACAGTGCAGTTTTTAAAATAAACATTTAATTGTTTGTTGTATAATAAGTTAAGTGTTAGTATTCTACACCCATGATCCCATAATGGGAAACCATTTATTACCAATTTTTCAAGACGACTGATTATTAAAAAAATTTTTTTTTTTTACAAAATTGGCTGCTCTCACCACTAAAAGGATTGATAACTGCTGATTTGCACTATATACCTGTGGCATGATGGACATTCTTAAATATTATTTTTAATGACAATATGCTATTATTTCTATTATTATTAAAAATATACAATTATTTTTATATTTATTATTCAATTGAAAATTTTTCAATATTCTTTTATTTTAGTCTTCTGGGGATAGCAAGGAAAGAAAACGTTGCTGTTATTACGCCAATGAAACAAATAAATTTAGCAGCAAAGTCTGGTAAGAAATGTACTGTTTGTTAGAAGAACTATGTTCATTTACTATTTAACATACAAGTTTAGTTCCAATTTTTTTTAGGATTTTTTTTTTTGTTGAAAGATACGCATACTTAAATTAAATTAAATGAAGAATTAGAAGCCAAAACATTTTAAAAGATATTTTTAACGCTATAGTTACAGAAATAAGAGCACAATTTTAGCCTCAGTAAACCAAAGCCAGAGGAATGTACTCAGAATCTTTTCAGTTTTAACACGTTTGTAAACTAACTTTTTAATTAACACATTACATGGTTTTGCCATGGCATAATTCTTACTATGTTAGTAAGTTTTAATTATTTTTAGTTCTGAGACAATAAAAAACTAATAGTAGAGATTCAAAACTTTATATACATTCTTTATATTCTCAATGCCTAATGTCACAAATGGCCCCCAGATTAGTTTGTCATTTCTGCTTATTAGCTGCAGCCTGTCCTACTTCTGATCAGTAAAGAAAAACAAGTAAAACACAATATTTAATAGCAGTTTTTAAGCAGAAAATGTATTCTAAAAGAATCCCATGCTGACCCAGGGTTTTTGCTATTTTAGCATTTTTAACAAAGTGCTATAAAACTATCTAGAAAAGCTAAAATGAAACAAGACATATTTAGCTTTTTTGCTAAAGCATTTCATTATATTCTTGAAAGAAAAAAATTTCACAAAAAATCATAAACAATAGTTTGTGAAATTTTTATGATGGATTCTACAATTGTTGGTATGGAAAGATATTTCTCAAACTGAATCAAAAACGGACATTCATTTTCCCAAACAGATAATGAAATTGATAAGAAAAAAAAAATTAAGTTTTGAATTCTACACTTGCAAGAAATCTTGTTTTAAAGGGATATTTTTAAAATTTGTAAACAAATGGAAATGAAGTGCACCTAGACTTTTGTTCTATTTATAAACCATGTCTTTATTTTATCATTTTGCTAAAAGTTCTTTTCTAAATTTAGCTTTTTTGCTTAAGGAGTCTTGATCTCAGCATAAACCCGATTGCTGTTATGGCAACAAGTTTTTTTCAAAGGCTGTTAAGGGTGCTTAACAAACATTCTCTTCTCTGATTACCTATCTCACCACAATTTTTCTCCGTGGTTCTTCCTTGTTTCTTTTATTACCTAATGCCCATTATAATTGGCACTAGATAGCAACAAGACTGAATTTTGGCAGAAAGCTTTACATTGAATAAAATTTCTTTTTTAGTATTCGATAAATAATTTTTAGAACCTAGTTTGTGATTTGACTAGTATGTCTTCATTCCATCAATCAGATTTCGATTTCTTACTGACTATTTCGAGTAAATTTTTATTTCAATGAAAAAATTACAATAACAAAGTCATTTGCATTATTTTATATTGCATATTTTTATTATAAATAAAAATATATTTATTAAAACGTTTTATTTATCCTGAAACCCAATGTTCTTTTTTTTATTGTTAATATATACGAAGACCTTTTTTGTTCATTGTTAAAAATTAAATTTTAACCTTAAAAATCTTTTATTTTATCCTTTATTTTGATACCACTTAATACAGGAAAAGCTCCCTAAATACTAAAATTTGGAATAACATATATTCATTTCCTTCGTATCCTCCTCTATTGCTGAAAATCAAAGATAAATATTAATTTTTATGAGCCTGTTTTCATTATGTCTCAAAGCTCTAGTAAATGTACAAACAACACTGTACAAACAAATGTACAACCAGCATGTTCATTAACTGAAAATTTATTTTCCTGGTAAATAAACAGTTTGTAATTATTTTTTTTTATAATGTTATAAGGTTTTAACATGGTTAATAACTCATGCTATAAAGAGGACCTCAAATTTAAATTTGAGAAATGAATATTTTATAACATGACTTTAATTTATAAATGTGGTAATTAGTTATTTTATTTATAAATGTATTTACTTATAAATGTGGTAATTGAGTTATGCTAATTTTTAAAATATTTGTACTTATTTCAAATATATTAAAATAAATTAAAAACTATTAATAAATAATACTGTTCATTCATTCTATTTACAGTGATATGATAACAATACAATTATATTATTTGTAAATATACATTACAAGTTGAAATTAAAAAGCAGAATAAAATAAGCTGCAGTCTATAATAACACAAGAATCAAAATGGCAACCTTGACAAATAGCTGAGAAGCTAACAAGGATCATTAAAAATTAAGTCGATTACTAAAAGTTTCTTACTGTTTTGCTGAAAATAAATTTAAGTTGCTTATTAAGCGCAATATCACTTATGTTTAGTAAGAAAGAAGTAAGAGAAATTTAAAGTTTTTTTTTCAAGGTAACTTTTACTCATGATTCAGCTCAATTCATTGATAAATCATCTTTAGACTGAATAAATTTCAAAAAAATATGAATTCCCTACAAGAAGTTAATATTTAAGAGTAGTTTCAAGTATTTTAAATGTGTCTTGAAGATAAAAATTTGAACTACACTTCCAGGAAATGTGTTGCCTACAAATCCTCAACCAGAAATAAGCTAAATATGGAGACAAAATCGGATATCTTACGATTATTATTTTGCAAATATAAAACAATAATCTTCCTCAACTTGTCTTTACGCAATTTTTTTGTTTGTAGTACTTGAAATAACAAAATCTATGAAAGAAAATGGAAAGTGATTGTCTAATCAATTTAATACTTATCATTTCATGACCTAGTGTGAAATTATCTATAATAGCTATTTTATATGACTTAGTCATTAAAAATTTATAATATAGTCAAAATGTTAAGTGTTCCTTCACTGGTGAGAATTCTTTATACACTAGGTTATCAAGTTTCCTTCCATTTTTTTTTTTTTTAATATTATCATTTTACAATAAATATATTTATTTTGTCAATTACTTCAGATTATAAATTTTAAAAATATAATCGCTTTTTTAAAGATAAATTTGCTTAATTATTCATTCACTGGATAATTTCTATAATTATCAGTATTATAAAATTTTTATTTATTAACTAGATAGTTGTTGGGGAAAGAACTTGTGATTGAAAATATCAATCAGAATTTATCAAAACCATTCTAATTTTAGATAAATAATTTGTCTCTTTATATGGGATGATTATAATTAGAGTAATACTTTGAACCGCTATTAAATCAAGGCTACCGAACCAAAATTTACTAAACTTCAAAATAAGTGCAGAGATATTTTCGTATGCAAGAAAGAAGTTTAAAAAGTTACTACAAGATAAAATTGTACTCTATTCTAGATCTTGGAATTTGGTTTCATGAACATTCCAGCTTTTTCCACTTTGCAGCAAAGCCTTTTATAAAATTCCATTTCATGTAAAAAGTTGCATTCTGTATTGCATATATTTCTCAAATATTTATAAGGCCAAGTGTCTTATTCTTAAATACATCACACGTAGTCATTTTCTGCTTATTGATATCTTTTTTTTTAAATGTATTATTTTGTTTCTTTGTATTCATTATATTTTAAAATGTAATTATGATCACTATTTTGTGTAACGAAGATTATATCGCTTTTAAACTATTATCAGTTTTATTTAATCTTTAAAAGGCATGTACTCATTAAATCTTCTTCACTTTTATCGAATTTATAATCGACTTATAAAATTGTTGTTCCACACATAAGAAATTGTTTTAAAGGACATTCTGTTGATATAAAGTTCATATTCTGTTTATATATTATATAGCTTAGCATTTTCATTTTTCTTCTATTTTATAATTCTATTAATAACTTGTTGATACTATTCAATAAATGACTTATTCACTTATGAATGAGTCTTCTTTAAAATTCATCTAGCAGCTTAAATTTGGTATCCAATTCACATTAACTAATGCTGTTTCATTTAAAGGTGTGGATGATTCTGAATTTCAGAAAAGTGGTTTCTTCAAGTCCTTGATATTAAATGAGCGTGAACTCTCACCTGGCATCATAAACTATTGTTCTAAAGCTAAATTTACACCATCCAAAGTAAATATCAGTTTTCTTATATTCATTATTATTTACTTTAGTTGTCTTTTATAATTAGTTTTATAAAAACTACGGTTATTTCAAAAGCAATGTATGATTCCTTCTTTTTTTAAAAAAAAATTAAAATACTATTTGAGGTTATTATTAGACTTTCAAAGTGCTCTATTCTGATATAGTTTCGATTTTCTTTTCATATTATGAAAGTTTTTTTTAAATTATAATTTTTATATATATATATATAATTTATATTTTAAAACTTCGATATTGCACCATTTTTTGCAACAAGCTCTGTGAGTCTGCTAGAATTTGAAAACTATGGTCCAAAACTTCCAATTTTCCTGGTCTTTTTTTTTCTTCATAAAAATAGGGTACCTATTTTAATAAATTTAAAAAAAAAATTCTAAATCTCCCATTTGAAGATATATTTTATTAAAAATGAATATTTCGTGATTACTAAATTTATTGTGATTAGGAATTGATTCAGTAAACATTCAACAAATAATTAAAACCAAAATTTCTACATCAATTGTCCTTAAAAGTTTAAAATCAAATCTTTTTCAAAAAGCTATATTCTTCTTGATCTGTACTAATTCATAAACTAGTAACTAATTTATCAAAACATCACTTTTTTAAAGGTAGAATGAAGCAAATATTACTGTCAACGGAATATGTATACTACTTGAGTGTGAACGAATTTAGAAATGAGTAAATAACATTATTAATCTTCATTCTAATCTAAATTTCTATTTATTGCCATTCTAAATCTTCAAAAACTAAAAATTCAAATAAAATAAATTAACATTTCAATTTATGCTTCAAAAATTATCGATGATATAATACAGACAGTAAATTCTCTACCTCTTTATCATCTATCTATTAATTTGCATATTTACAAGGTTTCACTATATTGATAGATAAAACAAAAAGTTTAAGAACATGATGAGAATTATATTTGAAATCAAGGTTTTTAATTGTGACTGATCAAACACTTGCATCTAGGAAAAGCAGAGTAGTTTACTACTCAGTTTTATTCGTTCTTTTCTCTATTAATACACACAATATGTATATATATATATATTAATTTTGTTTAATTAAATTTGATGGTGCACCATTTTTACAAATATTTATTTTTCGAGATAGATAATTAAGTATGCTAGAAGACACATCTTAATTTTTTTTTCTTTTTCTCCTTTGCTTATGCTCCCTATGATTTTTTTCTTATTTGAGACGCTTTAATGTTTAAGCAAAATCACTGGGACATATTTCTATTTACCACTGTTATGCATACAAATAAAAAAAAACAATTTTGGGACTAAAATCTATTACTGAGAATTTTAAAATATTCTGCAACAATTTTGTTACCTCATCAAAATATCATCTTTTATGCTTTTTCTTAAAAAAAAAAAAAAAAGTTTCTTCTTCAGTTACACAGCAGCTCTGGGTTGGTCCTGGTTTTTTCCAGCCATCTCATGTTTGGCTTTCCAATTTTTTGTTTTCAGAATATCTGTGTTTCTTCAAGACAGTTGATTTATCAAATGCAGGGTTTGCCTCTTCATCTTGTTCCTATAGGCTTCGATAGAAATGGTTTTCGACAATTTAGATCTTCTTGTATGCCCTTTTTCCTGTTGGATTTTCAGATTTTTTAAAGATTTTATAGTTATTTGTTTACCATCGCCATAAACCGTCCTTCTGAGTTCCACCACCAATACTTGAGACTTTTTTCACGAAAATTTCCAACAACTCTTCATCTCTAGAGTTTTAGATGCATATAATAAAACAGATCATATAAGTGTCTTATGTGAAAGAAATTTAAATTTTTAATTTTTGGAAACTGGACTTAGTGTATTTTTTGTGACTGTAAAAACGCCTGTTTGCATTTGTGATTTGTTTACATATTTCTGAAGTTAGATTGTTGTTTTTGTTACATTTTGCTTCTAAATAAGTGAAACTATCAATTTTGTCAAACTTTTAGTCTATAATTTCCAGATGATTGATTTGAAATTCTGAATTTAAATATGGCACATATTAGGTACTAATAAATTAATTACTTTTGCATTTTGTTCTAATGCCATAAAGCTAAGCTGAATAATTTGATAAGAGACATATTAATGTTATAAGAGTGTTTAACATACAAATTTTTTTTTTCCATCTGGAATATTTTCATCTTTTTAATAAGTTTACCAAAGATGGACCTTTGATATTGTGTATTTAATTCAAATGAAACTATTTATATTTTTTCTGTCAATCCATCAGTGTAAATAGTGCTAAAAAATATTTTTTAAGTATGAAAAAAAAGTATGAGGTATTTTTAGTTGTAGGGTATCAGTTTTTTTATGTAGGGTATTAGATGTATAGTGGGTTATGTATTAAGTATTTCTAGTTACAGGGTAATATTCGTATTCTGTTACTGCACTCTCGATCTTGCAACCTCAAGTTAATCGATTATTTTCCTTCTGTTATAGAGTCATGTCAAGAGTAACTTGTATTAGTTTTCTATTGTAAGGGTCACTTGCTACTGTATAGTTCTATTTCTGGCAACTGAAGAACTATGCTGCAGATTATTTTCCTTCTCAGAATTTTTTGGAAAAAGAAAAAGGTCAACAAACATAGAAACCAACAGAAAAAAAAAATCAAAAATATTTAAAAACTAATGATAAAATGAAAAGAAAATGATTTTTCTATCCTTACGAAAAATAATGAATATATTTATTGTCTTTTTTTTTTTTAATATGATGCTGAAAAAAGACTTATTTGATGCTCATTTTTATGGTCATCTTATGTCTCTGCTAAGTTCCTGTGATTATATGGTAATGAATTACACCTGAAGAAACTTTAACAAGTAACACTCTACAGGGAAAACCTGGAAAATACAGGGAATTTAAAAATCACCTAAAATAACAAGGAAAATGAAGTGAATTTTGATTTTTTCTTTACAAACTTGGAAAATACAGGGAATTGTGTTTCTTATTTTTGTTTTTTAAAAAATGGCGACCACTCAAAGCGTAATCTATGGGATATTTAACCCTGATATTTCAGCCATGCTAAACTATTTCATTTACTATAGCATTATTTAAGTATGTTCAGCTGTTTTTCCAGCAATTAAAACTAATAAATATAGTTAGCCCAATATAGCTCACCCAAGAGTACACTAATTGTTGTTCCCTCTTAATATATTGCGTATAATATGTACAGGGAAAACACAGGGAATTTTTTTTCCAGATTTGAGTGGCAACCCTGTTTAAATTGGCACAAATCAGGAAACCATAGATAACAATTCTGTTAATTTCTTACTTTACTTCGAAAATATTTTATTTTAGGAGAAGTATCTGTGTTTTCTCCTTTTGAGCAAAGCTAAAGTATTATTGTATGACACTCTAATTTAAGCAATTTAAAGTTTTTGTGCATAACTTTATTATATTTCATCCTTGCAAAATTGTACTATAGGGCTCCCACGGGTCAGGAAAAACCTGGAATTGTCGGGGAATTTTATTTTGACTTTATAAAGCAAGAAATAGTATGGAAAAATTGCAATTTTTCACAAAAACCTGGAAAATTCCTATATTATACCAGGAGAGCAACCAGTCTCAGAATCCTCAGTAACACCAATCAGTTATTGAGATTGGAGTTAAATAATTCTAGCATCTATTACAAATATTTGTTTCAAAAATAATATCACATTTTAATGACACTTTCACACTTTAACCCTTATTTGATGATAAGACTTTTTTTTAAATTGTAGTGTCAAATATTAGATTTTGCAAGAAAAAAATATGAAAAATTCCGATGATTCCGTTTTCTGATGAAAAATTCCGTGGTATTTATAAAATATGGTCTGAAGTTTTATTTAAATTTTTTGATATATGTGAAGAAGTCGGGTATTTTTTTTCTTTTCTAAAAATTTGCTGAAAACCCTGTACTTAAATATATGTTAAATTAAATTTAATGTTTAGTATATTAATCTCTGCCTGAGACTGTTAAAGTCACAGAGAAATTTGAATTTTTGAAGATAATGCTGTGAATTGACTCTGTAAATTCTGATACTGTGATTGTATTATTGAAAGTTTTAGTTGTTACTCTTCTCATTATTACTTTCAAATTATGGATGCTCTTTGCAGAGGTTATAAATTGTTTTAAATTGTGTATCTTGAGATGATTACCTATTTAAATATTTATCTTTTGTTTAATTAAACATGTTTTGCCTATTTTACATTAATACTGTAGAACCTTAATCGATTGTTTCTCAAGAGACCCTTCATTACGATTTAGAGATATGGGAAAATGGCAAAAAATTCTGATTGAAAAAATTAAGTACTTCCTGCAAAAATATTTGCGAGCAAAAAAAGGATAAATGAATGCATTTATTTATTTAAAAAATTTGGGGAATTTTTATTCTCTTTCTTTTCAGGGCAAACAATAAATTTTTGACTTTGTTGTAGATTGCTGTTTATTTTATAAAAGTTTGTTTGAATACAAAATGTTTCTCATTGTTTTAATGGTTTCAAGGTCTTCCACAAATGTTTGCTTGATTTGATTGTGTTAAGTTAGGTTTTCATCAGTATCACTTTGCCGTTCTACAGCTTCTAAAAATATTTCTTGAACCAATGTAATAAACCGATTTCACCAGACTCCCGTAAGAAACAATTTTCCGAGAAACTTATGACCGACCTAAAGCGCAACCAAGCAGTAAAATCCACCGGAAAACCCTGGGCTAACATCCAAAACAGTTGGAAGAAATTTTGTCACAGTCCTCCTAAGAAGGCTGTGGCAAACTTCAGACTCTTAATAGGCCATGACTGCTTGGCAGAGCACCTCAACAGAATAGGTATCCTTCCGTCTAGTGAGTGCCAAATCTGCAGTTCGGGAACCATGAACTCAGACCACTTGCTTGTATGCCCTTTACTGGACAAACAATCTCAAGAGCGGGGTGATCTCTGTAAACTTTACTGGGATGCCAGAGATCACATGAACTCAACGTAAAGACTACTCCTCATTCTTCACTGTATATATATTTTTTACTTTAATTTTATCTTTGTGTTCTTTTTGTGTTAATATGCGTTTGTCATGTGTTTTCTTTGTTTGTTAATGTAATTTTGTTCCTTTTTACTCCTTGTTTATGTCCACTTAAAGCTGAACATTGTATATGGATTAATATTTCCAATAAAGCCATATGTAACAACATATTTCTTAAACCAACAACATCGCACAACGACATTTTTCCAAATTGTTCATAAGCATCAAACCTGTTTGATGCCTTTTACCAAAACTAATAAATCCACATTTTAATTATTAACGCCAGTAGTTACTGTTTTTCTTTTGCAAAAAGAAATTAACTTTGATATTTTTTAAAAAAAATATTGGTACAATTTCTGTGCATTAGATTCGGGAATGTACTAGTTTCAAAAATGATCTAAGCTGGAATTATTAACATCATACGAATAGCATTTGTGACAGGAACTTTGAAACAGTGAATGTTTTTGTAAAACAATAAACAGCTTTTTAAACTATGGATCTAGGTTCAACTATATTAATTCTGCATTTTTAAAAAGTGCTTAATTTTCTCTTTTCAGAAATGAGATTTTTTTTTCTTTAGCCTGTCGATTTTCACCACGTATTATCCAAGAGTGTGGTTTTCATTTGTTCTATGCAACGTTTTCACAAATCATTCAAACACAATGCATTTCGGCATACCATTGTTTCTTAATGTATGAAAGCACCAATCATTTTACATGTTTGATGAAATACTTGCGGGTCCGCATGTGCTTATACTGAGCTGGATTCAGTGGGAATTATTCTTGCACTATCGTGTGCAACTCTGCTGCATTTTGCAAGAGATTTTCAGGCTTCATTTTCTTCCCTCTGAAATCGAACAGAAAAATCTCTATCTTTTTATGGTGGCTAAAATAATTAAGAGAAAGTCTTCTTTTCTCAGAAACTAGTTATTTTACCATAATCTTTGAGAATTATTTTGCATTTTGTTCATGTATATAGTGCTTAAAAAGTACTTAATAGGTGCTAATTTTTTGTTGAAAAATTTGGCTACACACCCTGTCTACATTGTAGTTCTAATATGTAAGCCTAATATATTTCACATTAATTTGAATAGGTCAATTTGCTGCAACTACAACCAAAGGCTTCTCCTCGCTTCCTAACAGCTGATGAGTTTGTTGAAGAAGGTAAATATTTAATTTCATTCCAAAAATAAAATATATATATATTTTTTAAATTTCTAATCTTTAAAGTGAATCTTTTTTATTTTATTATTTATAGTTAAAAGGACTTCCTCCAAATATTATCGTTTGAATGGAAGATTAGTACTACGGTCTCCAGAGATGGTGAGTATTTCAAATATCTTTTGCAATATAACATTACGATATAGCTAGCAGTTTTTAATATCTAGTATTTTCAATATTTTATATGCAACCATTTGAAATTTCCAGCTTATTTCCAAGAGAAATAAAGAAACATAGCCACCAATACTTTTAAAAATTTAACAGAAAGACATTGTGAAAAAAGGACTTTTTTAAAATACAATTTCTTTGGAACTATTTAACTGATTTCGTTCGAGTTTTCTTTTTGCCTTATAAAATTGCAATGCTAAAAATGATGTTATTTTAGTCAGAAAATTTGGGTCGATTCAAAAATTTTCGACTATTATTAAATAATAGATAATTATTAAGAATGTTTTTTGCATGGAATTATCTTTGGATAACCAAATTTTCTACTTGTGTGCAAATTTTTTTTTATTCTCTTATATAAATATGCAAAATGTTGAATTATCATAAAGGGTTTCAAACTTTGGCCCTCTTTCTTGACCAAACTGTTGGGAGCTTTGAGAAGTCTATTTTAATTTAATCTGTTGCACTCAGAGGGGTGCCTGCCAATTCCCTGTATCTTATTCTTTTTATTTTCCTCTTCTAACTTGTCCCCATTGGTCAAACTACTTTGCACCTGTTTATTTCTTTACTTTCTCTACCATCATTTGGTAATTAGACACTTAAAGAAATTCTTCTTTATTGAACGGAAGCATCTACTATTCTTGTTGTTTTTGCTTTAGTCTAACACAGTGTTTCCTAAACTTATGACTTTTGTGTACCCTTTTTAAATTTTTCGCAATTTTGTGTACTACTAATAAAAAAATGAATGTATTTTTTAAAAAATATGCTAATTTTTCTTCTTTGGTACAAGTTTTGTTAATAACTTTATTTGCATCAGTGAGAAGGATCATATTGTTTTTGCTGTGATAAAAAAAATTACACAAAAGTTAAAATTCACAACTGGCTGTTGACACCACTAATTATTAACTGTTAACTCTGTAAAAAATAGCCAAAAGACACATAATCGTAAATTTTTCTGGCTAGCTTTGTTTTTAAATAAAATTTTGTAAAATTTTTGTTTGTTGCAAGATATTTTGCATAAGAACGTGTACCCCCGCTAAACTTTTCCCGTACCCCTGGGGGTACGCATACCACACTTTGGGAAACACTGGTCTAACACTTTGCTGGCTAATTATGATATCGTTGAAATGTTTTCATGCAGGAAAGCATTAAAACATTTCAAATCTTTATCGTATTTATATAGTTCCAAAAATATTAAATCACATTTTAGCTGTTTTTGTTTTGTATGCCATCATGCTCATCATTCAATTGTATCTAATGCTAATGCACAATAAGTATAAAACGTGAAAGCCCCTACTTTTACTCCCTGTTCTCACTATTATACTAATTAATTATTAGTCATATATTTATATCTGTTGGTTAAAGTAGAGCTTTATTATTTTATATAAATCTACTCTTTAATAATTGTAATTATTTACATTTAGTTAAAACATAAAGAAAGATTAGCAGTGGCAATTGATGAAGAAGGTAAAATGTATTCAAATTTTTCTAATTATAGAATAATAGAGTATTATACAACAGAATGATACTTACTGTGTTTTGTTTTAATCCATTTAGTTAAAAGACTTTCTGGAAGATGTAAGCTAAGAAATAGAAAAATTATTCATTCACCAATTTTGGTAATCATTCTTAAACAGCTTTGCATGCATATTTTAATTTTACTTTCAGCCTTCAAAGTATACTTATAATTTTTTAAAAAATCCTTTTTTTTATCCCTCGAATGATCTTGTAGATTTTATCTTTAGTTTTCCAAAATTATTTTAAATATTTAATGTTTTTGCATGTGTACTGTTTCTATCTGTTCCTTTTTTTTTAAAAAATTTTTTTTAAACTTTTTAAATTTATTTAAGTATAGCATAATTCTGTAATATAAGGTTGACATTATTTTTTCAACAAGACCTGTTTTGAGTGTGGTAAGAAATGATGACCTTATCTTTATTCTTAATTACTGTTATTTTTATCTATTTTTATGTCCCCCAATCATAAGGGGCTAACTTTCAATTTACCTTTTTGTTAGTTTTCAGTTTAATTTTGTTATGCATTCCTAAATAGGTTGGGTTTTTTTCTAACAGACAAGGAAACGTTTATTAGGGTTGTTTAAATATGACAGGTGCATGTTTTTGGCAGTATCAGGTTCTTCCATCCCTGTCAGCTAAAATAAGCAAATCACAAATCTCCAAACATGCTTACATAAGTAAATTGCAACACCCCCAAGGCTCCCAAATGATCCCTTTTTTCCCCTCCAAAGTCCGTTTTTTATATTTAAGTTTGTTATAGTCCTTTTTTTAATGTTTTGGACTTTATTTTCACGTGCATTATTTGAAAATCATATTAAAGAAGTGTTTTATTTACTTTAAAATTGTGATGTACATGAATTTTTTGTGCGTTAACCTCTAACGTCATTGTTCTGATAGTTTGGAAGTCAATGATATTGATTTGAGTGCACTGTTGTATTCATAGATCATTGCCTCAATCCTTGAATCTGAGGATCATTCACTAATTGAGATTTTCAGGTGAGTTTAGGAAAGTCCATGAGGGCAGAGCTTTATCTCTTCAAAATTATTCGTTTGATTTAATATTTGAAATTTAATTATATAACAATTTAGAATTCGAGAATTCAGTCATTCTACCAAAATGAAACTCAATTGAAACTTTTACTCTATCATATTTTTCTGACTATAAATCTGGGGGTCATGTTTCTGCAAATACTGTATAAAATCTTGTCTGGTGGAATTTCATAGTTTTACAATTACTGATTCATTTCTTTCATGTGATTTTAAGAGATTGATTTCAATCAATAGTACAGTAATCATATTATAGGATTTTTGAATACTGAATTAAAGATTTACCTACATTCTACTAAACTAAATTAAAATTGCTGCTAAATACTAAAATTATTTTTACACAAAATTGTTTGACAATGCATTCACTGTGTTTTCAATTTGAGGTTATTGAAACTGCACATTGAAAATATTTGATTAAGGAAAAGTTGCATTTTCTTTAAGGACATTTTCATTAAGGAAAATTTGCTTATGCATTTTGTTCCCTCGGCAAAAATTTTCTTTTCAAATTCGCTTTTTTTAGCAGCTTTGGTAAACCTTAAAGCATCCTTAATTTTTTTTTTCTATTCGGCAGTTTATGACACTGTTAGCTTTTATTTATAAAATACATTTATATTTGACACATCATTACAAATTTTGGCTATTACTCTCTTCATTCATTACATTTTTTCCAGAATTTCTTCACATATTATTTTAATGATTTTTAGTAAAAAATAATCTTTTTTCCCTTATTTACTAGAAATAAAATGAATGATTTCTTTTGTCAATATTTTATAATATTAAAATATTTCTAATTCTGTGTATAGTTACTGTTGGCAGCGAAGAAAATTTAAACTCACATTATGTATGAGACATTTATTTCATAATCAACTCGATTCCTTTTCAGTTATCATTTTCATTATAAAAGCAAAAATGTCCTGACTTTGACAAACTTATTTCATTCTCACAGAAGTGTTTTAATTTCTCAAAATGGCTATAAATGTAACTTAAAAAAAGCTACGATGTATCTTATGCATTTTGGAAAACGGAATGAATTCAATTTGTTTTGAAATTATTTGCTTTATATTGTAAATTGCTGTTGATTAATCATTGAAAGACTTTTCTCTATTTTAATTAATCTACCTTTATTTTCAGACTCCAGAAAAAATCTTTCAAGGAATTGCCAAAAATATTGATTCAGTGAAGGAAAATTTAAATATCAGACAAGTTGATGAAGGTATTTATTAAATAATATATACATCTTTCCTTACATATATAGGTGTGCATATACAGTGCAAATTCCCATATCAGTACGTCCATTCACTGGAAGTATCTTTTAATCTACACTATCTGCAAGAAAGTGACAGAACAACTGTAAAGTTTGGTGGAGGAGGATTGATGGTATGGGCCTGTTTCTCCTGGTATGAGGCTGGCCCACTGGTGAATGTTGATGGTATAATGAATGCCGATGGATAGTGTGATATTCTCGACAATCAAGTCCTTTCTACCTTGTGGGCAACTTACGGTATGGATGATTGCTTGTATCAAGACAACAACGTAAGATCCCATCTTGCAAGGAGGACTCTTGATTCGTATGTGAACATCAGCGTTAAACGCATGGAGTGGCCGGCGCAGAGCCCTGATTTTAACCCAATTGAATATCGCTGGGACAAATTGGACTGTCGGTTGAGGGTCTGCACCCCACTCCCCAAAAGCAAGCATGAACTATGGAACTTCCTGTTAAACATTTGGAAGGAAATTCCTCTTGCCACTATGTCTAATTAAGGGGAAAGCATGCCCAGAAGGGTTGCAGCTGTGATCGCAGCCAAAGGATTCCCTACCTCCTATTAATTTTAATAAATATGGGTTTATGTCGTTATAGTGTCGTGTCCCGTCACTTTCTTCCAAATAGTGTATTTTTCAAACACTTTTTAAGTATCAAAATAAATTTTTTTTGGTGCTGATGATCTTTTAAAAAAGTATTAGTAAAAAAAAGTATTATTGGTGATTCTCTAATTGTTAAGCAGTTATTCTGCCTCAATAAGCACACTAAAATTGTTGTTGAAAGTTAAAAGAAAACAAACTTTGTGGAGGAGAATATACTATGAATATTAATGAAACTGAATCAAAATAAAACTCTTTTCCTTGTTTGAGAAGAACACTAGCATTCAAGCTTTGTTTTGCTTTAAATTATAGATGATTTCAATAAAAATCCTTGTTTTATTTTTTTATTATTTGAGACTAATTAACATTTTTGGAATTTGAAGCTCATTTTTTAATGTTATTCTTATTATTCTATACAGGGTGCACAGCATTTTTAACTTAAAGGTGCTTATTTTTGTTTTTTAAAAGCCCTTAAAAGTGCTTTTTCCAATGGATGTTTTTAAAAAGTGCTTAATTTTTCCTTTTCCAAAATCAGATATTTTTTTCTTTAACATTTTAATTTTTGCCACAATTTATGCAAAAAGGCATTGCCCTATGTAACGTTTTCACAATTAATTCAACCCCAATTTGTACTGTAGTGTATGAAAACACCATTCGTTTTGCATCTTTGGTGAAATACTTGCGGATCTGCATTTACGGGTACTGAGCTGTGTTCAGTGGGAAGGATTTTCATCTCTCATGTGCAACTCTGCTGCATTTTGCAAGAGCTTCTAAATTTCAGACTTCATTTTTCGCCCTCTGGAATCAAACCGAAATATCTCAATTTTTGCTGATTACAGGGACCAACTAAACATTGTTAATTTTTTTCTTTCTCTTATAGCGATAAAAAATTTGATTTCTCTTGTTAATTTCATCGTTGTTGATGCGTCCAAGTTCTTAAAAATATTTTTTGAGTGCTTGAAAACATTTGGCTACGCACCCTGATAGTGGTTTAAATAGCTTTCTTGAGAGGTTTTTTTTTTATTGATTGGCTCATTGTCAATGGAACATGCTAGTTTTGAAAGCTCAAAAGTTTCAAAATTAGAACATCCGAATCATACCAGCCCTTATAGCAACCAAAATTTCTTTCTTTTTAATCCCAAGAAAATTTCTGCTGAAACAGGTGTTAAGCATTTAGTGAACTTTCTAAACAGCCTTTTTTTCGATTGACAATGAATAGTCTCCCTGACGTAAAACAAACCTCTATTTCTTTTGACACTACTGCTCAATAAATCTAAAAGAACTTAAATTTTCTGTGAAAGGAGAATAACTGACAGGATCACCTATTATTATTTTAGGTTGTTCCTTGGCTTAATCTATGATCGAAAAGGTAAATATCGATTAGAAGTGTGGATTGCGTCCTTGCTTGTAAATCAGAGCCTCTTATATGCATTCATAACCTTTGTAAATTTCTTTTCAAAAGTTTAACTTAATTCACCAATCTTATTTTTGTTGTTTGAAAACTTTATTCACTGTTTTTGGGAATTGTTGTAATATTTATTGAGTATATTGCTTGTACTCACATTCTTTTTTATTTTATTTTTTTCTTAGATTTTGTATTTCACCGAGCACTAGTTATTTAGCGAAAATGTCTGACCCGCGTGCTTAAAATTTTGAAAGAAGTGCATAGAAGAATAATGTTATCTGTAAAAATATTTGCTATAGTTTTGTCTACTCATGATATAGTGACCTCATATTATATATAGCCTAATATAGCTTCCATTTTTCTTTGAAACTCTGAAGTTTGTTATATTAAGCATTGACTGTGTGTATAATTTTTGCAAAAATGTTTTTTTTTCTATGTACTTTTATTTCTTCTTTCTTTTCATTAGTAAGAAGACTTTCAGAGTTTAGGCGGCAAAACTCACTGAATGTTGATGGTTTAATGGTAAGTTTAGTTTGCATAATCTGTAAACTTATCTATGGAATTTTTTCTTACCTATTTATTTCAAGAACTTGCAGTCTTTCATCAGTTCTGTCGCCTTTTGTTATTCAACATTCCGTAAAATAAGTTTATTTTAATAAAATATTTGATTGTGAAGGATCAGATGTGACACAAATATTACCACTTATTTCTTTCCTTGGTAGATATAGATATTCAAAAGTTTTAAAATTTTTATATGTTAATTCTCTAACTAGGACAGTAAAATCTTATAATTAATCTTATTGAGTAGCAAACTTTTTTTTCTTTTATGTACCCTTTATGTGTACTATACGAATTTAAAATCTTTCAAAAGATAATGTAGTAACTGTTCTTCAAAAACTTGTGTACTTATTTAGAGAAACTCCTTAAACTTAACTACTTTTCAATGAACACAAAATCATAACATAAACTACAATTTTTTGTCAAATCAACCTTACCTGTTGCAGGCCAAATTAGATATGCAACTTTTTAAAAAGGACAAAGTTACCAAAAAGAAACACTTTGGCAGTGTCGTCTGTGTATTAAAACAAATAAATATTAATATCACAATAAGTAAGCAGCTTATGTTTTTTTTTTAAACAGAACTTATAGATCAGAGTGCGAAATTTCCATTCACTAGCTGCCCATTTGTGCTCAAATATTTATGGCTGGCAAGTAAGCTTTGTTTTTAAAAAAATGTGAAATCAAACTATCATATTTTTCCTAGAGCTGTGAGATTTCAATTGATAAGTATTGGGATATTGATAAGATTAATTGAATGTGCAATGATGTGCATCACAAAATTGCAATTTATCACAACAGCAGAGATGCCAACTTGCTCCGGACAGAAAATAAATATTTTAATGTGGTAGTTTATCAATTGTGATTCTTGGTTTAATAAATTCAATTTAGTAGATTTTTATCCACCACTATTTCTAAATAATTCGTTGGCTTATATAATTCACCACTTTATAGTAGTTATGTCATGCTATGCCTTTTAAAAAGCAAGCAAAAATAGTCAAATGTTTGCAAAATTTAATTTGTAGTTATTTACCGTTTTTTTTTTTTTTTTTAAATTATTTTGGTGTGTCCGGAGCAATTGGCATCTCTGCAATAGATTTGTTAATATCTCTTCATGCTTTGTTACACCTTGGGTTGGAGTAAAAAAGGATGCCGTTTCAGAAAAATTTTTAAATACGGAAGAGAGGAGATAAAGAAACTCTGTATGTATATAAACCCAAATCTTGTAATGAATATTTAATGTTTTGTTGGCAAAGTGTTTAAAATTAAAATTTATGTTCACACTGACATTGACTCAGATTGTGGAAAAGTTGAACAATAAAGAATGGTTAGTGAGATTCCAGAATATAAAATTTTTGTGCTATTCTATCAGTGATTACAGCATCCTGTGAGAGATGCTTTACCTGTCACGATAGACTGAAGATAGCATGCAGAAACTTATTGAAGACTGAGACACTTGCTGATTTGCTCAGAATTCCAATAAATTGATCCCTTCTCTTAACAGAGTTTGAAGCTGGATTTGAAATTTGCATGTGGTATTTATAAGTGTCAGAAGTCAGTCATATACAAATATGAAGCGTTAAAAGTATTGTTGTATTTCTGATATCTAAATTTTCTGTATTTTGATAGCTTTTAATAATATGTGCATAATATTGAAATCATTGAAGCATTTAAAAGCATTTTTTAACTGTAAACATGTTTCAGTTTTTACATTCTTATAATCACCAGAAAGTTCTTTATACTACACTTATTAAAATTTTGAAAATTGTTGATATTTTTCGTGAAAATAATTGCGAGCAATAAATTTAGTCTAGCTAGTACGTAAGACCCGATGTCATGTCGTGCTGCAGAATTTTTATTAAGATAAAGAAAAACTTTATATCAGAATTCTTCATCTAGACAGTTTTATGGTTGTTATAGATACAAGTATACTGCATCTAATTATTTCTATTTTACAAATTGAAATTTGATACCCCACTTTTGAATGAAGTCATTAAATTTTTTGTTGATCAAAATTAGCCTTATTAAGTTTTATTTTATGAAAATATAGTAAACATCGATAAAAGAATATCACTTTAAGAGCAAACTACTTTTCGTTCCCCTGTTACTTGAGATTTTTTAACAGATCTGACATATTTTCCTATTGCTAATTTCAAATCTGCATTCGGGTTTTTTTTTTAAATGACACTTTCGGCTTCTTTTTTTTTTGTCGACATCTACAAGTTTAAAATTTTTATAAATAACAGGGTTGAATGAACGTTGCAACAAACTTCTAGAGGAGTTAAGGGACATCATGATGATTATTAAAATTTCAAGTAAACCAATGCCCGAAAAATGTCATATGTTGGTAGGGTCACTTTCTTATTATGAAAGTTCTGTGTTCGTTGGAATTGATTTTTTACTTATTTGTTTTTTAGGCTAACAGAAGGTGGACATGTAATGTCCCTAGTAAGCCATCTATCGCTAGTATGAATATTACTGAAATCGCTGCAGAAAGTAAGTTACTTTTCCAATTTTGTCCTAAATTGTTCCTTATTGTAGTTCTTTATGTAACTGATTTATTTTTATAGTACGAAGAGTTTCAGAAATAAGACGAGAATCTGGAGTTCAAATTTATAAAAAAGTAAGTTTCTTATAAATATTACATTAAAAACTTTAAATATTTATTCCTCTTTATACCTTATTACTAATTCTAATGTAAGTAATAGAGAGTAGGGTAAATAATTATGTAAAATTTATTTAATTTTCTTCTTTCAAATCAAATACTTCCTATAGGTTATGGCCCAAAATAGATGTTGTTAAATTATAGGTTATAAGATACAGGTATTCTAATATATTATCCTAACTAAAAAAAGTTAATCTGTGAGTTCTGTTAAGCTCCTTTGCCTGAATTTTCAAAGTTGTCAGGAAAATTTATTTTAAAAGTTTCTATTTTCATTAAAGTTTTTTTTTACTTATTTCTTCACCAAATCTTAGTTTTTTTTTATAGCAAATTTTGTGGGGAAGAGTGGTTTTAGTAGCGCAGTTGTTTCTTCACAAACTTTAAAATATTTCAACTGAGGTTAGCTGGCTTGAATCAAAAGCTTTTTTTTCTAACATTTTATATTATTAAATTTTCTACTATTCTGATAAATTTTTCCGGTTTAATTGTAACGAAAAAAAAAGGTGAAATATTCTTACAGTTTTGAATTTAATTACTAATGGGAGTCTGTATTAGTATTTCAAATAAACATAAATCTGCAATTTTTTAATGTCTATGTAGAAGTGTTTTTCAACATAAGTATCAATATTAAGCAGAGCATTTCACCTGGAAGATACCTATTTCTTTTAGGACAGTGGAAAAAAACTGGGGGCAATGAAGGAAACTGTAAATGATCATCACAACTGTTTAACATTAAGAATAATTCAAATTTAAACAATACTATAAATTTAAGGCAGTAACAGAAAGTTTGAAGTTTTTTCCATGTTCTGTAGTCTTTAAAATTAATTAAATAATGTAATTATTGAAAGAAATCAAGTTTCTTAAAGTTTATTTATATTTATGTGATAAATAAATAGGATTTTCTACAACTAAAAGCACAAATGGGAATAAGATGCTTTTCGAGATTTTATTTTTTTTAGTTTAATTTTAGAATTATTTTCTGTTTTTTATTCCACAAACTACTTCAATAACTCAATATTTTTTGGATTTCCAATACCGCATTGAGTTATCAAAGTTTCACTGCATTTGAAAGTATGAGTTATAAGATTGCGTTATATGTTGTATTCTATTTTTATACTTTATTTATAAACCTATCACAAGAGCTACTTCATCACTTTTTTTTTATTGTTGCAAGGTTCTTTTCTAATTTTAATATAAATTTCTTATGTGTAAAATTTAATAATTTTCAAAACTTTAATTATTTCTCTTATTATTACTGTTTATAACCATCATAACATTATTTCTCTCAGGCACCTTTTTCAGAATACCAAAATTCAGTGGAAAAATTAAATCCTCGTCAAAGGGCATTACAAGAATTAGAATTTCTTACAACGAAAAAGAAAGATAAAACGAAGAAAAAGGTTACCTTCTTAATTCCTTCAGGTAAAAAAGGAAAAAACTTGTTTTGTTTTCTTCTGTAGAAATTTCTAAAAGTTCTACAAATTTTACATAATTTTGATTATCCAATTTAAGTAATCTTTCATTTTATCTGGTAAGGTTACTTAACTTCAAAACCTCATAGTTAAACAACTACCAATGCAGCTATTTACAGAAAAGAAAGTGGGGCATAAAGAAGAATTAAAACCAAAAAACATTGACCCAAAATTTTTTTTTTGTGAGCAACAATTAAAAAGCAAAGAACAGAAAATATATCTCATTACTCTGACAAAATTACTTTAATGTAGGGTTTGACACTCATTATTTACTAGGGTATGTAGTGTTTTTAAAAAGTGCTTATAGGTGCTTATTTTTGATTTACATTTTTTAAGGCCCTTAAAGGTGCTTTTTTTATTCAGGGTTTGCAAAAAGTGCTCAATTTTCTATCTTTAAAATCAACACTTTTTCTTTTCTGTGTCGATTGTTGATCTAAATTACAAAAAATGCATAATTTTCACAATTTTCTTTGCAATAGTTATCAGAAACTAGTTATTTTACCATGATTATGTGAAGTTTGTGAAAATGTTTTTGAATTTTATTGATTCATAAATTAAGAACTTTAAATAATAGAAAAAAATAATTTTTATTGCTGCACAGATCCTAATTATGATTTTTTTTTCTTTTGGAAAGTGATTAAAATTATTTTTTTAAGTGCTTAAAATGAACTTATTTTTTTAAATTTTTTTTTTTTTTTTTTTTTTTTTTGTTGAAAAAACTGGCTTTGCACCCTGTTGAAACAAGGAAAACATAAAATTTACCAGGAAATTTCCTCTTTGTCCTGAAATGTATTGGAATATCAGCAATTATCAGAATTGTTAATCACATATTCATTTATTACAATGAATAGGTTTACACATTTTAATGAATTTTTAGGCACTTTTATATCACTATTTTATCTTATAAAACTTATTGTCTTACATTAATTTATTTTCCTTTTATCTATATTAAATAATAACTTATTTTTAATTTTTAAATCATTCTACTTAATAAATACAATTTCTTTTTTAATATCTTAAATTATACCGTTTTGAAAACCAACTCCTATTTATATAAAGCCTGTAATGAGGTAAATAATGAAAATTTTTAATACAAATCTTAAATGTGTTGGATTAATATGAAAATTTTTGATTAGATAAAATGAATAATTTTATTATAAAAAATGAACAATTTTAATTTAATTTTTTCTCCTCTACTTAGTTATAAATTAGTTATTTAATGCATGTAAGTAAATTTTTAAATCACTACTGAAGTTATGATAATGTAGGGTAAACTAACCAGTGAAGGAACACTTAAGCTTCACTTGGCTTTTAAAAAATCATATTAATTTCAAAATTCGTAATTTTAGTTAAATGACAGTGTCAACATATTTCTCACTAAATGCAAATTATGTAAAAAATTTTTTAGAGAACTTACATAATATTGTTTTAAAGTTTTGGAGGTTCAAATAACAAGTAGTAAAAAGACCAAGTGAAGGAACACTTAATTTTGGTTATTTTTTAATGCTCTTCATGAATTTTTAAGCCATACAAATATTTAAAAACCAGCCTATTCTTAAAATTATAACATATAAATACTTGGAAAATGTTAACTTTTGTTTGTAATCATGAAAAGAAAGTTAAAGTGTCAACATATTAACACATACTGTTCATTCACTGGGAAATCTATGCCCAGTAAAGGAACATGCCTGTTCCCTCACTGGTTAGAAGTTGTTTTTCGTATTTTTAACATACTTTTGATGCGGAACATCACTAAAGGTACAAGAAAATTAAAGTTTATCTTTTATTTTCATTAACTTAGAAAAAAACCCAGTAAAGGAACACTTGTTCCTTCACTGGTTTTTCATCGTTTGGTGATCCAGTGAATAAACACCCCCTTATCTCAGTACTTTATTATGCTATGATGCTTAAAAAAAATAAAACGTAACTTCAATAACTATATTTTGAATTCTCTTTTTCACAGTGAGAAAAATAAAACTATTACATGCAATTAATTCCACTTCAAACATATAAATACAAACACTCACCTTATAATTTTTTCAAAGAAACAAGGTGTTGCAGAGATAATAACAAATTCAAAATTTTTTCCAGAGAAGTCTATTTGACCAGGTAATCCAAAACATCGCTAGATGACTTCCTATTGTTTGGCAGTAAGCTAATGTTACCAATCAATCAAAAGAAAAACTTTCAAATTCTTATTTTTAATCAATATATATGAAATGTTCCTTCACTGGTTGGTTTACCCTAAATCATGACAAAATATTTTAAGAATAAAAAAGATATTTTGAGTTTTACTCTGAAAGCCTTAAGGAGTTAAGTTTTGTCTGGCGAGTGTTCACCCTGTAATGATATTAACATATGTGCATCCTATAATGATATTCTGTATATTATAATGATACTTACATGTACTGTAGTACATGTATGATAATACAATGACGCTGTTATGATATTTTATGTTAACGGATAGTTATATAGGCTTCATAGGGTCACTGCATGTAACTTCTAAAGTTCAAAAGGAAGGCTCTAAAATGTTGTAGCAGTAATAAAAGTTAGAAGAGAAATGTATTATTTTTCTATCATAAATAACAATAATATCATGGGGGAAAAAACCTTAGATTCTTTTTTGTTTCGAGTTTAAGTGTCTTTTCTTTACAGCCATATTTTAGATTCGTTTTCGCAATAGTAATTTGATAATACCAACTATGATAATGAAACATTTGTCACAAAGCTTTTAATGTATGTTAAAAATTGTAGGAATTATTTAAAGTGCCTTATCTGGTCTTAGATAATTTGGGTTTTACTGTGTAACAAAAAATTTGTAGTTCAATTTTTTTTTTCAATCGCAATGATATATATTATAGATCTAAAGTCAAATGCTATTTTTATGTGTTTATATTTAACATTATGAATATAAAAATGAAATACAGAGTTATTTTATAATAATACTCAAAATTAAAGCGTGTGCATGTGTATATATGTGTATGCATATACATGCATAGAGGGGGTGGATAAAATAACGGAAACACTTCTATGCTAATACATTTGTTCATCTTTCTCATGAAATTCTAAAAAAATCACTATAATTTCAGATATGTGTAGATCATGCTGTTTCTCATACATATCAATGAAGTTTAAAGGTTTGAGAGACCGACAATGAAATACAAATGGAAAATAATGTTTTTGAACACCTTATGCTTAAGAATGTAGCAATAGATTTGTGATTGTAATTTAAGTTATTATATGCAATAATTGCACAAATTTTCATACTCCTAGCTTAAATATTTATAGAAATATGGACATTTTAAAAAAAGCTTAAAATTTTTCCGACTGCTTATTGTTTGGATATGAATGTTTGCCTTTATTTATATATACATATTTATCTTTTACAGGTTCTCCAGATTTGACACCTGAATTATCAAAGCCGGAAGTAAATTAAATTTCTTTAACCTTTCATAAATTTAAAGTTAAATAATTTTAATTTGAAGTGTAAAAGAAAAAAAAAAAAAGAAAAGAAAAAAAACAATCTACAGGACTACCAATTACTCTATTCAAAAGCAGGAAAACTTTACATTTATATTTTTGTAGAGTGTGTAGAAGTGTTTTGGCACTTTTCTGAAGAAAATTTTTTTTTTATTTATTATTAAAATCATTATATTATATTTAATTTATAAAAATTTTGCATTATTAAAAAATAATTTAAAAAGGTTGATTGCATAATAACTTTTTAATTTTTGTAAATCTATTTTATTAATTTATATGTAGTTATTATTATCATTATTTTCTTAGGAGATTATATAAAGTATAACTTTATACAAACCTTGTTTTTTGAAAACTTAATAATTTGTACTAAACCTACAAATTTAATTAAATAACTCAGGTCTATTTGATCAAAAGTTTCTGTTCACCAAATGTATTAAATTTTACAAAAGTCAATAATTTTTCCCCCCTAGTGTATGAGAGTTTATTGCAATAACTCATAATCTTTATTTCAGAAATATATTTTTAAAATTAAAATAAAATGAAACATTTTATTGGTACATTGCAAATTTTTCCTTAATATTAAAGTATATACAATACTAAACGGAAATTATCGATTATCGTATGGCATTTAAAAAGCAAACTGTGTATAAATAAATTCAAATTAGCTTTTTTTAAAGGCATTTATTTTTTCAATATTAAGGAGTAAGTTAAGTTATTCTACATTAATTATTTGTTATAATGCAGTTAAAGTAAATGTACAACGTTATCTTATTATATCTTGCACTGTATTTTAACTTTCATTTGCATGCAATTAATATTAATGTTAAAAAAAAATTTATTTTTTAAATTTAATTTTATAAAGTTTAACAAATTATGAACTGAATAATCCTGAAAGATCTCTAGAAAAAAATATTATTTATTATATTTTTTAAGAAAATGAACCCTACTCTGTAATTCAATTACCCAAAATAGGGTTTGACCAAAATACCTGGGTTCGGTATAGCTGGTGTTTTTTAATGTGATTTATTTATTTTTTTATCAATTCAATCCTTAGTCACTTTTTTTTTTTTTTTTNTTTTTTTTGACTTAAGCACTATTTCCAAATACAAGTTATTATTGTTTTAGAAATAAGTCTAAATAGATGTTTTCAAACAAAAATTTTTAAAGATTTTTCTTAGTCTTAAAATATGTTCTTAAGAATTACTTTTAATTTTGTAATATATATTATAAAGCAAGTAAATAGATGACATACATGGTGCGTTCTGAAGATAATGCGCATGATTTTATTGTGACGCGACAATTCATCGCAGTGCACTCAGATTGGTCAAAACATGTGGTGGGGGATTTGTCGTTCCAAACAAGCCTGGTCTCAGGTCACTCCGAACAGTAAGAGCGGTAGGACGTGTCTTTGCGCAAAGTCTTTTTTTCGATCGAGTAACGACGTGATGGAGTGTTTGCTTGCTGGAACAGCGGTATGTGATAAAGTTTTGTGTGCGACTTGGAAAGAATGTGACAGAAACTCATCACATGCTTCAAGACGACTTTAAGGAGGAATGCATTTCGAAATCTCAGTGTGGAAGGTGGCACAAAGCCTCCAAGGAGGGTCGGGAGATGGTCACCGACGAGTCTTGTTCTGGACGCCCAACAACAGCCCGACCCGATGAAAACGTCCTGCATGTGTGTGAAGTTTTGAAGTCAGACAGTCGGTTAAGCATTCAGGTAATCGCTAACACCCTAAACTTGTCAAAATGTGTGGTACATGGGATTGTGACGCAGGATTTGCAAATGCAAAAGGTCTGTGCCGAAGGTGTTGACGGAGGAGCAAAGTTCGGAGGAGAGGAGTTCGAGTTTTGCGCAGTGAAGAATTGCTGGAATTGATGAGTAGGTGCCCCAGCCTCCGTATTGCCCTGACTTGGTGCTGTGTGACTTTTTTTTGTTCCCCAGACTGAAAAGAGAACTGAAGGGAAAGCACTGAGAGTCGGTGAAGAACATCCAAGCTCATGTAACAAGGTTCCTGAGAGGTATTCCTGTCGAGGACTTCCAGGGTGCCTTCCAGACGTGGCAGAATCGTCTCCGCAAGTGTATTGATGCACAAGGGAACTATTTTGAAGAATTTTAACTATTTGTACCCATAGGATCAATAAATCTATTTTTCCCAGAAGATGCGCATTACTTTCAGAACGCACCCTGTATAAAGTCCTGTATTTACAATATTTCTATATTTTATATTTTGCTCTCTGCAATTTTTAATAAAAGATATATATTTTTGATTATAAAAACCTTGTAAAGAATAAAATCAATGTTTCCCCCCCCCCTAATTATAAGGTGTTTCTCCAACATGTATATTAAAAGGCATACCAGCTGGCTGCCTTAACTATTAAGTTCAAAATCAAACATTCTTTGCAATTCAGTTTGAAAAAATGTCTACATTATCTACTTTTGATTTATAAACAATAGAAAATGATTTGTTTTTGTAACATTAATCATTGACATTTTTTTCAGGCTAAGTTATCTGATATTTCAGAAGGTTCCAGCAATAATTGTACACCTGAACTTGATTTTGGTAACGGAAGAGTTACAACAAATTCTCAAAAAGTAGATAGTGCTGAGAATGTTGAAGACACATCAGTTAGTACTACACCAGAATTAAACTTAACTACTTATAAACTTGAATTCAGCGTAGCCAAAGATCACAACAAGACTGTACCGTTTGATGTGTCACACAAAAATGATGCCTCCACCAATAATAAGTCTTCCATTAATCAGGCTGTATCATTAGAAATAGATGTTTCAAAAAAGAATTCAGAACAGTTTTCTCAAAACTTTTCTTATAATTTAACCAATTTGAAGCCCGATTTCATATCATCAAAGTTCTCATCTTTAAAAATCAGTGAAAATAATGTTTGTACTTTACAAGATATACCAGGTGGTAATCCTGCTTCATTTGAAAATTATTTGACAAACCCCAACTCATATAGTGAGTTTTCTAATGTAAAATCTACAGACTGTCTTTTTCAATCAGTGCAAAATTTGGCTGTACCAACTAATTATCAACCTGCAAATGAAACTGAAAAATTTTGTGTCAAAACAGAAAAAAAGATATTTACACCACATCCTGTTTGTTTGCACTCTAAGTCTAATATACCACCCAGTGTTAGTCCAACATTTCTGTCCTCCGGAAAGTTTACTACTCTGAACTCTGTTGCACCTATCTATACTCCATATGTGTTAAAAACATTATCGCAAAGTCCAGAAGTTAATTTAAGTCATGTTCGTCAAAAGCTGGATTTCAATGAAAACCCAAACCAGTTTATGGAAAGACGAAAATCACAGATTAGTAAGTAGTTATTACTTTATATTGGGTTGATGCATAAGTTCCCACTTTTTTTTTAATTTAAAAAATTTGCGTTGAAAATGAAATGTATTGGCATAATCTTTTGTGCAATTCGAAGGAGAATTTTTCGTTCTATAAAGTAGTGTATTTCACTTTTTTGTTGACTTTAATTTTTGTTACTTTTTAGAGCATTTAAATGAAGTGTTAACTCGACAAAAACGAGCATTTCCAACACCACCTTCTTTTTACGTTTAATCGAGGTGTCAAAGCCACAGAAGCTGCTAAAGAGATTTGTGCTATGCGATTTCAAATGCTTTGCACGTCGTTTCGTTCAAAATTGACGCGAATTACGGGCTTGGTTTGACGACTTTTTCGAGGCGCTTCCTGGAGATTTCTACTGAAGAGGCATCGAAAAAATCGTTGAACGTTGGGAGGAAGCTGTAAACAACAACGGAGAGTACATTATTGATTAAATTGTTGTTATTTTATGCTAAAAAGTATTAAAAAAAATTTTTTTTTAATTTATAAAAAAAAAATTTAAAAACGTGTGAACTTATGCATCAGCACAATATTTTCTAATAATTTTTATAACGTTATNTACTTCTTTTTTTTTTTTTTTTTACTTTTGTTGTTCTCTTCAACCATTAATATTTTTTGTAAACTGAATTTTAATTTTTTTCTTTCTTACATGTTTTGAACATTTTTTATTTATGGAAAAATCAACTTCTAAAAATTTTAAATGACTTACATTATTGTAAGTTAAATTTGGGATTCTAACATTAAATGAAAAAATATTGTAATTTATATTTTTTGTCTATCAGTTAATCGATAAAAAACATTCAATGAGGCAGAAGAGTTAAAACGTTTTTTTTCTTTTCAAAATAAACAAAACAGATAAGATTAATAATAAATATCATAATTTGTTATCATAATAAAATATCATATTATAATTAATCATTCATCGTAATTTGTGCTTATAGTTAATAAAATTAGTTGATCTAAATGCTGTATTTAATAGTGTTTGCAATTCATTTATTAACTTAATTTTTATGCAACATTAAAATTTCTAATATTTAAAATCCCTATGATTTAAATATGTATTTGTTAATATCCAAGTTGACATTTAAATTTCACGTAAAAAAGAGAATTACTATTTTTACTTGCAATATAATATGCTTCAAGTGCTTGCATTTTTAGGATTATTTGTAGGGTACAATAATTTAAATCTCCAGATTTGTGGTGCTTTTTCAGGTTTCTGCTGTGCTAAATTATTCACACAAAAAGTGCAGTTATGTGAAATTTATTGCTGCCACTCTTTTCTTAATATATAAAAAAAATTGTTGTTTTGATTATTTTTTATATCTTGTGGCATATGTTCTTCTGTGTAAATTTTAAGATTGAGTCTTAATTTGAGATTATATCTTGACTTAAACATCTTGATAACAAGGAGAGAAAAATTTATTAATTCTATACCTAAAGCTGCCAGAAAAACTTGAATTTTTTTATCATAAATAATTTTTTGAAAATTTTATTAGATTGTCTATTTTTTTATGCAAGGAGATAAGTTTTAATTATTAAAATTCATAAATGATTAAAAAAAGTGCTTTTAGGAAAACTAAATTTTATTATTCCTTATATAAAATATACAATATTTTTAGAAATATTTGAATGTATTTCGATGAATATTCAGAAAATGTTTCAATTCCCCCTCATGATAGATGTCAGCTTTAGGCAAATAATCCCAATTTATGCATATTTTATACCAGTTAAGTTTAACACCCTGACTTTTTTATATACATGGTATGTTTTTTTAATAAGATATGAGAGAATTTATATTCATTTTTGTGAATATTTATATTTTTACCATAGCACTAAGTCTTGCTTCATTTTGATTGGAAATTATTTATGTTTATTTTGTATTAACATTGACTTTTACCCTGTGGTGTTTTAATGTGCTCAAGCATTGTATACAAAAAATTAACAGATATTTTTATTTATTAAACTTTGTAATTTTTCTTTTTAAATTTCAGTCTTACAAACTATTCCTACGATTCAGAAAATGAACGATTTCTTATGTGATCAAGAATGCATCATTCTTTCTTCTCAGAGTTCAGAAAAAGAGATATTTTGCAGAAATCTAATGAATCCAGTTGCCTCTACTCTTACCAATGGGGATGAAATGGTGAGATTTGAACTTACTTTATTTCTATTTTAATCAGGGTTCATAGTGTTTTTATAAAGTGCTTATTTTCGTTTTTTAAAAGCCCTTAAAGGAGCTTTTTTCTTTAGGTGTTTTTAAAAAGTGCTTAATTTTCCCTTTTTCAAAATTACATTTTCCCTCTGCGATGTTGATTTTCACAATTAATTCAACTCCAATCAAGGTTGGCAAGTTTCTGCTGAGGTGGTTAAAACCACTGGTAGAAACCGGTTAAAACTGGCTTGGCAGAAATCATTTTCTGCCACATATGTGGCAGAAATTCAAAAAATGACACAAAAGTAAGTACTGAGATTGACATACAATGGATAATTCATAGAAAAAACAATTAAATATTAAACAAAGTACAATTTATTTACAAAATTATCACTGTTCAAAATCAAATAGTATTACATTGTTTGCACTTTGCAGTAATCTATAACAAAAGACAAGTTTTGATGCAGTTTCTCTTACTTACAACAAAGATTAAAACTGTTACTATTATAATAATTGGATTGTTGCCATGCAAATTATGTCTTGTAAAGAAAAAAACTATTTGAAAATAGCTCTATTCAGTTATTTTAAGAATTAAATGATAATAATTACTGAATTTCAGAATATAATAAACTAAAATCTAGTATTTATATTTATTATTGCATTACTTTATTCTTTATTTTATATAAATATTTGATATACTGTACTTTTAATATTTAATATAAACAAAATAATATATATATTTACAAACAATGAATTAAAAAGTTTGTTAGTTACATGGAGTTTCATTTTTCAGTTTACTTAAACAAAATNATATATTATAGGGATGATATACTGCGCTTTTAATATTTAATATAAACAAAATAATATATATATATTTACAAACAATGAATTAAAAAGTTTGTTAGTTACATGGAGTTACATTTTTCAGTTTACTTAAACAAAATGTCATTAAGCAATTACTAGAACTGATATAGACGTTTTGTTAGTTTCTGCCACTGGCATGGGAAAAACCAGTTTCTGCCGGCAAAAAGCCAACCCTGACCCCAATCTATTTCAGCATCAGTCCTTAGTGTATGAAAACGCCATTTGTTTTACATGATTTAAAATTTCATGATTTGATATAAAGTGCTGAAAAATATTTTTTGAGTGCTTAAAAAGTGCTTATTTTTTGTTGAATAATTTGGCTACTCATCCTTTAAATTGACTGTCTATTCCCTGCATAGTTTTGAACTACCATTAAGCTGTGGCTTTTTGTAAGACCATCCAGTGGAAATTTTTGACGAAAAGTTATGTAATCAGTTTTAAGATTATCGCAAAATCTTTATTAGCAGAAAGAAAAAAAAATTAAAGTTTGCTGAATTTTAAAAGAAAAAATTAAAAACCACTTTCTATGTACCAAAGCTACAATATAAACTCAAAAAGGTATATTAAAGTATTGTCTTTTAAAATGTGAAACTTGATTCCGAATAATTTAAAACTAGTTGTTCTTGCATGGATGAACTCGGATNTTCCCACTCTATGGCGAATTAATAGGCATAAAATGCTAGAAAAAAATAAATAAAATAAACATTAAAAATAATTAGTATAGTACAAAATTTTGAATTTATTAGTCTTTAATATAAAATAGAACAAAAAAAGAAAAAGTAAAAAAATAATGCAGTTTACAGCAAATCATTTAAATGAACTGAAATTAAATAATCAACTACAATAAACTATTTTTATTAATGTTTGTCAATTTATGGGAACCTTTAAATAGCACAAAGATGGGGAAAAAAAGGAAAATACAGTTTACAGCAAATCATTTAAATGAACTATAATAAACTATTTTTATTAATGCTTGTCAATATATGGGAACCTTTAAAGTGCACAAAGATGAAGAAAAAAAAAGGAAAAAAATGCATAATTTACAATTGAAAGAATAATAACTGAATGCCTGCATAATTTCTTATTTTTCCACAAAATGTTTTTATTTGAAAAATAAAATCCAAGCAACTTCACTGTCTTTTTCAATTCTAAAAATCCTTTTAGCAATTTATTCAAGACTATCACACATAACTTAGTTAAAATTTTATTGCAATACATGAAAAATTGCAATTACAACAAAGAAAAAGAAAAGTGTATATTTTGCAAATAATATTTTTTTTTCTGTTTTGTTTTTTAAATCATTAAGCACAATTTTGAAAAATTGCAGCATCATAACCCGTATAATTTGTTAAACATTTCTGCATAATATATACATCAGTATAAGTAATATTTGTCTCTCATATAGATGTACTATCTTCACACAAATTAACATTTGAAAATTAAATCATTTGCTAATTGACATAGATATAATATTGTAATAATCATTTTGAATTTAAAACAAACTAAAAACTTCCATTTATTTAACATAGTAATACAATTATTTTTTTGCACTTTCAATTTATAATTTCAATATATCAGTCTTTTAATCATTTCATGATTATTCCTAGAATGTGTTCAACTTAGAAAAATAACAATCTATAGCTTTTTTTCTTTCGAAAAGAAAAGAAAAATCTTGTATTGGGAACAATTGAAACAAATTACTATAATTTATGTAGTCATAAACATACATTAATCTTTTATCTATCAGTGGTTTTAATTATTATTGTAAACTATGTTAAATAAATGGAAGTTTTTAGTTTTTTAAATTCAAAATAATTATTACAGTATTATATCTATGTCAATGAGCAAATGATTTAATTTTCAAATGTTAATTTGTGTGAAGATAATACATCTATATGAGAGACAAATATTACTTATGCTGATGTATAGATTATGCAGAAATGTTTAACAAATTATACAGGTTATGATGCTGCAATTTTTCAAAATTGTGCTTAATGATTTAAAAAAACAAAACAGGAAAAAAAAAGATTATTTACAAAATATACACACTTTTCTTTTTCTTTGTTGTAATTGCAATTTTTCATGTATTGCAATAAAATTTTAACTAAGTTATGTGTGATAGTCTTGAATAAATTGCTAAAAGGATTTTTAGAATTGAAAAAGACAGTGAAGTTGCTTGGATTTTATTTTTCAAATAAAAACATTTTGTGGAAAAATAAGAAATTATGCAGGCATTCAGTTATTATTCTTTCAATTGTAAATTATGCATTTTTTTCCTTTTTTTTTCTTCATCTTTGTGCACTTTAAAGGTTCCCATATATTGACAAGCATTAATAAAAATAGTTTATTATAGTTCATTTAAATGATTTGCTGTAAACTGTATTTTCCTTTTTTTCCCCATCTTTGTGCTATTTAAAGGTTCCCATAAATTGACAAACATTAATAAAAATAGTTTATTGTAGTTGATTATTTAATTTCAGTTCATTTAAATGATTTGCTGTAAACTGCATTATTTTTTTACTTTTTCTTTTTTTGTTCTATTTTATATTAAAGACTAATAAATTCAAAATTTTGTACTATACTAATTATTTTTAATGTTTATTTTATTTATTTTTTTCTAGCATTTTATGCCTATTAATTCGCCATAGAGTGGGGAATTTTCACGTGCTACTGCTTTACTACTAGAAATTCAAAAATTTGTAACTATATTTTAAAAATATATTGATTTGAAATGATTGTATAAAAATGAATTTTTTTGACTATGTAAATAATATTGTGTATTTAGGTAAATAAAGAGCCTATTATTTAAGTAATGAAACAGTTTCAGCATTCTGTCCAGATATTTCTGATTTTATTTTCTTATTATTTTATTTATTTTTTTTTACTACCTACAATTTTGAACACTGAAACATGTTTTAAATAAAACAGAGTTTACATGAGAAAGGGTACACCTTCTTTATCTTCACTTTTTCCTAAAATGATTGCTGAGTGAATAATAGAGCAAAAATTTTCTTAATTAAACCTCTTCCTCCCTTTTTACTGACTTTTTTTTTAACTATTTTTTTTTAAAACTTTATTTATTTATTTATTTTTAACTTTTTTTTTTACTCCTTTTCATCATAAATCCCATTATAGGCATTTGATCCTAAGGCTGTGACAGCAAGTGTCTTACACATAAGCTACTTATGAAGAGTAAATTTTTTAAAGAAATAAAATCTTTCTTCCATTATACATCTTAATTTTCTTTTCTTTTTTTTACTTAAAAAAATTGAGCTATGCAGTAGTTAAACTCCAAAATATCTTTGATATTGAAGTTAAATAAACTACTGTGATCTGTAAATATTGTAGTAAAATTATGCTATAAATATTGTAGGTAATGCTATGCTATAATATAATGCTGTAGATTTTGTAGATGATGTAAATTTTTTATATTAGAAGTTTGTCTGTTATAAATTAATTGTTATTTTGTATTGAAAAGGAAGTAATCATTGAAGTTGTTTGAGGGGCCTGGAATTGTGACTTATTCTGTTTCATTTACAGGCATTTTCTTATTTTATTCAATCTTTGATTTATTTATTTTTTGCCTTTAGGCTGAGATGCCAAGTTTCAATGATTTTTTTTTTTTAAGTTTGCATCATACAAGAATCTGAAGCAATAAAGTTGTTAGCAGTCATTCCTTGTAAGGATTAATATTAAATTATTTTATTAAGTTGCGAAAATACTCATTAAATTTAGGTATTTGATACACTTTAAATACCTAAATTTAATGAGTGATACACTTCTTAGCCTTTCGGAGTGCTTACATCATCTATTTTAATAATTATAAAATTTAATAATTCTTAAAAATGAGAAACATATGATAGTACAAATAGAGGGACTGTCCACAAATCATTCATCCTTTTAGACTTCCTTAAATCTTGTTTCAATCTTTTAATTCAGTCACAGTATTTTTGCTGTCGAAATTTTTCCTTAATATGTCCAATCGCTAATTGGAAAATGATATTAAAACTTCTTAATACATTTGAATTGCAAATTTTTTCTCTGGGCCATCAAATTACAGTGAAAACATTGTTTTCCATTTCATTTATGGTAAGGTTGAAAAGACTTTTAAATGCCCATTTAATTTTAATGGTTTAATATCTTAGTTTTTTTATTTTGATCTTTGTTTCTTGATTGCAATGTAATATGTTTATTTTTTTATACATTTATATTATAGTATGGAGTTCATACACAATTTAGTTTTGTTGTAATACATTGTTACGCGAAAAAAAACTATAATTATCAGCTTCTTTTAAGCTTATTTTGTTTTATTTTTTTATTGAAGAATCTATTTCCAAAGTTAAAAAATTCAGATTACAAGGTTTCTCCTTGCATGTAACACATACGTGAAATTGCACAATTTAAATCATTTCTGATCAACTTTTTTCTAACTTAATTTTTCATTTAAAAACGTTTACTGTTGAACATGTTTTTTAGTAGTATTGTGGAAAAAGAAGGATGCCGAACAAAACAAAATTTTCATAGCAGCAGCTTACACTACTATTTTTTAGACCATCTTTTACCTTTCTTAAAAGTTGTCTAAAGATATGTATTGAACAAAAATGTTGCTCTGGTTTTAATTTTGAACCATTATGAAGCTTGAAATTTCATTTTTCATTTAGTCACAATTAGGACTGGGCTATGCAAGAAATTTTATATCGTGATGCATCGTCTCTTAGACGTAGCGATTTAGCATATGTTCAAAAATTATCTTTCAGAAGTCTTTAAATTTATCAAAAATAAATAAAAGGAATAAATCTATTACAAAACAAAATGTATTAAGTAAAAACAAACCCAAGCTTTTTTTTTTTTTTAAAAATATGCTTGGCTAATTTTAATTAAAGCTAATTTTTTTTAAAATTAAAAATGACTTAAGATTTATTGGTTTAAAAATTATAAAACTAACAAAATATTTTACATACATGCATTAAAAATTAAAGGGAAAAAAACGAAAGTAAAAAAACAAACTAAAGAAATGTTCACTTTAGTAAAACATTTTTTAAATTATTAATTGAAAAACATTGTCCTTTTGAAGCATTGTTAGACCTTGTTTAATTTATTTATTTAAATTAATAAAGTTGCATTAACTAATGCTCTAATTCTATACTTAATGAATGTAAAAAAAATTAAAGTTTTTTATTTATTATTATAAAAAATTTTTTTTGAAAATAAAATCGACTAAGGATTTATTTGTTTAAAAATGATACTGACTGTCTAACAAATTATGAAACAAACAAGTATTGAAAGAATTTTAAGAAAAATTAAAAAAACAAACTTATAAGTACTCTTGTTAAATTATTAAAAAGCGTCAAAACATTGCTTAACTTTTTATTCAATTAAAAAAAAATATTTCTTTTAACTAATAGCCAAATTTTTTTTATAATCAAGAATGACTGAAGATTTATTTGTTTAAAAATAATCAAATTCTATCAAATTATTATACTCACGTGCATTAAATAAATTTAAAAAAAACTAACTTTTTATAACAAAGTTAAATACAAAATACCCTTATTAAATTGTATAGCTTAAAATGAAAAACAATAATTTAAAAAAAAAAACAATGAAGAATCTTTTTTTATTCATATTTTCTTTTCATTAATATATTGATTTTAGAACGAAAATTGAAGATAACAGCGATTGCGCAACGATCGCCAAGTAACAGTAGGTCTACTAAAAATAATTGACAAGAATCGTTAAATCCCGACAGACAAAAAGAAGAAGAAAAAGTGACGAAATAATGCACAATGAAAAGATCGCTAAGCAGCAAACGTCTCACTGGAAATAATTTACAAGAAACGTTAAATTCCGACGAAATAAAGTGCACAGCGATCACAAAATAACTTAAGTCCAGCTGAAAATAATCTTCAAGTAAACTTCCTAAGACAAAAATGGCGCTTAAAAAAACTATGCATAGCGTTCTATTTCACTGCTGATCCTCACACGAAACCGGAAGTTCTGATTCAATCAGCTTTTCGTTATTCAACATAACGAAACTAATATCGTCTTCTTAGCTAGACGCTATCAACAGCTCCGCAGTTAGATGAAATCAAAATCGTCTCCATCAGAGCGATGACAGCATTAGCGTAGGCAAGGATTCGCACATGTTAAATCGTTAAACCGCGAGCATTGTCTTACATGACGACGTCTTAAATCAGATTTCTGATGCATCGCCTGAAACGAGAGTCACTCTCGGCAGCTTAAATCAAATTTCTGATGCATCGAAAATGAAAGTCACTCTCGACAGCTTAAATCAGATTTCTGATGCATCGCCTAAAATGAGAGTCACTCTCGGCAGCTTAAATCAGATTTCTGATGTATCGCCTGAAACGAGAGTCACCCTCGGCAGCTTAAATTAAATTTCTGATGCATCGCCTGAAACGAGAGTCACTCTCGGCAGCTTAAATCAAATTTCTGATGCATCGAAAATGAAAGTCACTATCAGCAGCTTAAATCAAATTTCTGATGCATCGNGTGGGAAAAGGATGCCGAACAAAACAAAATTTTCATAGCAGCAGCTTACACTACTATTTTTTAGACCATCTTTTACCTTTCTTAAAAGTTGTCTAAAGATATGTATTGAACAAAAATGTTGCTCTGGTTTTAATTTTGAACCATTATGAAGCTTGAAATTTCATTTTTCATTTAGTCACAATTAGGACTGGGCGATGTAAGAAATTTTATATCGTGATGCATCGTCTGTTAGACATCGCTATGTAGCAATTTAGCATATGTTCAAGAATTATCTTTCAGAAGTCTTTAAATTTATCAAAAATAAATAAAAGGAATAAATCTATTACAAAACAAAATTTATTAAGTAAAAACAAACCCAAGCTTATTTTTTTTTTAAATATATGCTTGGCTAATTTTAATTAAAGCTAACTTTTTTTTAAAATTAAAAATGACTTAAGATTTATTGGTTTAAAAATAATAAAACTAACAAAATATTTTACATACATGCATTAAAAATTAAAGGGAAAAAAACGAAAGTAAAAAAGCAAACTAAAGAAACGTTCACTTTAGTAAAACATTTTTTAAATTATTAGTTGGAGAATATTGTCCTTTTGAATCATTGTTAGACCTTGTTTAATTTATTTATTTAAATTAATAAAGTTGCATTAACTAATGCTCTAATTCTATACTTAATGAATGTAAAAATAAATTAAAGTTTTTTATTTATTTATTATTATAAAATTTTTTTTTAAATAAAATCGACTAAGGATTTATTTGTTTAAAAATGATACTGAATGTCTAACAAATTATGAAACAAACAAGTATTGAAAGAATTTTTTAAAAAAAAACAAACTTGTGAGTACTATTGTTAAATTATTAAAAAGCGTCAAAACATTGCTTAACTTTTTATTCAATTAAAAAAAAAATTTCTTTTAATTAATAGCCAAATTTTTTTATAATTAAGAATGACTGAAGATTTATTTGTTTAAAAATTATCAAATTATTATACTCACGTGCATTAAATAAATTTAAAAAAAACTAACTTTTTATAACAAAGTTAAATACAAAATACGCCTATTAAATTGTATAGCTTAAAATGAAAAACAATGAATCTTTTTTTTATTCATATTTTCTTTTCATTAATAGATTGATTTTAGAACGAAAATTAAAGATAGCAGCGATTGCGCAACGATCGCCAAGTAACAGTAGGTCTACTAAAAATAATTGACAAGAATCGTTAAATCCCGACAGACAAAAAAAAAAAAAGAAGTGACGAAATAATGCACAATGAAGTGATCGCTAAGTAGCAAACGTCTCACT